ATGTATGCATATGTGTTCATGCACCACACACACATGCGCACATGCCTCCAAGAGATCTGCTCCATGCTCGCTCTTATTCAGAATCCATATGAATCTTAAATAGGGTTGCCTGCTTCACTCACGCAGAAGACACCAAGTTCAACCCAACATATCCAGGCAGTGCTGGAAGTACCGGTAAATCCTGCCTGAAATCCTGCAAAGGAGGGCTGGGTGATGTATCACATCAAACCAGTTTGAAGTCTATATTGTGCTATCAGTTTTGTAATTTTTGACATGGCAACATATTGTGAATCATGGGGGGGGGGGGGGGAGTGATGCAAAAATCATGATGCAGGGGAAACCATTAAGCCAGCCGATGCCACAACATAGCTCCTTATTTCAGGCATTGTGATAGATCAGTATACCGTGATGTTTAAAGGTAAAGGTAAAGGGACCCCTGACCATAAGGTCTAGTCGTGACCAACTCTGGGGTTGCGGTGCTCATCTCACTTTATTGGCCGAGGGAGCCGACGTACAGCTTCCGGGTCATGTGGCCAGCATGACTAAGCCGCTTCTGGTGAACCAGAGCAGCGCACGGAAACGCCGTTTACCTTCCCGCCGGAGCGGTACCTATTTATCTACTTGCACTTTGCACTGCTAGGTTGGCAGGAGCAGGGACCAAGCAACGGGAGCTCACCCCGTTGCAGGGATTCGAACCGCCGAGCTTCTGATCAGCAAGTCCTAGGCTCTGTGGTTTAACGCACAGCACCACCTACGTCCCTACTGTGATGTTTAGCTGGTGGATAAATCACAAAGTTGAAAACTAGATACAGTCATACCTTGGGTTACAGAAGCTTCAGTTTGCGTTTTTTCGGGTTGTGGACCTCCAAAACCTGGAAGTACCGGAATGGGTTACTTTTGGGTTTCAGCGGTTGTGCATGCGCAGAAGCGCTAAATCGCACTTTACGCATGTGCAGAAGCACCGAATCGCAACCCATGCTGCTGCGGGTTGCTGGCGCTGCGGGTTCTGAACGTGCATCCCGCACGGATCACGTTCGCAACCTGAGCATCCACTGTATAGCCCATTCCTTCTGCAGAGCCACTGCCAGTCAGCATAGACCTGGAACAGGAATCCTGTGGCTTTCCAGGCATTGTTGAACTACAATTCCCATCATCCCTGACCATTGACCATGTTGGCTGAGGATGATGGGGGCTGGAGTCCCAACAACATTGGAGAGTTCTGGGTTTCCCACCTTCTGCACTATGAGGTGTGGTATTGGACTAAATGTTTGTTCATAGACTGAGCGTACGTAACCATGCAGGAAATGACCTCTGTATCTCCCGTCTCCTATTGATGTGGGTCCTCCTCTTTTTTCGTTCACAATTTTTTTAGTGATCAAAAGCCTCCTGAAAGGGGGAAGGGGGGAACCACCTCAGTATTTATCAGTGCTATTTTCTTTAATTGTATATGTCATTTGTTCCTCAAAGGCAAAAGATTCGCATCTACTTAGTTCCTGGCACAGCCCTGGAAGGGCTTCGTTTAGATGTATTCCCTCTGCATATTTTTCGCTCAATGGTGCTTTGTTTTTTTTATTCATCACTGAGGAAACGTCAGATTTACCCATGTTTAATAGCATTTATTAGTCACTTTCCACCTTGCTCAGCATTCCTCCGCCAATTGGATCCTGTCTGTGGTTATTTGCATAAACAGCAGCAGCTTTGTTCTAATATGATTTATGTATCGCTTCTGAATCCTATCAATGCCTATTCCCCGTTTCTCATCACAGCTGTGTAGCCACCATATATATTCAACCAGGCAGGAAGAGAAACAGGAGAGGAAAGGTAAAAGGGGTGAGGATTTGGAAGCCACAATATCGCAGAGCTGATTTACTTCCCGTCACTTAGCATTTCCTTCAATGGAAGCAAAGTGTTTATTTACATTATAATCTTCCTTGTCATCTTATTTCAGTGTGCAGGTCACAGCATCCTTGCCCTTTTAGTAACATCAGCAGAAGGAGATTGGCCTCTCTGTGTGCAGGTAAATGGGGCATTCTGCTAGGGAAGGGGCAGAAATTTGATTTGGTTCACATTTTAATGGGAAACACTACCTAATTTGCACCTCTCAAACCGGTTTGCAAATGGCAACACAGCTATTCTTAAAATCACACAATTGTAGATTGTGCTCTGCTATGATAATTTGCCATTGGGGTGGGCTAACAGGTAAGGGGGGGAGCAGCAGGGGAGGATTTGGGGCTCTCAAATTTCAGGAACACCCTGTGCGGCGCTAAAATTCGGTGCCCCTTGCCCCCTAGATCATTGTCACTGTGCCCTCTGCAGCGCCAGAAGCCAGTGCTGCCAAACTAGTCATGCTACCCTAAAACAATCTCTGGGTCCAGCTACCTCTGGCAATAACAGGGCCCATGACTCCACTCAAGATTACTGTACATTTTTGTAAGTCTTGCAAAAATTTGTATATTAAAACAAGTGTGGGTTTATTGGGAGAAACACACACTAAAACACTGGTGACTTCTCATGTGTTCTTTTTAAAGTGTTCAGGGGAGAGTGTTCTAAATCTAAAATGTCCTTACGTTGCTTTCCTGTTTTAGTGCCTCAAAGCTTCAGCTAGTTTCTTACTATAAGGCACCTTGAAAGCAGCAGGAACTGTTTCCAGCTTTTTGTGGGCAGCGTGATCTCAATAAAAGATTAGTGTATTTTTCGCTCTATAAGACGCACCAGACCACAAGACGCACCTAGTTTTTGGAGGAGGAAAACAAGAAAAAAAATATTCTGAATCTCAGAAGCCAGAACAGCAAGAGGGATCACTGCGCAGTGAAAGCAGCAATCCCTCTTGCTGTTCTGGTTTCTGGGATAGCTGCGCAGCCTGCATTCACTCCATAAGACGCACACACATTTCCCCTTACTTTTTAGGAGGGAAAACGTGAGTCTTATAGAGCAAAAAATATGGTACTTGCAAGGGAGATATTTCAGCTGGACGGCATGGGTCAGATAATGCTGGCAACATCCCCACTCCCTCCTAAGGCTGCTGTTAAAGGCTCAGGAGTGAGTGAGGCTCCGTGTGTGTGTGTGTGTGTGTGTGTGTGTGTGTGTGTGTGTGTTTAAATCCTTTTATCATACAGCCCAGTGTCCAAAGGAGGATGTTCCAGATCTACATGTTTCCCCCTCTGTTTGTGTTATCCTCACAACACCCCTGTGAGGTAGGTTAGGCTGAGAGACAGCGACTGCCCTAAGGTCACCCAGGGAGCTTCAGAGCTGAGTGGCATTTTGAACCCCAGGCTCCAAGGTTCTAGTTCAAAATACTCTCACCGCTGCCTCTTTCCAGAAGGTTCTCCATCCATGGACAGAGAACCAGCTCCACCACCAACCTTTAGAAGGTATCTGAAGATAGTCCTGAATAGGGAAGATTTTAAAATGTTTAATGCTTTATTATGTTTTTATATGTTGGAAGCCACCCAGAGTAGTTGGGGCAACCCAGTCAGAGGGGCGGGGTAATAATAATAATAATAATAATAATAATAATAATAATGGAATAGAACATCTCTATTCTCATCAGAGGGTATGTACTAGCGCTGTCGTCTAGCCTCATGAATGTGCAATAGAAAGGACCAAGCAACAAGAAGAAGTCGTTGTCTGTGTTTGCTGGTTACAAGGTGTTTTTTTTTCTAAAAGAAGGGAAAGTCTATTAATTTGTGGTGCTTTTTCTTTTTTAAAGTTTGCTGTTATTTACACCCCTAAAGATGAGAACCCACATCACAGAACACTTAGGAAGTTCTAAGTGGGAACAAGCATATAATCACTTCTACAGTACAAACCAGGTGAAAATAATTAAAATATGAAGACTGCTCCCGCTTGCAAATCCAGGTTGCTTATGGGTTCACGGTGACTATTGGATAGTTGGAAGGACGGCATCCCATCTCTGCCACTGTTGCCATATTACAAGGAAAGTCTCCATTAATTAAAAAACTAAAAAGCTGCCAATTCTTTCACTCCACAATAAAAAAGCCAGCCAATAAATAACCTTATAGGTATGAAGGAATTGGGAGCACCACTCCCCATATGCCACTGGCAACCAGTGCAGGATTTACATATAAGCTAAACAAGCTATAGCTTAGGGCCCCACTCTCTTGGGGGCCCCCCCAAAAATTTAAAGGGGTAAAACTGGATGTACATTTCCAAAATATAAGATAAAAAAACAAATAAAATTAAATAAATAAATAAAACAAAACCTACATATAGCAACAGTATTTTGTGTTGTGTAGGCTATGATGTAAGTAATGGGCCTTTGTAAATTGTGTTTCTAAAGGAACTTTTGTTATTGCCAAATGCCAATGTGTTTGCATGATTAAGTTTGTTATGAATAAAAAATCATTTTAGTTAGAGCTTATTTCACTATTAATATACTTCTTCTTAATTGTATTTCAGTTCAGCAAATACTTTGATAAAATACATATCTAGATACCTTTTAGGTCCATAAATTACCATATATAGCATATATTCAACACAAAAAACAGCGACAATTTGTTGTTGACAAAGGACAGCTGGACATATGAAGCGCCCCATTACCTTCAGTAGCTTAGGACCTCATCAAACCTAAATCTGCTTGGCTTGCAACCAAGTGCTTTTTTTTCTAAAAGAATGTTTAGGGCTACTCTCATTTTGACTCAAGAAAATCACCAATTCATAGTTCAAACTGGGGGAAACAAATACAGCAAATGAACCAAAGTACAAAGATCCACAAAATGTTTAGGGGGTCTGCGTACCCCCAGAAAAAAGCGCGACAGCTAGGAAATAAACAGACAAAAGGACATTGCCCTTTGGAAAAGAACCCCACCAATGTTATTTTGTTTAGCCTCAGCCCCATTCACCCGCAAGATTCACACAGTGACAAGGATTTTTGTTTTAAAAAAAGAACACGCGCGAGGCGAGCCGTCTGCGCGCTTTGGACGTGGCCACGGATGGGCACCAGGGGGCGCTGCCGAACAAGCCGCTCTCCGCCGGACGCCGCCCGGGCCAAGGGTTACGGGGCGGGGAAGGAGCCGCTTCGCCCGGAGTCGCCTTTGCAACGCGGCGCATGAGAGCGGCGGCCGTGCAGAGACTCATGAAGGTCTTCGTGACGCGGAGGATCCCCCCGGAGGGACTGGCGGCCTTGAGCCGGGCCGGAGAGTAAGTGGGCTGGCGGGGAGACGGGCTGGGGGTGCAAGGGAGAAACACGCCCCCCTTCTCCTCTTGGGAAGGTCGCTCGGCTGCCCCCGGACTCTTACACGCACGTGTGAACCCCCCTCTTTCCTTCTCTTGCGTGTGCACCTTTGGGAAATCGTGTGTGTGTGTGTTTGAGGCTTTTTGCTTGCTGCTGTCTCTTTTTTGTATTGTTATGGACGACCTTTGTTACGTTGTGCCTATGTATTCCCGCCCCCCCCCCCCATATTGTAAGCCGCCTCGAGCGTGGTTTGAGCTGTGGAAAGGCGGCCTGCAAAAATAAAATGGTGGGTGGGCGGCTTGCAAAGCAGGCCTGTCTGTAGCATTAGAGCAGGGGTAAGAAACTTGCAGCCCTTCAGAGGTTGCATGCGTCCCAGCCAGCATGCCCAATACATAGCTGTCAACTTACAGATTTGAAAATAAGGGATCAGCAGCCAAAATAAGGGATTTTGGCTTGGCTTATACAGAAATCCGGCACTAATGGAGCCCTGCTGCTTTGGTTGCCCCTGACTGTGTTTTGCAGGGGGTTGAACCAGATGATCCTAAGGGTCTACAACTCCCACCAAAGAAGAGGGGCAGACAAAACTGATGAACGACGTCGAGATGGCAAAGCTTCCAGGCAGAATTAGAAACCAGGAAGAGGACCTCTTTAATAAAGAATGGGGGGAGTTTATAATTTATTGGAAAAGCTATTGTAAAGAGTTACATACATTGGTAGGATCGGCAGAAAACTTGTGGTAAAAATTTGAACTATGGATGGACAATTGATTTATAAAAATAGAGTTATGAAAGGGATGCAGAGGGGGAAATCACTACATTAAGATGCTGCACTGGCTGGAGGGGATGCTAAGCAGCACGTCGGGGCTGCCGGTCGTCTTGGAGCGAGGAGTTCCATCGGCCCTTCCCCGCCCGAGAGAGAGGGAGGGAGAGGGACTCTCGCTCACACCGCCCGCGAGCCCGGCATGAGGTGGATCCAGCGCCACTGAAGTGCCGCCTTTCTGCGTCCCTCCCCATCCCCTCCTCTTCCTCGAAGATAGTGTCTTCGAAGCTACAAACATGAGTCTGACCAAACTGCGGGAGGCAGTGGAAGACAGAAGTGCCTGGCGTGCCCTGGTCCATGGGGTCACGAAGAGTCGGACACGACTAAACGACTAAACAACAACAACAAGAAACTTGCAGCCCTCCAGAGGTTGCATGCGTCCCAGCCAACATGCCCAATAGACAACGGGATCAATGGTCCCAACAGCAGTTGCAGGGCCATTGGTTTTCCATTCCTTCATTGGACCCAGGGTGCATATATAGTTGTTGTTTAGTCATTTAGTCGTGTCCGACTCTTTGTGACCCCCTGAACCAGAGCACGCCAGGCACTCCTGTCTTCCACTCCCCCCTGCAGTTTAGTCAGACTCATGCTGGTAGCTTCGAGAACAGTGTCCAACCATCTCGTCCTCTGTCGTCTCCTTCTCCTTGTGCCCTCCATCTTTCCCAACATCAGGGTCTTTTCCAGGGAGTCTTCTCTTCTCATGAGGTGGCCAAGGTATTGGAGCCTCAGCTTCAGGATCTGTCCTTCCAGTGAGCACTCAGGGCTGATTTCCTTAAGAATGGAGAGATTTGATCTTCTTGCAGTCCATGGGACTCTCAAGAGTCTCTTCCAGCACCAGAATTCAAAAGCATCAATTCTTCGGCGATCAGACTTCTTTATGGTCCAGCTCTCACTTCCATATATGTGTATATATATATATATATATATATATATATTAGTCCAGATAAAGTGGGTACCATCTCCTGACACCATACTTAATAACAGTATTGAAAGTGCGTACATGCAAATACACAAGCACACACACATATATAAACATTACATTTTTATCCCAAAAAATTAAAATAAACCCATATCTCCTGATGAATAGCATTTGGACTATAATGTAACTTAAATAGAAAACTATCTTTAGAAAGATTTTCCCTCCTCCCAAAGCATTTTATTTTTTAAAAAATCCAATTTATATTAAAAAAATCAATTTTAAAAAAATCTGATTTAAATAAAAAAAAATCCTATTTTTTATTTTAAAAAAATACATTGATTTTTATCCACCTTGCCTTGGAGTAATTTTGTCTGTTTAAACTGTTATTTGTGCTGACCAGCTGACTACATTCAAATAAGACTGCCATTGTTCCAGGCCAGCTAATGGTTAATCATTTGTGCAAACCAGGAGACTAAAATTGGCTGGGATCAGTATCTAGGCCATAACTTGTGGTCACTATTGATGCTTCCCCTCCGCGCCACCCCTGGGGTGGGTGGCCTTGCTTCTGCGTCCTGCCACAGCTCAGGGTGATGTGAATCCCCTACCCCAAATCCCCCCTCCTACACATGCTGGAAAGGGGTGGGTGTTTCTCATGCTGCACTGGACTTACCCTAATCACAGGCAGAAGTCGTACAAGAGACTCATGCTGCCCTGGGCCGCATGAAAGACCTCATTGCCCTCTCTACAAATCCTCCACATGCCTGGCAACTCAGGGCAGTGGAGGAGGAGGAGGAGGAGATCTGGCTGAAAACCTCGGCAAGCAGCCGTTGTGGAAGTGGAACAGCTGGGCATCTACCTGCCAACTCTCCTCTCCCTGCTTGCTGATTCTCTCTTCACATGCTGCTGCCTATTTCATTTTTTAAAATTTCTTCATTTGGTTTTTCAGATTAAAATTTTACAGTCACATATCCAACATCCAACATAAAAACAAGATTGCAAGGAATCTCTTGGACTTACCTCCTCCCCTTTGTGGGTCCTCTTGTTAATCATTTCCTCCTGCATCTTTTATGATAATCCAAATCTTTTATCTCTCCATTGTATCCAAAATTCACCATTAAACTACAAGTGTTATTCCAATCCTACTAATGATTTTAACTGTTTACAATGGTCTTTAAGATAATTTATAAATTTTCCGCATTCCTTATTAAAATTTCTGATTTCTGATTCTTCCGGCCATTTTAGCCATTTTGGCACAATCCATTAACTCCATCTGCCATTCTTCTCTGGTAGGGACTTTATCTTCTTTCCATCTATGGGCCGATAACATCCGCAAAGCCGTGGTTACATTCATAAATAGTCTTTTCTGCTCCCTTAGGATTTCGGCACCTAGAATTCCTAAAAGGAAGGCTTCAGGGGTTTTTAAAGAAAAGGTTATTTTAAACATTTTTTTTCAACTCATTATATATCATTTCCCAAAATTCTTTTACTACCTTACATTTCCACCACATGTGATAAAAGGTGCCTTCTTTTTCCTTACACTTCCAGCTTGCATTTGACCCCATTTTACACATTTTTGCTCATTTACTAGGAATTAAATACCAACGGTACATCATTTTCATATAATTTTCTTTCAACGTGTAACATGCTGTGAATTTTAAATCCCAATTCCATAACTTCTTCCATGCTGCAAGTTGTATATTACACCCAAAGTCTCTGGCCCAACTGCTGCCCATTTCAAGGAGGGCTGGGTTCTTCTGTGTCCACACATTGCCTGGGCAGTGGTGGACCTTGGCGTCTCACATTTCAGCAGTGACTTGTGGAAAGCCAAAATTGGGCCAGTCTCTCTGCCATCAGCATCAGCCTGAGGTCACAAAGGGCATTATTTCTCCCTTCAGTGTTGCAGCAAGGTCACAAGGGGCAGTTTTCCTTTCTCTCAGCAGGCAGCAAAAGCAGGGGCATGTGGGCACACTGTTTCTCTCTGAGCACATAAAAGCAGCTGCATCTATTTTTCTTCCCAAAGTGGGCAGAGGTAGTGTGTAGCCGCTGGAAACCAATGGAAGGTGCTGTTTTATTTGGTAAAAAATGCAAACACCCATTTCCACAGCCTTGGCCTTTTTGAAATGTTAAAGGGAGTGTGGGGTAGTTTCCTACCAAATTACAGCAGCCTTTCTCAGCATGAATGATATAATTTAATATCTTCATTCGTCCCCTGTTACAATACACAACACTCCCGCAATAGAACAGCTTCCAGGTTAAGCAACTGGTGCCCAATCTTACTAAAGTTTGACCTTGCCAATTAAAACTGAAGATCTAAAGTGGCGAAAGCTGTGCAGCCTCTAGCTCAACCTGTGGGTCACAAGATGTTGTTGGACTACAACTCCCATCATCCCTGAGCTCTGGCCTTGCTAGCTAGGAGTTATGGGAGTTGTAGTTCAACATCTGGGGACCCACAGGTTGAGAAAGGCTGCTCTAGCGCCTCGTGTCGACTTGTGACCTGCTCTGTGTGATTCTGCCTTTCTTGCTTCCTCTGATGCTGCAGCGTCCAGCAGTGGGATTCAGATGAACCAATCCCACAGTCGGAGTTGCTGGCGGGGGTGGCTGGCAAGGACGGGCTCCTGTGCCTCTTGTCTGACCGGATTGACAAGGAAGTCCTGGATGCTGCAGGTGAGACCTCAGGTGGGAGCTCAACGGAATGGTGTCAGAGTGGGCTGTAGAAACATTAACACGGCCAGTGACTTGCCAATCCATGTGACAACCTGGGCAGGCAAAGTTAGTGGCTGCTCCCCAGATACTGGTACGAATGCAGACCAAAGCCCTACATCTGTATAAAGTTGGTGCCTAATTCTTTTCAAGAGGTGGAACTGGAATAAATTCATGGGACTGTCATCAACCCCAGCCTCATTCTTCTTCTTATCTCCTTTTGGTGAAAGTTTGCATTCAGCTCCTCAGGATTATCTGGCCAAACAGTCTGTATCTGGGGGGAAAGTTCCACGAGCCAAATGTGCTGTTAAATCTCATTTTTATACTGTGTGTTTGTATGTGTTTATACTGTGTTTGTATCTGTGGGTTGTTGTTACCCCACTGATTAATCTGGGTGTGTGGATAATGCTCAGTGCAGTACAGTTCTCAAACTTAATCTGTTCTGGAAGTCCATTCCAAAACCAAAGCATTCCAAAACCAAGGCACGCTTTCCCATAGAAAGTAATGCAAAATGGATTAATCCATTCCAGACTTTTAAAAACAACCCTAAAACAGCAATTTAACATGAATTTTACGATCTAACGAGACCATTGATCCATAAAATGAAAGCAATAAACAATGTACTGCAGTCACACAATCAATGAGTCAGAAGCTGAACTGAATTCCACAGTCACAAAAACAAAAAAGAGCCACAAAAATGCAAAATAAATAGCAAAAACAGACAGACCTCAGCATAACACTCAAACCAGAAGCGTAACACTCAAAACGGAGCACGTTCAGCTTCTGAATAAGTTCGCAAACCAGAACACTTACTTCTGGGTTTGTAGTGTGTGGGTTCCAAGTTGTTTGAGTACCAAGGCTTTTGAGAACCAAGGTACCTCTGTATTTTGTTGATCAATTGCACAGCTTAATGAATGAAAGCTCACAGCTATTTAATGGCTCAAAAGCTAGGTTTCCATTCATAGCTGACATTCTTTTATTATTTTGTTTCTTTTCAAGCAAGACCTTGTGAAACTTTATCAAAAAATCACCTTCTTCATTTCTCTGTGTTTATTAGTAACCAGACAAAAGCCTTGACAAGTCCGTTGCTGCCAACTTCTTTAGCTTTTAATGCTTTCTGAAGCTGGTAGGAGCTTTGGTGTTTGAGGTGAGCACTTCACTGCTTTTCTCTGCCAACTAGTTGTTGGGAATCTCAGGTGAGATATCCACGCAGTGCAAGTTGCTCCCAGTACCAGTCACCACATGGAAGAAGCTTAAGGTCCAAATAGTTTACTGTTGCAGAAGATAAGGCTCACTAAAACAGTTCTGAATGTAGATACAGACATATACAGATACATACAAGTACAAAATATTTCCATTGCTCCAATTGAACTCCAGCAATTCAAGATGTAACAACGGACAAGTAACACCAACCGACTGACGACTCGCAGACCAGCTGCAAACTAACAGACTGATGGGCATTAATCACAGATATTGATTAATCCTTGTACCTACGGGACCGCCTCTCCTGGTATGCCCCACGGAGAGCCTCAAGGTCCATAAATAGCAACACCCTAGTGGTCCTGGGCCCTAAGGAAGTTAGATTGGCTTCAACCAGAGCCAGGGCCTTTTCAACTGTGGCTCCGGCCTGGTGGAACGCTCTGCCTCATGAGACCAGGGCCCTGCAGGATCTGATTTCTTTCCGCAGGGCCTGTAAGACAGAGTTGTTCCGCCTGGCCTTTGGCTTGGAGCCAATTTGATTCCCTCCCTCCCTCTCTTTCTTTTCTTTTCCTTCTCCTCCTGCAATGAGGCTACATTTTAATATTTTAATGTTCCATTATTTTAATGTTGTATTTTATTTTTGTTTTTAAGTTGTAATCATTCTTCTTGTTTTTATTATTGCTTGTAAGCCGCTCTGAGCCCGGCCTTGGCTGGGGAGGGCGGGGTATAAATAAAATATTATTATTATTATTATTATTATTATTATTATTATTATATAGTTGGGGCACTGGGCCGTTACCATAGCAATTGGCTTGACTGACCTTGCACCCATTATTAGCTCATCCTTGGGCTGATTTATGCACATTAAAGGAAATTAACCCCTTCTCATGCTTAATTACCTTTTGTTCTGAGCCCGTGGTCTTCATCTTTTTCAGGACCATCCCTGAAAGTAATCAGTACGTTGTCCGTGGGATATGACCATCTTGCCATTGAGGAAATAAAAAAGCGGTAAGACTCACATCTTTTTAAAGGTAATTCTTAAGAGGCAAACTACATCTTATCCTGACGGGGAGAAAAGAAAAGAGAGTTGTTGTGGAAGGGCTAATAATCACTCCAGCCCTATATAACCTACCCTTGCTGTTTCACAGAGGCTTCTCTGTTGAAAATCGCCTCTTCCCAGAGCAGCTTTTCCCCAGGAAAATTAGCGGCTGGGGTTTAAATGCAGGCCATTGCCCAACTGGCCTATGGACCAAACAATTGATGTTCAGGCTACCCATGTTTTAGAAATGATGAGTACCACAAAACTAGTCAGTAAGTGCCTTGTGGCTCAAAACACAGAAGATCTGACTGCTGCTTTTAAATTCTAGTGGGATCCGTGTGGGATACACGCCAGACATCCTGACAGATGCCACGGCTGAACTCACAGTAGCTTTGCTCCTAGCAACGTCCCGCAGGCTGCCAGAATCTGTGGAGGAAGTGAAGAAGTGAGTGTCCGAAGTGGTATTTATGGGACTTCCATGCCACACTGCTTGGACTGCTTGGAGGGGGTGGTCGTGTCCTATTTTGTCTTTTAGCCTCATTCAGCATATTAAAAAAGGCAACTGTGGCTCACAGGAAAGTAGGAAGGTGCCTTAATCAAAGTCAGATGGTTAGTCTGTCTAGTTGAGTCTTGTGTTCTCCAGGGTTTTAGGTGGGCTTCTTGGGCACCCTACCTGGAAATGCCACTTACCTTTTGCATGCAAAGAAGATCCTCTACTTGCTTCACAGAAACTGTGGATGCACTTATACAACTACAGTAGTACCTCGGGTTACATACGCTTCAGGTTACATACACTTCAGGTTACAGACTCCGCTAACCCAGAAATTGTGCTTCAGGTTAAGAACTTTGCTTCAGGATGTGAACAGAAATCGTGCTCCGGCGGCACGACAGCAGCAGGAGGCCCCATTAGCTAAAGTGGTGCTTCAGGTTAAGAACAGTTTCAGGTTAAGTATGGACCTCCGGAACGAATTAAGTAATTAACCTGAGGTACCACTGTATTGCTGGACTGTGCTAAGGCGGAGCTCCACACACACAAGTGATTTAAAAATCCATGCTCATTGAAAACTAGTTTCCAGAAGGTGACAAAGTCCCCTGAACTTTGGGCGTCAACCTATTTTGTCTTTGGCATCTGGTTTTATTTCCATTCAGCTATGCAAGCTGACACTTGCAGCAGAGTTCAGTTGCACTACAACTACAGTCTGAACCAGGTCCCTGAGGCTGAACTGTGAAGCGGAAAAACCCCAGTCCAAATCTTGCTTTTTGCCACGAACTCATCATAGCCACATGCAACATCCTGAACTCTCAGCTTCACCCTGCAATATAAGGAGTAATAATAGTGACCTACACTACAGGGTTGTTGTATGGATGAATGAGAGGGTGTGCATGAAGTGTTGCTTTCCTTTTAAGCATTCTTAAAGAGTATATAATAATCCTAGTTACAGTTGAATAAATGCTTTAGTTATATTGTGGCGACAGGGTGGTGCAAATCTAGCAAGGCAGTGTTCCCCAAACTTGGGTCTCCAGCTGTTTTCAGGCTACAGTTCCCACCATCCCTGACCACTGGTCTTGCTAGCTAGGCGCTATGGGAGTTGTAGTCCAAAAACAGCTGGAGACCCAAGTTTGGGAAACACTGGATAAAGGTATCTAAGTGTACGCTGCTGAACCTCTGATAGCTAGATGTGGGTTACTCAACTGGCAGAATTTAGCATCTATCCCTGGACATTATAAGACAGATGTCGGTCCTAGTGCCCATTTGATATTTGTCTGTTATTTTCCGGAGTCCACCCAACTGATATGGGGATAGAGAATAGAGAATGGGATTAGGCCTGAAATCATTGTGGGCCTTGCAAGATAAAGGGTGGATTAAAGTTTTTAAAGCAGGATTTCTTCCTTTGTCTAAGGTAACAAGATAACAGTGTCTGTGGTTGCCATTGTCCACAGCTGCTCATTTCTGGAATTTTAGCTAAGAGCCTGTTTAGCCAATGCAGCTTTTTCTTGCCATTACATTAGTGCTTGTCTGCTAAGCTTTGGGGTGTTCCTTAGCTAACATCCCATTGTAATTTGGTGTCCTTTTCGCAGCGGTGGCTGGACCACATGGAAACCCCTCTGGATGTGTGGCTATGGACTATCCAACAGCACCGTTGGGATTATAGGGCTAGGAAGAATAGGTAAGCTGAGTTCTACATTCATTTTCAGCCTGCCCTTCCACCATGGTGCTCACAGCTGGTTTGACCATCACAACGTCTTTGCACGGTAGGTAGGTCGAGAGAGAAACAAGCATTACATGCGCATCCAGGTCCAAACCTCAGGTTGCCACCCCGAAGGTCTCTGCTGCATCTGTGTGGAGACATTTAACTGAGCATCTGAGATTAGGCTCGGGTTATCAGTCCTAAAGCTTGTACTGTTCACTTTATCGCAACGTGGACTTTCTACTATTGATTGTCTCTTTGAACAAATATCCATGACCCCAAAAGGAGCCGTGCAGTGTTTGATGTTGTCTCTCTCACATACCCGACTTTTGAGATATATGGTGCCATAAGTGCCTTTAGCGCAGCCATTGCCGTCGTCTTTTCAACGTAGAGCTGCCCATCGGCAAGATAATTCACAGGGAACAGCAAGCTCTGCTTATGGCTCGTCTGCCAATGGACCAACTGGGGAACTGGAGAAACCGAGTTCAGAATAGTTGTGGCCTCTTACCTGGAAAGATTTCACTCAACACTCTGGGTAATAGTGCAACCCTAGATGTGTTTACAGAGAAGGAAGTCCCATTGTAGTCAGTGTAGCTTACTCTGCGGCATGGCTGGGATTTTGTCAACCGCCCTTTGACCCTTGATTTTTGAACGTTTTGGAAGTCAAACATTCGAAAACCGAAGTTTCACTGTACACAGTTTGTACAAAGTTATCCTCCTGCCAAATGGTAAGATTTTAACCATGGATCAGGTATGCAGATGTGTTAAAATGATTGCATCTACCCCGATTTACCAATTTTTCTCATCTGCTTCTCTATCTGAGAATGCTCAAGTGCTAAGTTTTGATTTGGGCGTTCAGTGTTAAAGAAAGCCTCTGATTATGTGAATTTTGCATGTACCTTTGAAGTGCTAACACCATTTTCAGAAGCCCCATTTCTCTGTGTTGATGAAGCATCCAAGCCTAGTGAGTGATGTGATGTCCTCTGGTTCCTCATGTTTCTAGGGCAGGCTGTAGCACATCGTCTGAAGCCATTTGGAGTCAAGAAGTTTTTGTATGCAGGACGTCACCCCAAACCTGAAGCTGCTATGGAACTGAAAGCTGAGTTTGGTGAGAGTTCTGTCTACGTATTAGTGGAATTTCTTTATGTGTGTTCAATACTACATCCCCCCCCCCTTGATGCGGAGTAGAAAACTGAAGTTGAAGTCCTATCAGTGGCTACTGGGCACAATGGAGGCTATTCACTGTCTCCATAGATCAGAGGCAGCATGTTTCTGAATACTTGTTGCTTGACTCTGTAGCAGAGAAAGTGCCCTTATTCTCAGGTCCTGCTTGCAAGCTCCTCTCAGGCATCTGGGTGTCCACTGTGAGAACAGGACATTGGGACTAGATGGACCAGGGGCCTGATCCAGCATGGCTTTTTGTAAGTCACTTCAGTGAGGGGAAAAAAAATCTCTGAAATGAGAAGACTTGGTGTTACGTTGGTTGAAAACAGGATTCACTCAATTCCTGCAAATGAGAACAATTGTTTCAGTTTGACAAAATTTATTTGTTCTCCTTCCCAGTGACCATAGTTAAAAGTGAGGAGTATACATCCCTTTGTGAATCAGGGTTATGCACCCCACCCCCTAAGTCATTTGGTCAGGCAAGCATTGTCAAAGCAGGGACCCAGCTATCACCAGTTAACCTTAGTCTCGCTTAGAGAACAGCAATTCCCTTCCGGAGACATGCTGTTTACAATGAGACGTACCGACTGCTGCACCGGGATAGCACCGCAAGTCAAGAGTCAATATGGAACAAACATGGCAGCCACATGCACCTTGCGCATGTGTGTTTTGGAAGATAAGTCATCCATCCCTTCAGGCAAAGTACAGCACAAACTGGATGGTTGTTAGGTTTTTGTTCAGAGCAAATCAGAGCCCACAGTGCCACGTAGTTCAATGAGTCAAACAGGATCCTTTTGAAAGAACAGAACACTTGGATACGCACACATCGCTGTACATCATCGTCCTCATGGTGGTGGGGAGAACAGTACACTCTGAAAACAGAAGTAGGGCAATTCCTCCCAGTTGACTTGGCTCATATGAATGCCTCAACAGGGTTCAAGGAGTGCCAAAAGCGTAATTGTGCAGACTCAAGCATGCCTGAATCATCCCTGCTCTCCTGACTCTATTCAGAAGGACCCTTGCTGTTTTGGTGAATAGGAAAAGCTAGTGAAAGTAGGTAAACCTCTTAAACAGACCACAGTGAGTTTCCTCTTTCTTTCTTTTCTCCAGTGCCCCTTGCCAAGCTAGCGGAAGAGTCGGACTTTGTCATTGTGACATGTTCTCTGATACCCGACACTCAGGGGATGTGCAATCGGGACTTCTTTTGCAAGATGAAGAAGACGTCTGTGTTCATCAACACAAGCAGGTAAAACCAGATGTGGCCCAGAGTGGAGGCTGGGAATCGGGGGCACATCCCCCAAGACAATGCCAAGTCCCAGTGCTACTGCATAGCATGACTGAAGTAACATGACAGTATGGAGGAGCGTGAGCCTAGATCTGCAACATACCCTTGTCTATCACGAGTTTTTTAAAATGCACAAATCATTCCCCCTCCCCGTTTTAATTAAGGGCCTCCACCGTGTCGAAATCTCTTCATGTACGATAAATACATTGCAATTGTGCTTCCTTTATGAGACATTTACCCTGGTTTTGTAAAGAAGCTGCACTTGTGGAAATAAGCTTTCCATATTCACAACACTTTAACTAGCTGGATCTCTCTTGAGGTCTATCACTATCCAGGCCTGCACCACTCAAAACTAATATTCTGCAGTCCTTCCCTTAGACAGGATGTTCATTGCTCCTGTGAGTGCTGTATATTGCTCAGTCTATCTAATAACTGGTTGCCTAGCTCCATTCCTAAAGCAGCAAACACCTGCCAAAATAGAAAACTTAGCATGTACAATATCAGCAGGTTGTATTCTGCATAGTGCTAAGGTCCCATCAGTTCAAGCATTTCTGTTTGCTTGACATAACAATCTCTCCCCCCTCCCCCAAGAAGCTTGGGTGCAGGGTGCAGTGGGAGGAGGGAAGTCTCACTGCACTAGCACGAATCATTGTGCTGTCTTCTGTTAGTGCAATGCGTTGAATAGTAAGTAAATGACCCTGGGAGTCATTTAATCCTTAGCACCGTTCCAAGTCACTGCTGCTTGCACCAATTGGGGGAAGCTGCCCCCCCCCCCCATATGATTTCCTAGAGTACCAGAGTGATGGGGGATGCAGCCCAGCAAAGCAACACCCTTGCCATTTCAGGCAAGGCATAAACAGTGTGGTCGTATTAAGCTGTCAAGAAAAGCCATAATCTGTATTTCCCCATGAGAGTCTTGTTGAATTATTTACTGCAACGTGCAATATAGGCTCAATAACACCTTCACACACCCCATTTTCTCACTTTGCTCTGTTAGGGGCACTGTTGTCAATCAAAAGGACCTATACGAAGCTTTAGTCAATGGCCACATCGCAGCAGCGGGCTTGGATGTTACAACCCCAGAACCTCTGCCTGCTGATAATCCGCTTCTTTCCCTCAAGAACTGTGGTAAGCTGACTTAATTTCATAGAATCGTAGAGTTGGAAGGGACCCAAAGGGTCATCTAGCCCAATCCCCTGCAATGCAGGAATCTCCGCTAAATACTTAATGTGCACATGGCCATTTCTGCACCGTCTCCTCCTGGGGAATTAACGGCTGCCTTTCAGAAGCAGACAGATGCTGCTCAAGTCTCACTTGCACTGAGCCGGCAAGGCTCAATAGCAAGCGGAGGTTTTTCCTTGTGGAAATGTCTCAAAAGAACACCTTTGCAACCATAAGGGCTAGAAACCTGTGGGTTGTTCTTTTCTAAATTGGGAGTTGTTCTTAAAAGAAATCTATGCCAGCTACGTCCTGTGGCATTTCTGTACTCTATCCCACAATGTTGCCCTAAGTATGCGCATGGGTAAAGCAAGAAATAAAATGCAGAGGGCATCCTCTGAATTTTGCACTCTTGCCCCTTTCCGCAAGGCAGGCATCTTTGGGCTGTAATTGGATTGGCATGCCCTGCAAAAGACAGATAATATCATCTTTAATCTAACAGAGGAGGGGCCCTGGAAACAGAATACAGAGGGAATGGGTTGGCTTGAGCAAGTGATTTCATGAATCAAGATATAGTATCTGATAAAACAATATATTCATGAACTAGTGATTACAAGTCGATAAAAATTATTCTGGCTTGTTTCCTAAATTGCTTCCTCCCCACCCCCCCACCCCCCCGTCTTGAGCAGTAATTCTGCCTCATATTGGAAGCGCCACCTACGCCACAAGGAATGCCATGTCCGTGTTGGCTGCCAACAATCTTCTGGCTGGACTGAAAGGAGAAAGCATGCCAAGCGAACTCAAGCTGTGAGAAGCAAGACTGGAAGAGTTTTGAAGGATTTTTTTACTTTTTGCCCCAAATAGATATTAAATGGGACAAACTGTCTTTCAAATAAAGCATTAAAACAGTGGCAGACTTTTGTGTATTATAGCAAAAGGTTCCAGTTCACACCTATTTTTTTAAAGCAATACTCTATATCTTATACAAAGTAATTAAGATGCTGTGTACTGGCATGTTTTCTACAACTGTTCAATCAGAAGCAAACAGAAAGCAAGCAGACTGAAAATAATGAGCGTCTCCCCCTGCCCCCTCCTATAGTGGCCTCTACTGCTGGAAGTTACTTTGTCATAGGCTTCAGTGGGGGAGCTGTTACCATGACCTGTTTTAAAAGGACTTCCAGGCTTCCCCAACTGTGGCCAATCCACAAATTACTGAGAACTGATGGTTTCTCATCCTGCCTTATTGATATTTGATTAAATGTCCAGCTGTCATGGCAGTTTTTACGCTGTGTTCAGCCCTCTGCCAACCCCAAGCAGCTTCTTTGGTCCCTGAGGCCTCAATGCAACTTGAGTTCCATCCAAATGACAACTTCCCCACTCTCAGAAGCAGAACTGGGTGTGTTCTGTTGCTGCCAAAAGGTTGGCAGTGAAAATCAATGCATTATTACAGTATAGATGCGTCTTACAGTTTTGATCATGCAAAGGCCTATAACAAGAGCAAGTTGTCAGACTTTCAGCTCTATCTTAGAGCATCTACATCTTAATTTTTTTTAATTAATTATGGGGATGCCGTAGAGCAGGCATGGCCAAACTCGGCCCTCCCAATGTTTTGGGACTACAATTCCCATCATCCCTGACCACTGGTCCTGTTAGCTAGGGATGATGGGAGTTGTAGTCCCAAAAAACATCTGGAGGGCTGAGTTTGGGGATGCCTGCCGCAGAGAGAAAACTTTTTTTATTTTATTTTTTAAATCACTGTAATTTACTTGAAATAGTCAGATTGCCTACAGTTGCTGAGGATGGGATTCCTTGTGGGGAAGCACACTTTTACAAAGTTGTCTTTAAACTGCCATATACAGTAATTCTTGTTGTTAGGTCTAAATGGGGTGGTACCCTCCCACACATTTTATCTCTCTCTCTCCTATCCACCCCTCAAACCATAATTCCACTGTCGAAGTCAGTCAAGTCGCTTGCATTGTGCTGCTTCAAGCCCACTATCTGCTTCTGCCTCCTGCTAGTACCCACACCAATTTCTGTGGCTCCCCTCTTTCTTCCTGCCTCCCCCCCCCGGGAAAAAGCCTGCCCTCTGTGTAATAGCCTCTGCCACGTGCAGTTCCAAAGCATTCCCCCAAAATGGATGTGTATCTGTTTTCAACAGCCTGAACTTCAAAGGAGGGTGTGAGTGCTCTCCTACTTGTTGAGGCTCTGGTAGCCTTAGGGCTAGGGAAGGCTGAAACCAAACTCGGAAGCTCTGCCCCTACAAAGATGTGCAGAGAGTCATGGATGGTTTTCAGTGGTAAGACAATGGCACTCTGCACTTGGTGTAATGGCACGCGTTCCTAAAAAAAAAAAAAAAAAGTACCGTATGAGTCCTATTGTGAGGAAAAAAGCAAGATTAAAAACTCTAGCCCTACCACATCAAAATGTTACTAGCCACCACTGACTTTTAATATTACAATGCACATTAAAAAAGGAAAAAAGTATTTGAAAATGGTACCATAAATTCAGACGAGCTTGATCAGCAGCACCTGAAAAAGCAACTTTTGAAGGAATGGGTTTCCCAAACCCAAAACTGACTGTGCAGGCAGTTTGAAACTGCACCAAAATCCCTATTTTTCCTAGGGGGAAACCCATTCCTTCACTTTCACTGTCAAAGGACTTACAAGAATGCCTTTTGAAATAACAACAGTAGACGGATCATTTACGACGTAATGTTGAGTTTAACACATGAAATACAAATTGATTAGAAACACTACCAAGCATGACACAAACACACTTTACTTTTCAGTACAAGATCTTACAAAAAGAGAAACTATGAAACACCTAGATTTTGCTGTATTCAAAAGTATATATACACATACATATATCTGACAGTCTAAAAGTTACTTGCATTGGACTCAAGGTAAGCACCTTCATTACACAGTGTATGTTACTGCAAAACAACCAAAAATACATTCAGAACCCCTAAAACTATGTTATTCTATAACACACTCCAAAAGCACTTTGAGGTGCAAAGGTCATTTCTCTTCAAGATATGCAGTCTCACAATAAAGAGCTCTTAGTAACGTTGTTCACACCATGTAGCAACCTATTTTACAGATAAATGCTTTCACATCATTTAAAAAAAAAACCATTACAAAGGTTCCACTTCAGCTTTTTGAAACATGCTAGTTAGTTATGTGCTAGCTACACTTTCATTCTTCCAACCCTTCTCCTACTCTTAGAACTAATGACACTAAGGATTGTATCCATATATAATACATGCAGTCCAATCCTAAGCATGTTTATTTGGGAGCAAATCCCAGAGAGTTCAATGGGGCTTACTCCCAAATGTCTGTCAAGACTGCATTCTCAGAATTACATTTGTGTCAGAGCTGGAGAATTTCAAAGCGCTTTTTAGAAGTTGTTCAAGCCTCACAAAACCCCTGTGAGGTAGGTATGGTAAAAGTATTAAAAAGAAGCCTTTTTTTTGCGTGTGTGGCACAATCACACTGCAACTGTTCGCCTCTTGTGTTCCATGGATTATTAAAAATCTGTATTGGCATCATGGAACTGAGGAAGAGAGTTAAAGCAAAGTGCTGGGTAGATTGCTGCTTTGCCAGCGTAGGCAAGTAGTTTTGGAATGTTTATACAAATGGCTTGACTGACTAAACCTCTTGCCACACTTTAAACAGGCATAGGGCTTCTCGCCTGTATGCACACGGATGTGCTTCTTGCAGTCTGTTAAAGTTAGAAAAGTCTTGCAGCAGATTTTGCAGGCATACTTGCGGGCACCTTCTACTACCAAGACGTTATGTTCAGATAAGGCTTTCTTACATTTTGAAAGAACGTCAGCAGACGCTCTGGTCAGCTGCGGTGGGCCAGGTTGGGAAGAATGCCCGTTTTCAAAAGAGGAAGTGGCTCCGTTCATCATCAGCTGAGAATTCGAAGCATTGTCCGGAATCTGAGCGCTCCGAACAGAGGTCACTACAGGCATTTTGGGAGCTATGCGGCGATACCCAGGAAAGGTGGTGGCACCGCCTCTTGAGTTCATGACTGCCCTCGATAAAGAATGCAACCCCAAGCCAGATCTGGGGAAGTCCATTCCAAACTGCTCTGCTGCCCGGTAGCCGGAAGTCTGTACACAAGGAAGACCCATTACATCCTGCATAGGCCTGACAAAATGGGAGTCTGCACTCTCGTTGAACGGATTCTCTACATGAGAGACAGTGGCAGAGGAATGACCATTAGCAGGCCCAGATTCTTGGCTAATTAAATACGATGCCTCACTATCCATTCTACAGTCACTGGTTGTATTTGGAATGTTGTCCTCATTATTCGGGCCAGCACCAAAACTGCTGGCTCTGCTCTTATTCAGAAAATTTGAAATACTGAAGGTAGATTTGTGTTCCAGGTTATTTGCTACTTCCATGATATGGATATCTCCCACCCTGTCGGTACTAGACTGTGGGTCAGAGAAGCTGCGGTCGCTACTCTCGGGGCTCAGTTCTATCTTTTCAGCACTTGGTCCTCCGCCTTCCACTTCAACAGACTCGCTTCCCTCTGCTTGGGAAGTCACATCACTCACTTCATCCTGGGGCTCTGGAGAACTCAAAGGCTCAGATTTCACCACTACCCTCATGTGTTCTTTTTCATTTAGTCCAACCTCAGGATTCTCACACTGAAAGTTATTTTTTTGGGAAGCTGTTTCCTGATCAAAGCTAGTTTCCACTTGAGTTGCCTGTGATGCCATAGACATTTGAGAAATATTTCCCCCACTGTTGTCCGACTGGCTTGGCACTTGTGCATCTTCTTGGGCACCAAAAGACTGGTCAAACATAATAGTATTATCTTCCTGGTTGTCAGTTACACCATCGGGTTTAGAATTGTCTACAATTTTCAGCGAGTCTGGGGAAAAAAATTCATCTCGTGAATGAACCACAGTCTGTGCGCTCTCTGGAGTAACATCTGACATGATAGAATCATCTATGGGAGCCCTAATGCGTTGTCTCGCTCTTTCTTCAGAAGTCTGCTTACGTTTATGGAGACGTCTGATCGGAAAAGCACTCCGTTGCTCTATGTTACTTCTGATTGATGAGCTCATAGAATTTGCCTGTTCTTCTGTGCTTTGGGTAGAAGTTAATGCAGAGCTCACTATGCTCAATCCCAGCTGCTGAAGCATGAAAGACCGTTGCATGCGTGCATTCTGCTCCTGCACTCTATCATTTGGTGGAGACATTGGTAGTGTCCTTGTAGTAAGGTAGTGTTTGCAGGCTTTAACCACAGAGTTCAAATGGAGGTGAGAAGCTGCTAGCAACACATCCATAACATTGCTCTCTCCAAGCATGAGTGTGGAAGTGTACATCATATCAATGAGAGCAGCAAAAGCTTCAGCTGTCACTACTTCACTGTCCAACTGGATCATGTTCATGGTCTGATCTCCTTCTGCTACAGTGAAAAGAGCACGGAAGTGTGTGCTGCATGCTGCCAGGACTGAGCGATGTGCTTTGAAGTGCCGGTTCCCCACCACAATGACACAGTCACACAGCTGACCATGAAGCCGCTGATAGTTCAACTGCTGAAAGATTTGCTCGAAGTGCCCTGGAAAATCCATGATCCTACGAAGAGAGAGAATATGATGTAAAAACAAGGACCAAACTTCTGGTTTTTAACACACAAATGGGGCACAAAATATACTCTATTGGCCCAAATATAAGCCTGGCCCAAATATAAGCTGGCGGCCTTTCCCCTTCCTCATTCTCTCCCTTCCCAGCCTTGGGGGAGAGGACAGGGGACTACGCACAGGGCGGGTGCCACTTTGCTGCGCTCCTGGCTGCATTCTGTAAGGTCGCAAATATAAGCTGCACTTTAACTTTTCACGGTCAGAATTTGGGGGGAAAGTGTGGCTTATAGTCAGGCCAATACAGTAGACGTTTGATAATTGAAGCTCTTGTACTAGGCTTGTTTTTAAAACTTATCACCACCATATTGAAATACACATGATTTCCTTAGTTTGTAGGAATGTGAATGCAACAGCTTCAGGCCTTAGACACACAATGGGATTCTGCTTGAAAATGGAAACCAAAGTTTAGACTGCAATACAAAAGAGCTGGGCAAGTCCAGGAGATCAGTTTAGGAGCATGTGGCTTGTTTAATGTTAGACTGCAGAGACTGTGCTGGAGAGAAGTATAAGATACTTATACAAAATACTCAGATGCAATTAGTCGAAAGAAATTACAGGGGGATACCAAGAAGGGGAGGAATGTTAACAGCTGAGCAAGCAGACAGATGAAACACCCACAAAAGAAATGTTTGAATTCCCAGCACACTCAATAGCTGCATATATAACAAGGCCATAGGACAACTAGCAGCTTGAGTTGCATGGGCTGCAACAGGTTACCTTATCCAGCACTCAGCAGACCCAACATAAGCCTGTCTTATGTCATGGTTTGCTGTACAATCTGGCCCTAGGGCTAGATTTGTCACTGCGCATTAATAATCATTTCTTCAACTCTGAAGAAATTCTGGGATTAGCCGAGAGAGAGAGTAATTGAGTGCAGTTTTGCAGTTTGCCAGTGGCAAGTAGAACTGGCTGCCCAGGAAACACAGCACACAACAGGTTTGACTCTCTACTGCCCTTGTGGGCTTCTACTCCACAAAACGTGCCAGAACCTGGTCAGTTCCTGTGGTCAGATGCCCCTTGTGCATGTCAGAGAACATTGAAGACCAATTACTAAGGTCACTTGGGTAGTTGGGAACCCCCAGGGAGGGGAACCAAGGCCATGAAGATGGAAGACCACTTTCCAGCTGTTTCTAGAAAGAGGCTCTTACCCTGATAAGAAAGGTAACAGGTTTAGTTATGGCATCTGAAGTATGTGAACCGTTCAAGATCTGCTTATACTCTATGCTTGTTGCTTATACTTTGGTGAGTCAGTTTATCAAATAATTTCTTTTAGTTTGAAAATATTTTGAATTATTTTTTAAAATAAACAATTCATATGCATAGCTGAAAACTGAAATTTTAAAGGGGTTTTGCCTGCCGCCTTCCCCTTTGAAAAAGTTTCCCCCTCCACTACTTGGTTCCAAAATATGCCAGTTCTTAGCTTTAAAGGCTTTAGTGCTCAGCAAATTGCCATCAAGTCAGAGAACAACAACTGAATTCTCTTTCGATTGCCTTTTTTGAAACTGCCAGTTTGAAGTCTTTTTTTCAACTGGTAAAAATATTTTTGGTAAAATGGCCAGTTTCCTTTATGCCAATCATTAAGTTTCATTTTTGTTCTTATTCAGAAAATATTCACTAGGCCTTATTCATGAATAACTAATACTGTATTTACCACTTTTATCATTCAGTTAAATACATATGCACTAACGGAATCAAACAAATAAGTCTACTGATAGCTATATATCTAATATAAAAAGCAGATACGTTGTTTCATAAGATTTCAAAATCCAAATTGGGCAATATTTTTATTAGGCTGAACAAAATGTCAAAAGAAATCAAAACTGAATAAACCAATTATTTCCTCAGTTCAAAGTGGTAAGAATAATTAAAGAAATACTGTGACAAACTGAGGGATGCTCCTCCATTGGGTACTAGGAACTCAGTAACCATAATCTGGAATGACAAGTGGCTGCTTCCATGTTTCTGCAAGAAGGTCCATCTTATCCCATTTCCAATAGTGGCCAAGTCTCCAAGAACAACCTCTGGATAATGCAGCAGCTGTGCCAGCTGCAAGTATGATAAGATTTAATGCAGAATTGAAGACCCATTGTGTTTACTTTTTGACAAAATAATTCTATCTTTAGGAATTGAAAGCTAATGCTCATGGGCTAATGCTTAAAGGGACTGACTCATTCATGGATGTTATTCCATGACACAATGAAGTATTCTTACAAAGTATCCATTTGCTATCTTAAGATACTGTTAACATTATACAGGTAACTTGTTGGAACTATGGTAGCCATTCCTGTTTTGTAAAAATTTGGTGCCTAATTAAGGTGGAGTGGACAGTTTGGTACAAAATTACTTATTTTTGATGAAAAGGGGTGGATGTGGCCTCTGGACATCTGTTGGGTAGGGAATTTGGCCCTTTAATCTGTTTTGAATTCAACTCTCCTGCTTTAGGGAAAAATAGTAAGAGAACTAGTCTTGCTTAATCATGTCCAGCTCTCAAAGGGGAATGCATTGTGACTCTTACTAAGATTAAGTGTGCTCCAAGCATTTCAATTTATAATTCAGAGTGCTAAAAAACTAAGGAATTGTGAGCTAGTGACTCTTACTTGGCTATGTGCAACTGTCATATGCTGTAATTCACTTTTCCCCAACCTGGTGCCCTCCAGATATTTTGTACTGCAACCACATTAGCTAACCATCTGCTGTGCTAGCTGAGGCTACTATGAGTTGTAATGCAAAACATATGGAGGGAACCTGGTTATATAAGTTCCAGAGATCAATTGTGCTCTTAGCGTGTAAAACATGCTTATTTAAACTTAGTAAGTCACCCTAAAAAAGAACATCATAATGTTACAACAGCAAAACACAATCACATTTTACAGTTTGTGACTTAAGGCTACATTTTCTAAGCTGATAAAAAAGCTTAGAAATTAGTTTTTCCCTGCTCATTGTTTTGAGAGATAAACTACAGCTAAAGACACCATGAACTGCACCATGGCTAAAACATGAATATTTGTTTTCTATACTTTCTAGTCTTTGAGGTCATTCCTCATGTTCCTATTTAATGATAAGTACAAGTCATTAAAATTTAGAATTTTCTTTGTAGGATATTTGTGCAGTTTTCTCAGAGTGTCCACACTATTACCAAGTTCTGCTCCAAAGGTTTATTATGTTCTCTTCCTTTTTTCTTCCTGCAAAGAAAGAATTAGTAGTAGCTGGGGAAGAGCCATGGCTCAATGGTAGAGTATATGTTTTATATAAAGAAGGTGCTAGGGTCGATCCCTAGCACATCTAGGTAGTGTCTGAAATACTCAGGAGTCGCTGCCAATCAGTATATACAATCTTGAGCTAGATAAACCAATGGTCCGATTTAGGATAAGGCAGCTTCCTTTTCAAGTGACTTTTTATGTTGCAAATTGCAACTGACAGTCAGTGATAAGAACTTAATTGCATAAAGAATTTCCAAGAAGTAGTATGTTTATGGACAACATGTCCGAGAAAAGAGGCAACACAGCAGAAATTATTCTGAAATAGTTTCAGTCCTAGATGAAAGTAGACCTTTACATCCAAAATACCCCCATGACAAAACTATTGAAGATTTATAGTTACCAACTGGTTCTTGGGTACCTCAGCATAGGTCCACACCTGACAATCCCTGAAGTCTCATCTGGTGTCTTTCCACAATTGAAATAGATGTGTGGACAGTTCTAGAACAGAATGCAACTATGCCTGTCTTCTTGGATAATGGCAGTAGAACAGAGGGCTCTTTTCAAAGGCAGCAGCACCAATACTTATTTACTCCATGCAAAGGAATCTGGGATGGCTCCTGTATCTTTTACTCAGCAGGGCAAATGAAAGTTAAGGGTAAAGTGCCGCTCTTTCCAAAACACAGAACACACTCCAAGCATTGGGTCCTGAGGCTTGTTTTCGCAAGGACCATGCTGGCCTATTTATAGCCCCGCCATGCCCTTATGAACTGCAAGAGAAAGACGACGTTACAAGGCAGCCGAGCCCACTTGAAATTAGGCCTGCCAACTCCCCTGCACCCAATTCAAGCTTTTTCTGCGAAGGGGCGGGGGGGGGGGGGCGGGGAGACGTGTTCAAAGACGACTGTGTCCTGAACAGCCTTTATCAAAGGTGTCATGGGTTTTGAAGACGCTTGAACTCCGAACGAAAGGGAGAAATGTGCTAAGAGGAAGGCACACTTGGCAAACCCTCACAGTGATCAACCCCCACCTGGAAACCTATGGAAGGACGTGTGGATCCAGAATTGCCCTCCACAGTCCCTTACAGACTCACTGTTAAAACCATGTTCATGGAAGACAATCTGACTTGGCTACGAGGGATCGCCAAAGAAGACACTTGATTTCATGCATCTGTTGAGATCCTGCCTTTCTAAATTAGCATTCGAGGCATGATTTTTTTAAAAACAAAACCCAAACACTAAACGTTTCACAGCCCCCTCCCTTCAAAGGGCAGAAGAGCGACACAATGGAGGCTCTCAAGTGCAGCCCCCTCCCACCCAGCCACCCCCAGTCAGTTAGGCCTATGCAAAGCGGGCCGATGACAGAGAACAGGGGCAGCCCCCCCGTCTAGGGCAGGAGGCGCCCCTCCCCACAGGCCACTCACCAGTCCATGCCCCGCCCTCGCCGGGAGGGAGCCCAGGGAGGAGGGGGAGGGGAGAAAGGGGGCGTGGCGGCAGGAACCTCGCGCTCCCTCTCCGTTGACAGCCCGGCCAACGTCTGTCACGGAATCACGCCGCCCCTCGGACCACCACGGAGCATGCGCACCTGCGCCGAAAGAGCCCGCCCCGCCCCCCTCCGAAACAGGCCGCGCTGAGGGGATGGAAAGCAGCCGCCTCGGGCGCTCTCGGCCAACCGCCCTCCACGGGCTTCCTCAAGTGCGCGTGCTCGCGAAGGAACGCCAACCAACCCCTCCCCCACCACACACCTCCCGCGACCCCGCGGCCACCCAACCGCAGCACGCCTCGCCTCGCCCCACCCCCGCCGCGCGCCCCGCAGCCAATGGCGAGGCTGCGCGCCCGCCGCCGCCTGCCACGCCCCTCCCTCGCGCGCTCCCCCACAGCCCCTCGCATGTCACGGCCCAATCACGGCGCAGCACGCGGGAGCGCGCGCGCCCAACGGCCGTTGCCCTCCTGCTCTCGCGGCCTCCCTCACCTGGGCGGGGGGAGGGGAGGGCGGCGTCGACGGTGACGGTCCCCTCCCGTCCCGAGCCCCCGTATCTCCGGGAGGGAGGGGCGCCCGTTGTTCTCGGCTCTGGCGCTGCCCGCTTGTCCTTCCTTCCGCTCCTCAGAGGCGGGAGAAGGGCGGGCTCAGCCGTCCGCCGAGTCTCCGCCTTCGCCGAATGGCTGCGCTTTTCTCTCCCCCCCCCAGCGGATTCCGGGCGGAAGTGACGTTGCTCCCTCAGACGGCAACCCAGAACCCGTCTGAACGGCCTAACCGTCGCAACGGCTAGCTACCCATGCTTGGGCTTCGGCCAATGGGGTGGGCGTTCGGGCTGGTTGCGAAAACGGATTGGGAGCATGCGAGGAGAGGGGCGGGATTCCCCCAACAAACGGCTCGGTGATTGGACAGGACGCAGACACAACTTACTGAGAATTCAGTGCGAAGCGGAGAAAGATTTGGCTCTTGCGCTTCCCCGTTTGACTCGCTTTATAATTTGGCGGCTTTTGCGCGTCCACAAACTTCAAAATTAACACTATAAACAGCTAAAGATGTCAGCTGGGTATCCGTGCCTGTTATACTGAGTATATTCTATGATTGGTATTAGTAATTGTATTAATTTGGTATTGTTATAATGAGGCTATTATTGGATTGTAATTGAAAATTAATAAAAAAAGTATCTAAAAATTGAGTATATTCTGCCACAACTTGGGTTATTTATACCCTGCCTTTTTAAACACGGTACACAAGCTAGCTTGCGAAGATAATATAATTCATAATAAAACTCAACTTAAACAATTTACAGCTCCTGTCAAGCATCTCCGCAGCTGCATTCCAGATCAGTTGTAGCTTCTGTCTTCAAGAGTAGATCCTTGTAAAGCACATTACTGTACTGTAAGCAATCCTGGAGATGACAGGAACAGGACTGGCTGAGATCAGGTCAAATTTCTTCAGGAAAGCGAGCTATTGACATGCAAGATCTGGGGTGCCAACTTCAATAAAATGCCGGGGGGCATTATGCGCCCTCCTGCATAATCGATCACATGTTGCGGTGCATGGACACCATTTGAATGGCATTGCCTATCGACTTTGGGGGCCCCGGCCCCCTCAAATATTTTAGGGGGGGCAAAGGCCTCAAGGAGTTCGCTCCTATGTGCAAGATGGAGTTGATAAAACACTTGTGGCCATCCATTTGCGCATCTGGGTCCAAGAAATCTTCCAGACTCCAAACCTGTTGCTTAAAAGTGACTGCAGTTCCGTTCAGATTAGGCTCAATCCAGGATCACCAGTACTAAAACCTGCAACTAACGGTGCTTCTGTCATGCCTAGATTAAATTTTAGCTTGCCCATCCATCCAAAAGACACTTTTTCAAGAACCTGTGCTTCCTCCTTGGGATCGGAAGCTGGGACTGAAAGAGAGAGCTGGGTGTCATCTGCTTATTTATGATACACTTGCAGCTGTTAAAAAACAAATAATTTTTAGTTTTCCCTGTGGAGGAATAGATATGTTTTAAATTCCTTGGTAAATTATAACTGTTTTGCTTCAAGTGGTTTTTGGTCTTTTCCTTGGTCTGGCTTTAAAAGCAACTTATAAAATGGTCTTATATAATCAGGACTAGAGATGTTTAAAAATCCACTCAGAAAAGCTGAATGCCGCAACACAACCTATAGAAATGATGCAGATTTATATACTTTAACTTATTTTTTCTTCAGCTAGTTATGAGAAGCTGCAAGGGGTACCCCAAACAAGCCAGCTTTTGTATCCATAAGGCAGTTTGCTCTTTTTAAAAGCCAATCTTCTCCAAAAACAATGATGTCCTGGGAATCGAGCAAAGAAGACTGGACGGAAGATCTGAGAATCGAGTCCTGGATCCTCGAGAGGGGCTAAGGAACTACACGTGAACGCGATCTCCTTTGGGAAGGGATCTGGAGTCAATCTCTTGCCAGTTCAGTGGCTCTTTCCCGTCTGCAGGTGGCGAGAGAGGCTTAAGCGAGCAGCACAGGCGGAAGAACCTCGAGTCAGATCACTCCTCCTCTTCCTGGACGCTGGAGACCCGGTCTCAACCGGGAGACCCGGGAGTTCTTGCGTGTTTTGCCATGGCAGCCGAGGCCAGGTGGTGCTACCGGGGGGATCCCCAGGAGGAACAGTGCGCTCCGCTCGGTAAGAAGGAGGGAGAAGCCGGAGGCAATGCTCTTTGTACCCTCTTCTGCTTCCCACTGCGCAATGATAACTTTTCCGCCTTCCTCTGCTCCACGTGGGAATGTGTAGCCTGGCAGCGTGCAAGAGATCTGGCGTGCATTTGCTCGACTCTCGGCGCCCCTAGGGCAGCCGGCAGCTGAGCTTCCCTCCTGGGCAGGTGAAAATGGAGATAGAAAACCGATTGAAAGGATTAGGACCAAGAGTCGCGATTAAGGGTTGCGTTAGCATTGGGCAGGAAAGTTACGAATATGTTCTTACTTGAGTGTGGTTTGGCGTTGACCTTCGACGTTAGTTAAAACAATAGGTATAAGAATGGCAAATCTTGTGTTGTGTTGCCCTTTTATATAATATTATTTATTATATTATATTGATGCTGGTGGTGCTGTGGTCTAAACCATGGAGCCTCTTGGGTTCAAATCTGTGCGATGGTGTGATGCTCTGTCCCAGCTCCTGCCAACATGGCAGTTCGAAAGCATATCAGTGCAAGTAGATAAATAGGTACTGCTGTGGCGGGAAGGTAAACGGCATTTCTGTGCGTTCTGGCTTCCGTCACAGTGTTCCGTTGCGCCAGAAGCGGTTTAGTCATGCTGGCCACATGACCCGGAAAGCTGTCTGTGGACAAACGCTGGCTCCCTTGGCCTGAAAAGCAAGTTGAGCGCTCACCCCACAGTCACCTTTGTGTGGATTTAACCATCCAGGAGTCCTTTACCTTTTTACCTCTTATATTATTATTACTGTGTTTCTTCCCCACCCTTTCTCTTACTCTAGACTCATTGGTTTGTTCTCACCATTTGCTTACAGTTCAGTTTACAAATGGGAAGTTGAAGAGTTCAGAAAATATGAATTTTACCTTGTACAGAAACAAAGACACCAATAACCCCAAAAAGAAAAATAAACGAATGTTGGTAAGTGACATTCCCTTAATACAGGTTCTGTTTTATGTTTCTGTGGAACTGTATATGTGTTTGTTTGTTTTTATTATTAGTTTTATACATTCTGTACATTCTGCTTTTCCTTTATTAAGCTTTCAGAGGTTTATGTAGGGCTGCGGTGGTTTTATCATGAGTCTTTCTTTGTAATAATCTCTTTGGCCGCTGGGAAAGGCCTCAACCATAACATTTCTGTTATATTCCAGTGATAGGAAGTTGGGAATGCTGCCCAGGGTAAGATCTGAGATCCTGAAATGCGACTTCATAATACTTTTAAAAAACCACAGCTGTGCTGATGTAGGCCACATCTTAAGATGTGTTAAAAGGAATTGATTCATGTACGCACACATATTGCCATTACTGTGCTATTTGTTTGAACATGGTGGTAATACATGAGCCTGCAAATCTTAATAGTTGTATAGAAAAGACCGTATCAGGAGGTACATTTTCTCCCACCATAACAAAGGGCCAATGGGACAAGTTGCAATTTCCCAAAATCTCGTTTTTGACTGATTTTTCTAGCTCACCCATGTCAATGTTCCCTCATTGGGAAAATGCAATTCTCAGGGCAATTTCTAGTATTGTCAGTGGATGTGATGGGACTTCCGCTTCCTTTTCTCTCTGCTGCAGAAAATCCTTCAAGGTTTTGGAGCAGATTTTGAGAGTGTGGTGGGAGGAAGAAATGAATAAGAATAAAAATGTGCACCCCACCCCCAAGACCATTCCAACCTCCCAAAATTTCAACACCTCTTGCGATGGTTTGACCCCTTTCCATTTTAACTGTTCTACAAACACCCTCCATATCTTCTCAAAATCATTCCTCCTGCATCTTCCCCATCTTACCTTAATGGCACATGTTAATTTATCATTAATAGCGATATCCCACACCTCTTTATACCATTCTTCCATTTTATATTCTGCTTGCCCCTTCCACTTCCTAGCTATCATAATTTGTGCAGCTGTAAATAAATTTGTGAGCAAGTCCTTCACAGGTTGAGAACCTTCCACCCCATCGTAAATGGATAATAATGCTACCTCTGGAGCGAGGCCTACAAAATCTAAATCCCACAGAAAAATAACAGAACCTGTGATTTTTTTTTGCGTGGAAAGTGGCTGCCTAAGAAAGGGCCCATGCCATTGGTGGTGCCAAGTACTGGCAGTTCACTTGCCAATGCCATTTTTGTCAAAAATTTAGAGTTTTCTTTAAAAAAACTTATTTATTACGTTGACTAAGAGTCAGGGATTGGCAGCCTATGGGTACAACCTGGCTCAAGGAGGGAGAACAGCAGGCTCCATATCGCTACCGCCTTACAATGCCGGGGCAACAAAAGTTGTGTATCTTTCCAGCTAGTCGTCTTCTGACTGGACTCAGTAAGCCTCTAGCTGGAAGGAAAGGTGAAACAGGAGAAAATCATGTGTTTGATTACTGTGCAACCACGTGTGTTATCGTTTATTTGGGACTTTGTCAGTCTTGAGGTTAGCAAATCCCCATTCTGAGGTGAAAAAAATTGGAGCTTTCAGGAGTATTTAAGCCAGTGTGGAAATCTGCTTTCACCTAGAAAACCTGCACCCAGAACTCACTCTTTTTTTTCTTCCTTCCTGTTTAGAATGCGGAAACAGAAAGACTCTCTTATGTAGGAAATAACTTTAGCACAGGAGCTATGAAAAGCAGGACTCCATGCAGGTATAATTTGTGAAGCTGTCTAAAATGCATGAGTATAGCAGTATGTTTGCTTTCTTTAGACTGTCAGCATGATGCTGGTTGTAAATGTTTGAGACTGTAAGTATGAATTGGTTCAAGATAGCAATCTTTGTTTCTTAACATTTAAATGGAGTGTTTTGAGTCACAAAGACAAATATGTGCTCTGTTTCATAAACTACAGACACCATAGACTATAAAATCAGACAACTGTGCATGTCTTAGAGCATAATACCATAATGATGCTTATATTTATTCAATAGTTCCCAGCCCCTTGGTAAATTACCAATGGAAGTGACAAATGTAAAGAGCCTTGCAAGTTTAGGGGTCCACCAATTTAGATTATTATTCAATAGTTCCCTTTATTGCTTCTTGTGGGTTGGTTTGTTTATTGGCTAATTGCCTGTTTCATTATCCTGTTTGCAACATTTATATGCCGCCTTTCTGTCAATGCATTGATTGAAGGTGGTTCACAGTTCAAAATAATGGCTTTTAGTATAATGGTTGCAATACAAAAGGGAGAAGGGACAAGAAGGAAGAAGAAAGTAAGTAAAGCTGTAGTCACTCTAAGAGGCAACCAAGGAATGGGAAGAACCAAATAATAATTTTAGCTAGCCTTTTGCCACAGAAACGGGTCATAAGGAGGCTTACAGTACAGTGATTTCAAGTAAGAAATACTATTTGAGTCATAGACGCAAAAACTGCTAAAATAATAAATCTGGCTAATGATTACAATTGCTGTAGAAAACAAAAGATGTCCTCCCAATGCAATGTGCTAGCTATTACTAAACTAGGAAAAAATAGTACAGCCGGTTAGCTTTTGAGATTAAATATTATCTCTTCCATTAGATACTTTGTTGGTGTATTAGACAAGAACTCTGGACAAATGGAAGTCTATAATGCAGAGTTATTCAACATGCAGCCATTGATTTCAGGTGGGTAAAATATGCTTCTTCATATTTATAGTGGATTTGAGGGGCGCTGCTTATATTCCTGGTGGCCTGTACTAACACAGAGTCAGGTAATATATACTGAATGTTGTCTAGGTTGCATTTTGATTGCGGTTCTCAAAGAAAAAGTTGGGGCTTTCTAAGAAGCAAGCTGCATAATCACCCCAGCTGTATGACACACTCCTTGCCGGATTGTTCTGGCTTGAACGCTGTCGCGTGTTAAAAATAAAAACCTAGCCTGTCAGGGAGAAAGGCTAGTAAGGAATACTTCTCCGTCATATGCGACTTTTCAGTGCGCAGGATTCCTTCAATATGAAGGGACATTCAAGCATGTGATTTCCCCCTCCCTTCAGTACTGTTGTTGCAAGCATATAAGGAATACAGTGGTGCCTCACAAGACGAAATTAATCTGTTCCGCGAGTCTCTTCGTCTTGCGGTTTTTTCGTCTTGCGAAGCACGGCTTAGCGGCTATTAACGCATTAGTCCGCTCTTTCTTATCACGCCCAAAGAGATCCAACTTGTAAGTCTAACAGGCTAATGAGCCATCTGTGGTTGAACTAGGAATACTCCTGGCCACACACACTTTAGCGGCTTAGCGGCTATTAACGGCTTAGCGGCTATTAACGCATTAGTCCGCTCTTTCTTATCACGCTCAAAGAGATCCAACTTGTAAGTCTAACAGGCTAATGAGCCATCTGTGGTTGAACTAGGAATACTCCTGGCCACACACACTGTAGCGGCTTAGCGGCTATTAACGGCTTAGCGGCTATTAACGGCTTAGCGGCTTTAAGAAAAAGGAAACAAACTCGCAAGAACTCTCAAGACGTTTTGTCTTGCGAAGCAAGCCCATAGGGAAATTCGTCTTGCGGAACGACTCAAAAAACGGAAAACTCTTTCGTCTTGCGCGTTTTTCGTCTTGCGAGGCATTTGTCTTGCGAGGCACCACTGTACCTGTTGCCCACTCAAAATGTGTCCAAGAATCGACAGGCGCAGCAGTGGAGAAAAAGAAGGCAAAGTTTATTGCTGAGCAATAAAGACCCAGTGGAATAGTTTCCAGAGCCTGGCCCCCGAAGCCCCTGGGCATTGGGTTTTTTTATACCTGATTACAAACAGCGGAAAACATGACATATTCATATATTGCAGCAAAATCAAACCAATGAGCGGGCACAAGCTCTTCCTCTGCCCATGTAAAGAATACTTCTGCTTTTCTCAGATGGTGCATCTTCATTGCCCTCTAATTTTCAGCAATAAAGAGGAAAAGAAACCTATTTGACCATTGAAACCTGAAGAACCCCCACCATCTGTTGTCGGCTAGAAAATGGCATTGTGGTATACTGCTTTTTCCTGTTCCCCACCTCCACCCCATCTCGTGAACATGAGAAGCAGTCTGGCGAAGATTCCCTATAGAAAAATGCCAACACATCAGATTTATTGTTTCCTTCAAGCACGATAGCCGGGCAGAGAGAGAAGTAGGGCAAAGGGCTTGAGATTTAAGCACTTTTAGCTCTGCTGAAGCCTTAGTGATTTGAACATCATTAGGATATATGGATATATAAAAATCATCATTAGGATATATGGTTATATATGGATATATGATTATATAGAAATCATAAAGGTAAAATTCTTCCAGGTGGTTTTGCCACACTGTGAAGCAATACAATCTAGCCAGAGGCGTGTCACATGTGACTGCTGACAATGTAGCTCAGCGCTAAAGAGGAGCATGCAGCCTATGAGGACCCATTACCTCCAGTTTCAGGCTAGAAGGCAAGGTTTGGTGTATTACTTTTTGGTTAAATGAACCCCAGATACACTGCTGTTGCCTCACTCCTGCCCTCTTGGTGTTGGGATGGGTTTCTATGGTCAAATATGGATTACACTCATACAGATGCATCAAGCCATGTGAGAAGCAGTTGTTGCTTCATGGTATCTTTCTCCTGCCCACTGCTTGGAAGATTGGAATGACTTGTTTTGGTCTTCTGGAAGCTTGCTGAGAACCTGCCAGCACATGAATGCAGGTGGCAAATCAATCACATGGACCTTCCACATCAAATATTCCCTGCCTGAGAAATGCAAGAGGGACAAGGGTTCCAGGCTAGTTTCCTGGACAAGCTAATATTCTGCGTGCTACAATTTAAGAAGGATAAACTGGAACGTGGGCAGAGGCAGGCAACCAAGGTGATCAAGGGTCTGGAAACCAAGCCTTATGAGGAACAGTTGAAGGAGTTGGGTATTTTTAGCCTGGAGAAGAGAAAACTGAGAGGAGATAGGATAGCCGTCTTCAAATATTTAAAGGGTTGTCACATGGAAGATAGAGAGAGCCTGTCTTCTCTTGCTCAGGGTGGGGACTGGGACCCAAACCAATTGGTTCAAGTTACAAGAAAGGAGATTCCGACTAAACATCAGGAAAAACTTTATGACTGTAAGAGCTGTTTGACTATGAAACAGAATCCTACGAGAGGTGGTGGACTCTCCTTCCTTGGAGGTTTTTAAGCAGAGTTTGGATGGCCACCTGTCACGGATGCTTTAGTTGAGATTCCTGCATTACAGGGGGTTGGACTAGATGTCTTGGTCATGGTGGCTACTTTGGAATCTGCTGGATTGATTGCTTCTGTCGACAGGTGTCTTATGTACAGGTACTGTAATGAGCTGGGATTACAGGTAAGACCTCTCCCTTACAGCAGGTGCTTCTAATCTCAGCTCGTTAAATACAGTGAAGATACCAGGTAGCCTGACATCTGGCTGCTTGATAGGGGATCCAATACTTATTTCACTCATTACAATGCACATCAATCTCTTCTGGGTTTCTGGGGGGGGGGGGTTCCTGTTGCTTTTCTGTCTCCCACAGCTACAATAAACCTACCATTGAAATTATGGACTGGTCATTTCTTCATCAGAGGGCAAACGGGCACATTTAGCAGGGGATCAAATACTTTCCCCCCTCACTGTACCTGCCAACTCTACAATTCTATGATTTGGGAGGATATTAAAACATGCACTTCCTAATCCTGGTTAAGTACATGCTTTTTTCTGAATGTTTAAGTTGGTTCTTGGATAGCACTTTAGAACCCCTTGTAGGCCAAAGAGAACATGGTGTCCTCACTAACCTCTGATTGGCAGAGCATAGAGATCCTACTGGAAAGCCATTTCGATGAGAGGACCTGTAACAACAGCTTCATTGTGCTTCGTGGTGTTGTAATGTAGATGCTTTCATTTCCCCATGCTTCAGGTTCCCGTTGGTGGGGATCAGGGCCAGACTGACTTTGAGGGCTGTCAGTCCTGATTGTGCTAAATTGTTATCCTTTTCTTTTCTTTTAACAGATGGTGTAGCTGATGATGACCTGTCAGAATATTTGACTAAATCCTATCGAGAGAAGGTACAATTTACAAAGTTGTCTGTGGACAAATGCCAGTTCCTTTGGCCTAAAAGCGAGATGAGTGCCGCAACCCTATAGTCGCCTTTAACTGGACGTAATCGTCCAGCAGTCCTTTACCTTTACTAGATAGACTCATAGGTTCCTATAAAAGTATGTGAATGACCTCTCATTCCTACTTTTGCCCTCACACAGGGTCTTCCTGGAGTGTTCAACTGCCATTAATTTCACAGTCTTTGATTCTAGCAATAGAATCTCAATAGAATCTCTTGCAATAGTATACGTCTGCTCATAGTTTAATGGTTTGTTTTTTCATGGATTATTGCTTCAGCAATGTTTCTAGAAATCACTACATAACAAGCTGTTTTTATGTTGCTGAATCTAAAAAGATGACCCAGCTGTAACTGGGAAGAGAATGGGTATGTTTTGTTTAAACAGTGTTTGCCAGATAATTTGGAATAATTTAATTCCCTGGTTGCCTTCTCATAATTCCGCTGCCTTCAATGGGTTTGAAATACGAGATTTATTATTAGCACCTTATTAGCTGCCCCCAAAGTGAGCTTGCCTTGTGACTTATTCCAGTGAGAATAGCCTTGTGGTGCTGGTGCAGCAATTTCTTGATTATGCATTTGCAGATAGATATGTGCATTGAAGCCTTTGGAACCAACAAGCAGAGAAGAGCCCTGAATTCTCGGAGGATGAATGAGGTTGGCAAGGAGGTGTTGAATAAGGCTGTAACCAAAGCGGCAGAAGACATTATAGAGACAAAGGGGGTTGCTGGTAAGTAACGACAGCTTTGGAGAAGAAAAATTGGAGCACCAAGCCTGCCTAATAGATTTCCCAGAGTCCATTTCAGTCTCTGAACTTATCTATTAACAGACGTGGTTTACAAGAAGAAAAAAACAGAGTGCATAGTCGAAGCACACAGATAATACAGTCAACACAGTTCTGATTATTTATGTTAAGAAAAAACCAAATCTGTATTAACTGTATCCATAACTATATGACAAAAATCAAAGGAAATTATTAGGCAGCATAAACACTGTTCACACAACCACTTTCATAGCATCTCTTTCACCACCCATGCAAATAATAATAATAATAATAATAATAATAATAATTTATTTATACTCCCACCCATCTGGCTGGGTTTCCTCAGCCACACTGGGCGGCTCCCAACAGAATATTAACAACACAACAAAACATCAAACATTAAAAACTTCCCTAAACAGGGCTGCCTTCATATGTCTTCTAAAAGTCAAGGAGATAAGCAACTACCTGACATCTGATGGGAGCGCATTTCACAGGGCGGGCACCACTGCCAAGAAGGCCCTCTGCCTGGTTCCCTGTAGCTTCACTTCTCACAGTGAGGGAACTGCCAGAAGGCCCTCGGAGCTGAATCTCAGTGTCTGGGCTGAACGATTGGGGTGGAGACACTCCTTCAGGTATACTGGGCTGAGGTCGTTTAGGGCTTTAAAGGTCAGCACCAACACTTTGAACTGTGCTCGGAAACGTACTGGGAGCCAGTGTAGGTCTTTCAGGACCGGTGTTATATGGTCTCAGCAGCCACTCCCAGTCACCAGTCTAGCTGCCACATTCTGGATTAATTGCAGTTTCTGGGTCACCTTCAAAGGTAGCCCCACGTAGAGCAGTAGTCCAAGCGGGAGATAACCAGAGCATGCACCACTCTGGCAAGACAGTCTGCCTGCCTACCAGATGGAGCTAGTAGAGAGCTGCCCTGGACACAGAATTGACCTGCACCTTTATGGACAGCTGTGAGTCCAAAATGTCTCCCAGGCTGCGCACCTGGTCTTTCAGTGACACAGTTACCCCATTCCCTATTCAGGACCAGGGACTCCTCAACACACCATCATCATGATTATTATTTTTTATTTTATTTTATTTATACCCTGCCCAATCAACCACTCATACCCAAATTGCTCATGGTCACCAGAACTACAGGCTGCATGCTCACTGTGCATTCACATTAGTTGGCAGCCAATGCATTGGCAGACCATGGTGGCTGCTGCAGCTATTGCATTTCGGTGTTGCATATTCTCCCTGCTTCTCGGGATAACATTCCGTTTGCCTTCATAGCTTTGGTCAGCGATGCGGCAGAGGGTGATAAGGCCGATGTCTCTCTCGTTCTTCCCCCATGCCACGAAGATGCTGGCAGACCAGAGGATGTCTACAAGCTCGAGGACAGTATCCTTTATAAGCTTGCATCGCAATGTGGGCAGAACCCAACCTTAATGTAAAGGAATAGGCTTCAGTGTCACGGGGCAGGAGAAGAGAAAGTGTGTGTGGCCAGGAGTATTCCTAGTTCAACCACAAATGGCTCATTAGCCTGTTAGACTTACAAGTTGGATCTCTTTGGGCGTGATAAGAAAGAGCGGACTAATGCGTTGGGGGTTTCAGAAGCTCAGTTTTAGTGGGAAATAGTACGATGGTAACGGGACACGGGTGGCACGGGAGCCTAGGACTTGCCGATCAGAAGGTCGGCAGTTCGAATCCCTACGACGGGGTGAGCTCCCGTTGCTTGGTCCCTGCTCCTGCCAACCTAGCAGTTCAAAAGCACATCAAAGTGCAAGTAGATAAATAGGTACCACTCCAGCGGGAAGGTAAACAGCATTTCCGTGCGCTGCTCTGGTTCGCCAGAAGCGGCTTTGTCATGCCAGCCACATGATCCGGAAGCTTTCTGTGGACAAACGTCGGCTCCCTCGGTCTATAGAGTGAGATGAGCGCACAACCCCAGAGTCAGTCACGACTGGACCTAATGGACCTTTACCTTTAGTACGATGGTAGCACTGAACTAATGTGTAGGCTAGAGATTTGGGCACTCGTGAAGTCTGATCACATATAACGTTAACCATTGTAAGGAAGGAAGCATTTTTCTCCTTACCTAAATGGTATCCTTGGGGGAATCCTGCCTTGGCCTGGCAGGTTGAAGGTTCTCTCAGCTTCCATAAAATCGATCTGCCCCAGACTACCCTCCTTTATTTCACTGTTCCATAATCATGGTTGATGACAGTGATTGGATAGTGAAGTGTGTCCCCCCACCCATATATAGATTTATTCTGTGTGTGAGAGAGAGAGTGTTGAGTATCCCAGGACCTTGCTAGATTGCTCTGTCTTTTCATAAATCTTGAAGTGATGCTATAGCTGAAACTAGTTCTTTGAGGGATGAGGGCTAGATTCTGGTAAAAATAAATGACCCTGAGACATTAGCTCAAAGTCAGAAATATACTGGAGTTCACTCATGGTTGTGCTATAATCTTCTTTGCTATACAGTCAGTTTTATTGCACATAGCCAAAGGCTGCTGCAATGTACACAGGATCATTCAACAATTAAAAGAAATTATACTGGATTGATACAGTTGTACCTTGGCTGGCGAACGGAATCTGTTCCGGAAGTCCGTTCAACTTCCAAAATGTTGGCAAACCAAGGCACTGGCTGATTCACCCCGGAAAAAATGCCGACAGCCGAAACAGACGTTCGACTTCCAAAAAACGTTCGCAAACCGGAACACTTACTTCCAGGTTTGTGGCGTTTGGGAGCCAAAACATCCGAGCACCAAGGCGTTCAAGAATCAAGGTACGACTGTAATAGAATACTTAGAAAGCATTTTTCATTGGTACAGAAGAGAGCATCCCTCCCTCACAGGCTAAATAGATCTGGCGAAAGACGTTTTGTCTTTCCCCACTAATTAGAAAGTTCTCCTACATGTGCCTAGCTGAAATGAAAAGGGGTGGTGCAGTCCTGATGGGCTGGCTGCCATTCTTAAGGGTGTCCCACCTCACGTCACTGCCTCATGGTAGGACTGCCTCTGGGAGCTAAACCTCAGTTAGCATTTGGAGGACCCTAGGAAGTCATCGCGGGTGGCACTGTGGGTTAAACCTTACAGACCCTAGGACTTGCCGATCAGAAGGTCGGCGGTTCGAATCCCCGCAACGGGGTGAGCTCCCGTTCCTTGGTCCCAGCTCCTGCCAACCTAGCAGTTCGAAAGCCCATCACAGTGCAAGTAGATAAATAGGTACCGCTCCGGCGGGAAGGTAAACGGCCTTTCTGTGTGCTGCTCTGGTTCGCCAGAAGCGGCTTAGTCATGCTGGCCACATGACCCAGAAGCTGTACACCGGCTCCCTCAGCCAGTAAAGCGAGATGAGCGCCGCAACCCCAGAGCCATCCACGACTGGACCTAGTGGTCAGGGGTCCCCTTTACCCTTTAGGAAGTCATCAGAAGCCAGCTGTGTTGTTATTGTTTTTCTGAAAAAGGCTCTAGTTATTCCACCTGCTGAGTATGAGGCGCTTCAGGCTCCTGCGGCAGCTTTCATGAATGTAACCTCAGAAGAAATCCTCAAAATGGCAGAAGAGAAAAGGTATGGGCAGTCTTAACGTTTTGCTGAGGAAAGGGAGTATTGAAATACTGCCTTGCGCTAACCAAAGAAGAGTGGCAGCTTAAGTTGACAGAATACGTGCAGCTTGCAGAATTAACATATAGAATAAGAGAACAAGAAGAACATACATTTAAAGAAGACTGGAAAATGTTTACTGAATATATGGGTGAAAACTGTGTACAGCTGAAAACACTGGCAGAATTAAGATAAATTCAACAGGGTAGATAAGTTTTGATGGATGTAATAACGGAATACTGAATGGTTTAGTTTATGTTAAATATGCAGGGATTTATGATATGCAAAAGGAACAGTGGAAAGAGAAGAAGGGAAGTCATTGGTGTTTTAAGGTTGTTTAAATGAATATTCTAAATTGTAAAACAGAATCTAATAAATATTACACACACACACACACACACACACACACAGAGAGAGAGAGAGAGAGAGAGGTATATTTTCCTTTTCTCCTCCTCCTCCTAGTGTGGGTTTATGGCAAAATTGTCATGCCATGCTACTGTAGGCTTTCAGAATAGTTAGGGAATCTTTTACTCTTTAATCAAGGTGTGTTATGTATTGTAATTTGCTACCTACTTAGACTGTAACTTTGCTGTCTAAAGCAGCATTTTTATATATTCTGTCCCTCCTATTTTATGAAATAAACCAAGCTTTCTTGAAAGAAAAAGGAACTGGGAATAGCCTGGTGGGAACTGAGCGGCATAGCGGGATGAGGAACGCTATACAGGCGGGCATAATTACAGGGGTACGATGAGCTGGATATCCATCCAGCTTCTTAAATCTGTGTTCCTTAGTCCTAATTATAGAGGGTGCCAAGGCATAAACAAGCAACAGTAGGTTTCACAGGACAGTAAATGATGTCCAAAGTAAATTCTAATTGGAGTATACCCATTGAAATTAATAAGAAGAAGTTCATTTCTTTCAATGGATCTACTCTGAAAAGGACTAACATTGGACGCAACCCAATATCTTCGTTTTAACAGGGTGGCTTCTGTTGTAACACTACGCTTGCTTTTAAATCACACAGAATTCTGTTAATTTGCAGTAGCCGGAGAAGCTACTTCTGTTGCCAGATGCACTTTGGCCTAATGACAGCCTCTTCTGTCTTCCCTAGATACTGCTCCTTTGTCCTGGATGAACTTAAGGCCATGCCTCTGGATGAGAAGAAGCGTGATCACAAGGCTCGATGTCTTTCGTTTTTGGATTGTCTTGTCAAGCTGAGCTCGCAAAGGGTAGTTAAAAAGAAACGTAAGATTTCCCTCCTTGCACCTCTTACTTACCTGAAAGATAATAATCTATTCATGTCACCAGTAATCCTTTTAACCCACTTGACTTTCGATTCATTGAGAACCACACCTCATCTGCAGAGGTGTCATGGGCAGTGTGAAAAAATCTCTTTGCTGTCACGTATCGCATGCTCTTTTGACATGTTTGGCAGCTACTTATACAGTGGTACCTTGGTTCTCAAACTTAATCCATTCCGGAAGAACGTTCCAAAACCAAAGCGTTCCAAAACCAAGGTGCGCTTTCCCATAGAAAGTACAGTGGTACCTCTGGTTACGTACTTAATTCGTTCCGGAGGTCCATTCTTAACCTGAAACCGTTCTTAACCTGAAGCACCACTTTAGCTAATGGGGCCTCCCGCTGCTGCCGCGCCGCTGGAGCATGATTTCTGTTCTTATTCTGAAGCAAAGTTCTTAACCCAAGGTACTATTTCTGGGTTAGTGGAGTCTGTAACCTGAAGCATATGTAACCCAAGGTACCACTGTAATGCAAAACGGATTAATCCATTTCAGACTTTTAAACCCTAAAGCAGCAATTTAACATGAATTTTGCTATCTAACGAGACCATTGATCCATAAAATGATCAGGCATATCCATCTTCCCCCGAGGGGGCTGGGGTGGGTGGCTGGGGTGGGCGGACAGCTCTCTCTCCCCCAAAAGCCAGCGCACAATCTCTCCTCAAATCAGCTGGGCTGTGGAGCTCTACCAGGGGACGCTTCTCCCCACTCCCCACCCCAATCAGCATGCGATCTCTAGATCCCTCTCTCTTTTCTCAAACCAGCTGGGCTGCGGAGCTCTGCCACGACGCTTCTCCCCACCTCCCCAATCGGCGCGCACAGTCACAAAAACAAATTAACCAAAAAAAAGCCTCAAAAATGCAAAATAAATAGCAAAAACAAAAGCTCCAAATATAAGCTCCAGATAATCACCTCAGAACACTGCAATTAAAATGGGGGGGGGGGGAGGACGCAAATTAGCAGTGCAACAGTAAAGACAGAAAGGGAAGCCTTCAATTGCAATAGGTAAAGGTAAAGGGACCCCTGACCATTAGGTCCAGTCGTGACCGACTCTGGGGTTGCGGCGCTCATCTCGCTTTACTGGCCGAGGGAGCCAGCGTACAGCTTCCGGGTCATGTGGCCAGCATGACTAAGCCGCTTCTGGCGAACCAGAGCAGCGCACGGAAACGCCGTTTTACCTTCCCGCCAGAGTGGTACCTATTTATCTACTTTCACTTTGACGTGCTTTCGAACTGCTAGGTTGGCAGGAGCAGGGACCGAGCAATGGGAGCTCACCCCGTCGCGGGGATTCGAACCGCCGACCTTCTGATCGGCAAGTCCTAGGCTCTGTGGTTTAACCCACAGCGCCACCCGCATCCCATTTCAATTGCAATGGGGAGGCACAAATTAGCATTGCAACAGTAAAGACGGAAGCTCAGGACTCAAAACAGAGCATGTTCGGCTTCCGAGGCAAAGTTCGCACATCGGAACACCTACTTCCGGATTTGTAGCGTTCAAATTTCAAGTTGTTCGTGAACTAAACTGTTCAAAAACCGAGGTACCACTGTATCAGCTATGCAGTATACAAAATCTGATTTTTGCTGTTCACTTGTGCACATACCATATCTGGCAAATAAGCGCAATGGCTTGTGACCCGTTCATGTCGACTGCAATATGTTAACAGTGTTTCACAACACAATGAAGCTATTGTGGATTTCAAAATGGTAATTTAAGCCTACAGGATGTTCTGTGGTGCAAAGATTTAAGCAGATATCTTTGAGCAGGTCTTGGAAGCATGTGGACAACACGCAGATGTAGAGAGGTTGAGCTTCTGCTCTTGAGGAGACCCAGCTGATCTTTCTGGAAACTTGGCAGGGTGGGAATTTTTGCAACCTGCATGAGTTTTATGCAAATTAGGCTTGTTTTGTATGGTTTAATCTGCTAATCAAGGGGGAGGGGCAACCATGCCATGAACCTACAGAGCTCTCCTCTGGCTTCTGTTTTCAGATTTATACTTTCAGCTGGAAGGACGAATGTCTTGCTTTAAAAAAAAAAATTATTAGAAACTTAAACAAAACATATTATCCAAAAACATCACATGCTTAATTTTCCCCCATTTTCCTCCCTCCCATAACCCCCCCCCCGACTTCCCTCAGTTCCAATCTTTGCTTTATGAACATCTGGAGGGTGCAGATGCTTTTTTTAAATGGAAGTTGAGATTTTTCTGGATGTTGTGTTGTATGCCCAACAGCTCATTCTGTCATTTTGATGTGCATGCTCAACTCTGCAGTGAGCACTGCCGGGTTGTACCTTACAGTATTGGTATATACAAAATATATGCCATATATCCAGTTAAAGTGGGTTTTTTGGGGGGTGAACTAACTTTACAGTGCTTCTTGTTCTAGTTGCACTGGGACCCGATTGTCCACTCATTGTCAGCAACCAACTTGTGAAAAACTTTACAGCACTATCCTTTGGCAACGGCAGGTAAAACATACTACTTTGCTCTTACGTCTCTCAATATATTTTTTTTCTTTTTTTTTTAAATTAACATATTTATTGAAAGTTCAAAAAGTGCATAACTGTATGTGCACCAAACATGGTGAGACGCAAACAAAAAAGAGAAAAGGAAAAAGAGAAACAGAACCCGTGTAGAAGGTAAAACAAAGGGGGGAGGGGAGGAACCCAAAATTGTATATTTTACAACGTGGTTGTTGTACTTCACCAGATCTTAACCTATTACAGTATTTGTAAGAATGGATTCCAAATATCATTGAATTTGTCCATGGCAAGTCTGCATTTATATGCAAATTGTTCATATGTTGCGAGTTTGTATAAATCTTCAATTCTATCGTAGAAGGGAGCCACATTTTTATTTTTCCAATTCATCAGTATCCGTCTTTTTGCTGTGGTAAGGGCAGGGAGAGTCTACTCATACTGTCCTTTTGTAAGGTTCCATGTGCTGGGTATATAATTCAAGAGGATATTTTGCTCTTTAAATATAAGGTTGTTCTGTTGATGGTTTCAGTTACCTTCTGCTAAAAATCTTTCAATATAGGACAATGAAAAAACTTACGTTTTAGAAAAGCATTATCCCTATTGTATCTCCAACAGTTAGATACCTTAGATAACCCCTTTTTAAACAAACATAATGGGGTCCAGTATATTCTAAATATTATTTTTGTTGTTGTATGAGCCTCAATTTAAGATCCAGAGACACCCTTGTTATATCAGTTAAAACAGTTTCCCATTCTGGTTTCTCTTCAGATCGTGTAAATCTTTCGCCTTGCACGTCTATCAAAACTTGTTGATCTTAATTTGAACTGGCTAGGCCTTGGTCACTCGCTAAGCCGGGTTTTGCAGTACCCTAACACAACAAGGATGAAACAATTCTTTCCAGGAGAAAGTGTGTGTGTGTTCTTCCTTCCCAGTGCATTTCAGCTGTATACTGCAATATATTTTGGGGGGCGGATATTTATTCCTAAATTCCTTGCTGTATGATGAGTCTCCCCAACTCGGGGAACACCCAACAGTGTACCTACATGTGATCTCTGCAATTGAGCTAGAATATAAGGGTTCAGGCAATATCTGAGGTACCCTGGACTCAAGTTGCTCTGGGCTTTGTAAATCAATAAAAGGAGTTTAAACCTGGCTCTGTAGTAGTAGATGGACAGCAAGTACAGGTTTTTTTAAAAAAACAATGGTGCCATGTGTTCTCGGCCAGGTGTCTGCATCTGCAGCAGCTGGAGTTTCTGAACCAAACCCAAGGGCAGCCCCACATAGAGCTCAATACAGTAGTCCAGCCTCAAAGGTTCCCAATGCATGGGCTATCTCTGTCTAGGAACGGCTGTAGCTGGTGAACGAGATGAAGCTGCCCAAAGGCAAACGTGTATCTGTTTAGTGTGCTTCCGTTAGTCGTGGGGAGTAAATGTTCTGCAGGGTGTAGAAGCTCAACTCCCTGACCTGTGGAAATCTTAAGCATCCCCTCCTGTCTTCAGAGATCTCACCACACATTGGCTGCATCCTTGGGAGTCTGGGTCTTGCTTTTTTTAGAAAAAAGGAAAGGAAGGAAGTACTCCAGAAGCTAAATTCTGCACCTGACGAATGCTATGAATCATCAGATATACCTTGCTCTGGTTCGTACAAAGCGTAACTTGCTGCTTGTCTTAAAATACTGCTCTTCTAACAAGCACCACTTTCCCCCAAGCCATGATGTACTCAGGCCTGCATGTGGGCCAAGATTTCACAGGCCAAAGCATAGAGCAAGCAAAGTAAAGGAGTAAAAACTGCTGAACATTTATGCAAAATGGGGAAAATAATTCCAATTTGCAACTGCAGAATTCATCTTTCATCCCGGAATTTAAGTTTTTTTTATGGTGAAGGTCTCCCGTTTTGTTCTTTCTGAGCGTGGGTTGGCCTGTAGAGTGTACACTGCCCTGATTCACCCTCTCCTCTTTTGGTGTCTTAGGCTACAGAATCAAGTTTCTGCTTCCATGAAAGTGAAGATTACGGCCTATGCCATAGCGCTGGCTTTGCATATTAACAACTTCCAAACAGACCTGACAGTGTTACAGCGGGACCTGAAAATGCGGGACTCCAGGTGAGGTTAACCTTGACTGTGCTCATGCGAGTCCTTCATGGCTTCTGTAGCATCTCCAGTGCTTCCCGGAGAACCTTAAAACACTCTCTTTCCGCACCCCACCATTGATTTCAGTGTTGGTCTCAAGGCCTATTATCTTCTGATCCAGATAAGGGGATTTTTTTAAAAAATGTGAAGATTTTCTTTATCAGAATTTTCAGCCAAAAGTGTCTCTCAGAACAGCTTACAAAGATGCAGGTGGCTCTGTGGTCTAAACCACTGAGCTTCTTGGGCTTGCCGATCAGAAGGTCGGCGGTTCGAATCCCCGTGACGGGGTGAGCTCCCGTTTCTCTGTCCCAGCTGCCAACCTAGCAGTTCGAAAGCACGTCAAAGTGCAAGTAGATAAATAGGTACCGCTCCAGCGGGAAGGTAAACGACGTTTCCATGCGCTCTGGCTTCCGTCACAGTGTCCCGTTGCACCAGAAGCAGGGAAGGATAAGTTACCCCTTCTTTCTGATGCTGGGTGTTTGGCCTTAGAGACAATGCTAACAATGTGAAGGTGGTGGAACACAAATATGAGTAAATCGGTCTCTTTACATGCATCTTTTATTTTCTCCTGTCAGGATACTCGACATTGCCAAGGCAATGAGGCTGAAGATCTCCAAAAGCAAAAGCCTCTCTGGATTGGATGAACACAAACTGGGGACACTGTCTCTGCCCTTGCCTGTGTACAAAATGCCATCAGGCGGAAGGAAACGCAAGGCGAACTAAATGGCGACTGTCACTCTTTGTCAAGCCCTGACTGTTCTCCAGTGTCACACCAGGCTGAAGGAATGAATTTGTCTTCCAGTTGTTGCAACTGAGCACCTTCTTGAACTGGACAAGGCCTTAATAAAGGATTAGACCGACATCTGCTCTTGTAGAGTGAGTTGTAGTCCAGCAACAGCTCAGCTCAGGACCCAAGTTTGACAAACACTGCCAACTTGCAGCACTCAAGATTATCTTGGCCCAGGAGTAGGGAGTGGGGAAAGCTGTACAGTGGTACCTCGGGTTACATATGCTTCAGGTTACATACGCTTCAGGTTACAGACTCCGCTAACCCAGAAATAGTGCTTCAGGTTAAGAACTTTGCTTCAGGATGAGAACAGAAATCGTGCTCCAGCGGCATGGCGGCAGCAGGAGGCCCCATTAGCTAAAGTGGTGCTTCAGGTTAAGAACAGTTTCAGGTTAAGAACGGACCAACGGAACGAATTAAGTACTTAACCTGAGGTACCACTGTATACCCCAACTGTAGCTGGAAGGCCAGGAATTATCCATCCCTATCTTAGACCCTGGTCAGTGCTCTGCCATCCCTTTATCCTTTTCCACACTATACCCCAGGCCCCTAGCCACCCCACTCCTGGTTCTTATAGAGGCTCTCTCCTGTCCCCTAGACCATGCTTTCCCACCTCATCACATAAGTTGGGACTCTATACCAAAACATCCTTGTACCCATGGACCTCTGTTCCACTCCCTCTCAGAGCTAACTTCTATAAGGTCATGCTTTCTGGTACTCTAACAAAGGTACCTACTATATGCAAGTAGATCTGAGAAGTCTTCTTTTTCTGTTGTATGCGAGTCTCTGAAAAGAATAGCTATCAATTTCCCAGGCAGAAAAATGAGAAGCATCAGCATGCGTCACTCACTGCTGTTATTAATCATGTCACAAACGGCAGCTGATGCTCTCCTCCCACTGACTGTGGAAGCTGTTCTCCGTATGATGAATGTGGGTGTGCCTGGCTGTGTTTTGCTGCTGGCATTTGACAACCGTTTTCTGCTATTATGCTGCAAAACTTTTAACAGCAAAGACCTTTAAAAAAATCAACTTGGTTGTCATTTCTCCCTCTTGTATCCCGCCTCCCACTGTTTTGAATGGAGCGGATGGAACAGCGTGTTTCAGGCCCTCTGTGTGCCCGCCCTTTATTCCAGGGAGGCAAATTGCAAGAAACCAGGCTGCCATGCTTTGGATGTAGAAGCAGCCATCAAACTGTAATCAGAAGTGGTCTTGGTGGTCCTCTGCACAAACAGCCACCCTCGTCACACATAAATGGAGATACATGTGCCTGTTGTTGTATATGAGCAGAAGAGCCCTGCAGGATCAGGCCCAAGGCTCATCTAGTCTAGTGTGCCGTTCTCACAGGTGGGAAGCCGACAAACAGAACCCAAGTACAGCGGCACCCTCCCCACCTGCAATTCCCAACAATTGGTACTTATTTGCTCTTGATAACACCGGAAGCAAAACATAGTCGTCCTGTCAAAGAGCGAGCCAGCAGTAAATCACACCGTTCAAGTTGGAGTTAACCCTTTATTAGTAAAACTGATATTCACAGACTTGGCTGAGTATCAGGCCTAATGAGCCCAACAGCTCACCCCCGGTAGGTCTTGCCCCATGGATCAGTTGCCAAGACCGAAGGCCCACACCTCCCCACAGCCACCCTAAGTCCCCTTCTCTCCAGGGCTTTTCCCAAGCAATCGGAGATTGCACCTCTCCTCTGCCCTTTTCATGCCTCTTCTGGTTCTGGGAGACCAGCTGGGAGGGTTGCTTGTTGCAGCAGGAAGGGGAGACACCTGTGAATCTTCCCCAGCCTGACATCTTGGCGTCCCTCCTCTCCTGCTCCAGCTTTTGCCTCTTGATTCTGGACTTTTTGTCTGCCACAGATTCTCCCAGCTTACTAAGCCCCGTTACCTCTTCAGCTTCCGGCACCACCTTTCCCCCATCTTCTCCCTCTCCCTCTGCATCGTTGTCCCACCATCACTCCCCAGGCACTCAGCCTTCTTCCCTTGGGGGTTCCCCAGCAGGTTCTCCCACCATTCCTCTGCATCCAACCAATCCATGAGACATGCTATCTAGTAGTCCATCACTGACCTCTCCTCCAAACAAGACCCACTGAGTTTGAATGCTGATGCCACCAAAAATTCTAGTTTCACTGAAGCATCCCCACTACTTTGTAGAGATGGAAAGAAATGACAGCCAGGAATCAGTACTGTAAGCCTGTCCAGATCTGGCCTGCTTTAGCTGAGCAGATCCCAGAGCACCTCTTCCCCCCACAGCTGGACCCACATGCTTGCTGCTGACATTATAGGAGCCATGCTGTCCTTTTGCAGCTGGCCGTCTCCATAACATGTCTAACAATATCTAACAAGCCGGTTAATTAAGAAGGGTTTGGTGTTTAAAATAGAGCCTTTTATTCTTGCAATATACAGGTTTTCCTTCATAAAACTTTACATAGAATGTTTAACTTCTGTTTTTAAAAAAGGAGTTTGTAACACATAATCCAACATAAAGTTAAAAGCCTTACAAAGTTCTTAGAAAGGTTAGTGGCCTTCTGTGATTGAAATCCAGTTACTTTTAAAGGGGATGTCTGTGGCCCTGCTCCAGCCAAGGTTAGTTCTGGCAAGCCTCTCTGTGTCTACTCAAAAGTAAAACCCATTGAATTGGGGGGGGGGGGGCTTACACCTGGAGAAGCGGTTATAGGATTATAGCCTAAATATTAAAGCAATGAGGATTCATTTAGTTTCAATGGGTCCATTACAAACTATCTTGATTTGCATCGGAGGACCTATTTATAATTTGTAGCTTGGTTTGCTTCTATGGCTGACATGGGCTGGTCTAGTGCATTTTTATTCCAAAATATATGCTACTCATTTCAGTGGTACTTCCCCTGGAGTAAGTAGAGAGGGGATGGCAGCCACATCCTGCAAGGAATTTCTACAACAGTTTCTACATTGCATCCAAGAAGATTCCCTCATGACACATGTGTACAGGTGTTGTTTACGTACACATTGCTTTAATTCATTTTTAAAATTTTGCTTTGTTTTTGTTTTGATGAAGTCGACATCCAAGATATCACCTGGAGGGCGACAGGTTAGCCAGCCCTGGAGTAGACAATCTTGGGCTTGAGGACAAGTAGTCTGACCTGGAATAAGGCAGTTTCTTTTGCTCCATCCAAGGTCATAGCTATTTATTGTCGTGGCCGGTTGGCTACGCAGAGTTTTGACTTGCCTAGGATGTAGGACTGCTAGTGTTTTCGCTCAAGAGAACTGTTCCATGTCGTGCCATCAGAATAAGCCAGTCCAACTTGCACATTGATGAGATATAAACAAAAGGCAATTCGGTCCTTGTTCATGCGTGTCACTGGTATGTGCTGCCAACTAAAAACTAATGCTATCATCTTTGCTCTCTTAGCGCACAGCCCACCCAGCTCTTGTATCAATAAAAAGGGGGCCTCAGGCTCTCTTCAAGAGGTAAGGCAGGGAGGAGGAACCAAGAGAACTTCAGGTCTCCTTGGACTCACATCAGCCCCCAACAAACATGGCCGATGGTCGGGGATCATGGGAGTTGTATTCCAGCATTCTTCTTTCAGACGAGTTTTCGCTTGCACATGCAAAGTTAATGCAGAACAAGTCAATCTACTGCCTCAAACTCTGGTAGTCACTCTGAGTAAGAGTTCTTCGAGTGACCTTCCTGCTGCAGACCAAAGTGCTGCTAAAGGCACAAGAGTGAAGGCCATTAAAATGGAAAAGAAGTTGGCAACTTCGCAGAGAAACCCAAGGGGTTAGAATTCAACTATATACATATAGAGAAAGAACCTTCTCTGGGCGCAGATGCTATAGGCAAGTCACAGGGAGCCACCGCTGGGTAAGGGATAATATAAGCAAAAAAATTCAATTCCTGCTTTGTTTGCCATTTCTGAATGCACACAAAAAATTATCGCCTCTAACCCGCTTAATGTGGCTTTTCGGTTCTTGTACAGTTTCCTTCCATCAACTCTGGAGCATCTGAATTGTGTCCTAATGTTGGGCAACCCCCCCAGTTTTAGTGCTTTTAACAGTTGCACTAAAACAAACAAGCAAAAACCCTGCTTGCAGATTCTGACATGCAGAAAGTAATAGGGAGGGCTTCACCTGTTGCATTTCTGCCTGCCGGGTACCTGCTGAAAGACTGAGGAGTCTTACAAGATAAAAGGGGGTTAATCATAGTCCCTCTTTGACCAGAGTAACGGCTACCATGCCCCCGAGTCTCATAAAAAAAGGACAGCAAAATATTTCTTCCCATTTATTCACCACTATCCAGCTTCTGCTTTGCGTGTGTCTAATAAGAAACAACTCAACTAACTCATTATTTAGGCCAAGGAGTTCCATGAATACCTTTCCCCCATAATAAGCTGTAGTCTTATAATCTGGTGAACCGGGTTCGATTCCCCGCTCCTCCACATGGGTGACCTTGGGCTAGTCACACTTCTCTGAAGTCTCTCAGCCCCACTCACCTCACAGAGTGTTTGTTGTGGGGGAGGAAGGGAAAGGAGATTGTTAGCCGCTTTGAGACTCCTTAGGGTAGTGATAAAGCGGGATATCAAATCCAAACTCTTCTTCTTCTTCATAATCGTACAGGTCCATTTTATCTTGCAGATAATTTTCAAAGGCACAACGTGCAGCTTTGCCATTCTTGCATAAAATCATTTCAAGTTCTGAGCTGCCCTGGTATGAAAATGGTTGCCAGCTGCCTGGGAGTCAATTTTGCCGGTCGTTTTTGTACATTATTTTAAAAGCCAACACCCTGTTATTTTGACGTTGCTAGTCAAGAGTAAGTTACAGGTTTTTTCTTCTTGCAATGTACAGGAGATGCTGTGTTCATCTGCTGAAACTTCACGCAGCAAAACCGCCTAGAAACAGTGATCTGTTTGCCTTCTTGAAGAGTCGGCGTATTCCAATTCTGTCTGCTTTATAGGCCTATTTTGCCGTGATCCAAGGACTTCCCAGCACAGAAGAAAACAAAACTAACATTCAATGGAGGGAAGGGAGATTCATTCTGAGCAAGGCTTCACTGTCTTATCAAAAAGACCAACTCCGTGGCTGAATAGTCAACATTACTGTGGCAACTTGACCAGCTGGCTTTTTGGCAATCACTAAAAGGGTGTGTGTAGGTAGGTAGGTAGGGAAGAGGGAAGGGGGAAAGGAAAGGAAAGGTGGGTGGCGCTGTGGGTTAAACCACAGAGCCTAGAACTTGCCGATCAGAAGGTCGGTGGTTCGAATCCCCGTGACGGGGTGAGCTCCCGTTGCTCGGTCCCTGCTCCTGCCAACCTAGCAGTTCGAAAGTACACCAGTGCAAGTAGATAAATGGGTACCGCTGTGGCGGGAAGGTAAACGGCATTTCCGTGCGCTGCTCTGGTTCGCCAGAAGCAGCTTAGTCATGCTGGCCACATGACCCGGAAGCTGTACACCGGCTCCCTCGGCCAATAAAGTGAGATGAGCTCCGCAGCCCCAGAGTTGGTCACGACTGGACCTAATGGTCAGGGGTCCCTTTACCTTTATTTATCAGAAGAGACATCTTCCATGATGCTGTCACTCCCATTTCTATTTATTACCTACTCACCACCATTTTGTTTTTACAGGTAGGAGGAGTACTGACTGAAAACTATGGGGAAGTAACAGACTTTTGGGGAAGCTTTCAATTTGGGAGCCCATCACAGCACCCTGTAACTTCTCCCCACTCCTTAAAAGCTGTATGTAGGGGAAAGTATTGGTTTCCCCAGCTTTGTGACATCGGCAGCCTTTGTGACATCATCCACTAGGCGAATCCCAGAGCAAATTTTGAGCAGCCAGTGTCACTAAGGGAAAAGTCAATGAGGAGTCGGACAGGAGTGAGAGTTGGCATGGTGGCTGCTGATGTCACAAAGGCACTGCTTTCCCCTTCACAAACAAGACTACTCAGCTGAAGAGGACTGCAAGGAAGAGGAGGAGGCAGCAGCTGAGGCCTGAGGTAAGGGTACAGGTGAGGGAGCAACCATGCCAGGGAGCAAAATCAGCAAAATCATTTCCGTTCCCATCGTACTGTAGCCGCTGCACTGAAAAGCAACTGAACATGAGCTCGTTCCCTCCTGCAACGAGCACGCATGGGGAAGGGACTTTCCAGGGCGGCCCCTGAGGAAGGCCAGGATCACACAATTGTACAAAAGATGCTCCCGTTGTTATGGCAGCCCCCATCCACTCTTGCCGCTATCCTGGCAGTCATGTTTGAGACTTTCTGACTATTCCCAGACGTTGATACACCTCTGGAGGCTCCTTCGATGTGAGGCCGCGCCGGGGGGTTCTCCAGGGTCCAGGCAACGTCCGACCTGGAAGGACAGGAAGACATAACAATGCGTTCATCAGATAACCTAGTCTGAATCAACGCCGCCTTACACATGGAAAAACACGGTACAGTGGTGCCTCGCAAGACGAAAAGAATCCGTTCCGCGAGTCTCTTCGTCTTGCGGCTTTTTCGTCTTGTGAAGCAAGCCCATTAGCGGTTTAGCGGATTAGCGCTATTAGCGGCTTAGCGGGCTTAGCGGAGCAGCTGATAAGCGGCTTAGTGGCTTAACAGATCAGCTGTTAAGCGGCTTAGCGGATCAGCTGATAAGCGGCTTAGCGGCTTGGGGAAAAGGGGGGGGGGAGGAAAAAACCCCCACAGGAACTCGCAAGACATTTTCGTCTTGCGAAGCAAGCCCATAGGAAATTCGTTTTGCGAAGCACCTCCAAAACGGAAAACCCTTTCGTCTAGCGGGTTTTCTGTCTTGCGAGGCATTCGTCTTGCGGGGCACCACTGTATGCTTAAAATGTAGAGGGCACCAGCTGTATGGAATAAGGGTCCTCATATTCTCAAGTCCCCAAAGGGCTTCCTAACTTACCTTTTCTTGAATGCCAGGAGCTTGTTGCTTTGAACGACACAGGCTTCCGTGTCAGAGGCCTGCTGCAAAATGCTCTTTTTGGACTTCCCTTGGAAAATCACATTGTCTTGCACCAAGGCCTTGGTCTGGTCAAGCATCTCAATCGCATAATCTCGAAAGGAGTGGATTCTGTTCTTGGTTACCTTGAAGGAAAAGAGGAAAACACAATTATTGTTAACATAGCACTCCAATAGCAAAACGAGATGATTCATCATTCTGGAAGAGAAAGAGCAGGTTGGTTTTCCAGAAGCAGGTGATTTTAAAAAGAAGCGCCCAAGACAGCTTGGCAGGGACCTATGTGAGCTTCTGAACACCATGGAAATTTGGTGCCAGTTGAACCTCAAGAGAGAAAAGGTCTAAAGCAGCATAGGCAAAGTTGGCCCTTCAGATGTTTTGAGACTACAATTCCCATCATCCCTGACCACTGGTCCTGTTAGCTAGGGATGATGGGAGTTGTAGTCCCAAAACATCTGGAGGGCCGAGTTTGCCTATGCCTGGTCTAAAGGAACTAGAAGTCAGGAAGACTGTTCCCTGCGAAGAGGAACTGACGGTTATGTCGCTCTGAGGAATAAGGGTCTCCTTACCAACTACTGGCACCCTTAACAAAAGTTCCCAGGATTCTGCGGTAGAAGCCATGTCTGCTTAAAGTGGTATTATGGTGCTTGGGGGAAGTTATGGAATTGGGATTTAAAATTCATGGCATGTTATACGTTGAAAGAAAATTATATGAAAATGATGTACGGATGGTATTTTAACTCCTAGTAAATTAGCAAAATTGCATAAAACAGGCTCAAATGTATGCTGGAAATGTAAGGAAAAAGAAGGCGCCTTTTATCATATGCGGTGGAATTGTAAAGTAGTAAAAGGATTTTGGGAAATGATATATTATGAGTTGAAAAAAAAATGTTTAAAACAACCTTTGTTAAAAAACCTGAAGCCTTCCTTTTAGGAATTCTAGGTGCTGAAATCCCAAAGGAGCAGAAAAGACTATTTATGTATGCGACCACGGCTGTGCGGATGTTACTGGCCCAGAGATGGAAAGAAGATAAAGTCCCAACCAGAGAAAAATGGCAGATCAACTTGATGGATTATGCCAAAATGGCTAAAATGACTGGCAGAATCAGAAATCAGGAAGACCAAAATTTTAATAAGGAATGGGGAAAATTTATAACTTATCTTAAAGACCATTGCAAACCGTTAAAATGGTTAGGATTGGAATATCACTTGTGGTTTTAGGTTGAATTCTGGACATAATGGAAGAGGCAAAGGGTTTGGATTAACATAAAAGATGCGGGAGGGAAGGATTTTTAATAACAGGACCCATAAAGGGGAGGATGGAAGTTCAGGAGATTCCTAGGAATCTTGTTTCTATGATTTGATTTATGTTTGATATATCTCTGTAAAATTTTAATTTGAGAAACCAAATAAATAAATTTGAAGAAGAAGAAGAGGAGGAGGTATTTGCAAATGTATTATGCAAATGCAGCTCTAGAACACTGTAGCACCACGTTACACCTAAAATGCTACAACTCCATCACAAAACCAAGGCCCTGGTAAGTAGTCCACTGGGGGAGGCGGTTGATAAGGTTGTCTGAGATTAAATAAATAAATAAAGTAAATAAATAAAACTACTTAACTAAAAGTAGAAATAATCAGAATATTTCTCTGTGTTGGGGTTACTTGGATGATGTTGCAACGCAACTGGCAACCCGAAATTGCAAGTCTTCAACTCCGAAGCTGAACCATGCTGGAAGGAGAAGCTCAGCAAATAGCAGTTAAAAGAGCTGAACATAGCAGACCTAGTAAAAGAGGCAGAAATATTTTAAACGTAAAGGGACCCCTGCCATTAGGTCCAGTCATGGCCGACTCTGGGGTTCATCTTGCTTTATTGGCCAAGGGAGCCGGTGTGCAGCTTCCAGGTCATGTGGCCAGCATGACTAAGCCACTTCTGGCGAACCAGAGCAGTGCACGGAAACGCCGTTTACATTCCCAACAGAGTGGTACCTATTTATCTACTTGCACTTTGATGTGCTTTCGAACTGCCAGGTTGGCAGGAGCAGGGACTGAGCAACGGGAGCTCACTCCGTAGCGGGGATTCGAACCGCCAAACTTCTGATTGGCAAGTCCTAGGCTCTGTGGTTTAACCCACAGCACCACCCGCATCCCCCTCGGCTCATCTCTCTTGCTCAGCCACGTACCTCTTGTACCATAGAGCAGTCATTTAGTACCTTGCGGAGGGTAAAGACTGTGACGGGGAGGGTCTCAATGGGCTCTGCTTACTGAGTGTGCACAGAAAAACTGCATTGGAAAAAAGAAGGAATTTGAGAAGGAAGTGCTGAAAGGTTTTCAGCAAATCCAATAAAACCCTGTTTTAATTTAGTTGTGGTTTTTTTCCAATAAGATGGAAAAGAAAGTGTGTTCTTTGTAATTTGGCAAAACATACTCAGTAACCTCAGGAAAGATATTCTCTGGTGGTGTTCGTCTTTTTTAAACTTCCAAGTTTTCAAATGACTGAAGATTTTGAGATGGATTGTTTCAAGAAGTGGCAGAAAGATATTTCCAGATTTGTGTGGCAGGGCAAAAAGCCTAGAATAAAATTTAAGATATTAACTGATGCTAAAGAAAGAGGTGGTTTTGCCCTGCCAGACCTTAAACTCTATTATGAATCAGCTGCTTTTTGCTGGCTGAGAGAATGGCTGCTTATTGAAAACATGGACGTGTTGGATTTAGAAGGCTTCAATAATGCATTTGGTTGGCATGCATATTTGTGGTACGATAAAGTAAAAGCACATAAAGCGTTTAAAAATCATATTGTTAGAAATTGTTTAATGTCTGGATAAGATATAAGGATTTGTTAGAAAAGAAAACCCCAAGATGGTTGTCACCAATGGAAGCGAAGGCACAGAAAAAACTCAATATGGAGGCCAAATGGCCGAAATATTGGGAAATTCTGGAACAAGATGGAGACAGAATAAAATTGCAGAGCTTTGAAAAATTGAAAAACAAAGTGCGAGATTGGCTCCATTATTACCAAATAATGGAGGCATACAATTTGGACAAAAAAGTTGGTTTCCAGGTGGAAAAATCAAAATTGGAAACAGAATTGTTAGATCCAAAAATTAAGAATTTGTCAAGAATGTATAACTTGCTGTTGAAATGGAACACTCAGGATGAAATGGTGAAATCAGCTATGATTAAATGGGCACAAGATGTTGGACATAATATTATGATGGCTGGCTGGGAGCAGTTATGGACAACAGGTATGAAATTCACGGCATGTAATGCCCTAAGAGAAAATTTAATGAAAATGATTTATAGGTGGTACATGACACCAGTCAAGCTTGCAAAAATTTACCATTTGCCCGGTAATAAATGCTGGAAATGTAATGAGACTGAAGGTACATTCTTTCACCTTTGGTGGACATGCCCAAGGATTAAGACTTTCTGGGAGATGATTTATAACGAAATGAAAAAGGTATTTGAATATACCTTTCTGAAGAAACCAGAGGCCTTTCTCCTGGGCATGGTCGGCCAATTGGTGCCAAAGAAGGATAGAACTTTTTTTATGTATGCAACAACAGCAGCAAGAATACTCATCGCGAAGTATTGGAAGACACAAGATTTACCCACCCAGGAAGAATGGCAGATGAAGTTGATGGACTATATGGAACTGGCGGAAATGACTGGCAGAATCCGAGACCAGGGAGAAGAGTCGGTGGAAGAAGACTGGAAAAAGTTTAAAGACTATTTACAGAAATACTGTAAAATTAATGAATGTTAGAAAAATGTTGGAATGAAGTTATATGGCTTTAGTAGAAATGTTATAAGGAATTAAGCATAAATAGATTAATAGAGTATTAAAGGGAAAAATAAGGTTAGAATGTGTCAAGATTATTATAGGATAGAAAACAGAGGAAGATGGAAAGGAATTGCTGAAACAATTAACAGAAGTGGAATACAAAAAGGGAGGTGTGAGGAGGTCGTGGAAACAAGTGAATGAAAGATAAGATAATGAAATTGTTCGATGTGTTTTAAATGGGTCTTGTTTTTGTTTTGTTAGTTTTATGTGTTAGTGCTTTGTAGTGTTTTTGTATTGTCTTTTTTATTTTTTTTTTTTGTAGTGTTGTGTTTAAACTGTTGGAAAATTAATAAATATTATTTTTTTAAAAAAAAACAAAACAAATGACTGAAGATTTTGACAGATTTTTCGGAGCACTTGGGGGTCAAAAGAAAGTAAATTAAAACAACTGTTGTTGAGACATTTCATTCCAAATCGGAGCCAGACAGAGGATGAGGTCAGGTGGGTGTCCTGTCCCCCCACCCCCACAACAAAAATTCTAGTTATGCCCATGTCCAAGAGGGAATTGGCCAACAGCAGTTCTGTGGGAAACTGTGTAAAATTACCAGCTGCTGGTGGTGCAACACACACTCAAATTCCACTATATGGCGATACTGAAATCGACAAGAATCGACACCGGTTCTGAGAGATCTGCACTGGCTCCCAGTACGTTTCCGAGCACAATTCAAAGTGTTGATGCTGACCTTGAAAGCCCTAAACGGCCTTGGCCCAGTATACCTGAAGGAGCGTCTCCACCTCCATCGTTCAGCCCAGACACTGAGGTCCAGCGCCGAGGGCCTTCTGGTGGTTCCCTCGCTGCGAGAAGTGAGGTTACAGGGAACCAGACAGAGGGCCTTCTCGGTAGTGGCGCCCTCCCTGTGGAACACCCTCCCTTCAGATGTGAAGGAAATAAGCAGCTATCCTATCTTTAAAAGACATCTGAAGGCAGCCCTGTTCAGGGAAGTTTTTAATATTTAAAGCTGTACTGTTTTTAACACTTGATTGGGAGCCGCCCAGAGTGGCTGGGGAAACTCAGCCAGATGGGAGGGGTATAAATAATAAATTATTATTATTATTATTATTATTATTATTATTATTATGAAGAACAACTGAGAAAGAAATGGGAGCATTTCCTGGAGGTTGGTACACAAATTAAGACACAATTTCCTTTAAAAAATATCTACTGCAGAACTTGCACGTTTGTGTGTGTGTTTTGCTGGGGTGTTAAGGGCTCTTGTGTCAGTGAATGGATCGGTACATCCTCATCTTCTCCCATTTGTTTATTTCTTTCGCCTCCTTCACGCCTGTCATTTTCTGGGACCACATTCAACATGCTATTTCTCTCCACAGCAGCAGCTTTCCCCCCTGCTTCTCTGAGGACTGTTCCAACCTGTTTACTTGCTCTTCTACTTCTCTTGGGGTAGGCAATGGATTCTTGCCAGAACGCAAATGAGAAAACAGCAGCAGAGGCAACAAACAAGCCTTAGGCTTCCTATTAAAATGTGCTCACTTATCAATATAGAGGTGTGTGGGCACTTTGCACCCCTCCCCATTTTTGCAATTGTTTTTTTTTTTAATTGAGCGATGTGGGATTTTTTTTGGAATTTTGTTGTTTGGTTGCAGCTCGTTTGTCTGTTTTATTTCTTTGGGAACGTGTGTGTAGGTGTTTCGATTCCTTTTGGGGGCGGGGTGGTGGTGGTTCTGAGCATCGCGTTTTTCTTCCTTCCTGTGAAATAGGTATTCTGCGGTGTTCACAGAAGTTTCTTAGCTCTCCAAGTGTGCTCCTGGAACCAAGTATCTACAATACTCTCTTATTTATTTTATAGTACAGTACATTGATTATTGCTTTAATGTTATGGATCAATGGTCTCGTTAAATAGTCAAATTCATGTTAAATTGCTGTTTTAGGGGTTGTTTTTAAAAGTCGAGAACTGATTAATCCATTTTGCATCACTTTCTATGGGAAAGCACACCTTGGTTTAAGAACGCTTTGGTTTTGGAACCAAACTTCCAGAACGGATTAAGTTTGAGAACCAAGGTACCAGTGTGTGTGTGTGTGTGTGTGTGTGTGTGTGTGTGTGTGTGATATGGCTAAGGTAAAGAACCCCTGGGTGGTTAAGTCCAGTCAAAGGCGACTATGGGGTTGTTGTGCTCATCTCGCTTTCAGGTCAAGGGAGATGGCATTTGTCCACAGACAGATTTCCGGATCATGTGGCCAGTATGACAAAACCCCTTCTGGCACAACGGGACACTATGATGGAAACCAGAGCGCACGGAAACGCCGTTTGCCTTCCTGCCGCAGAGGTACCTATTTATCAATTTGCACTGGTGTGCTTTCAAACTGCTAGGTTGGCAGGAGCTGGGACAGAGCAATGGGAGCTCACCCCGTTGCGGGGATTCGAACTGCCGACGTTCTGATCGGCACGCCCAAGTCAGTAGTTTAGACCACAGTGCCACCTGCGTCCCTTTATATATAAAGTGGCTACTTTACTTGGAATACTAAAACGTATTTGTGTCTGTGTGTACACACACACACACACACACACACACACACACACAGGTTTTAGTATTCCAAGTAAAGTAGTGTGTTATGTTTGAAATCTAAACAGAAAATCTTGTGCAGTCTTTTCTAGGAGAAAAAAAGAGAACTATATTTTTTAAATGGCCAAAGAACCTGGGGCAGCTTTCACACATATAAATATCACTGCTGGAAGGAAAAAATGAGGTACCGTATTTTTTGCTCTATAAGACTCACTTTTTCCCTCCTAAAAAGTAAGGGGAAATGTGTGTGCGTCTTATGGAGTGAATGCAGGCTGCGCAGCTATCCCAGAAGCCAGAACAGCAAGAGGTATCGCTGCTTTCACTGCGAAGCGATCCCTCTTGCTGTTCTGGCTTTTGAGATTCAGAATATTTTTTTTTCTTGTTTTCCTCCTCCAAAAACTAGGTGCGTATTGTGGTCTGGTGCGTCTTATAGAGCGAAAAATACGGTGACTTGTGCATGCAACCCTTCTTGGAGGGCTGGTGAAATATAGATAATCATAATGAGTCATCTAAATAACCACAAATCATCATAATGATTATTTATGACTATTTAGATGACTCTTGGGGCCTTTCCAACTCTGTAATTCTATGGAAGGCCACCCGCCAGGGATTTTTCAGCTGTAATTCCTGCACTGCAGGGGGCTAGACTGGATGATCACTGGGATCCCTTCCAACTCCACGATTCCCTGGTAACAAGCAAGCTTGTTCTCTTTTATTTCGCCACGCACCTTCATATCGGCTGCCTGCAGCAGCTTGAGGCCGCAGCCCTGATTGCCCAAAATGTCATTCTCGGTGACGATTCCCTCGCCCTTGGAGGCCACCCCGTGGCTGCTGTTGTCATAAATGCCGTTCCCACGAAGCTCCACCCGGCATTCTGCTTCCACCACGACTCCCCCGAGGCTATTGCAAGAGATGCTGTTGTTTGCGATTCTCGTCAGCTGCGAGCTTTGGAACACGGAGACCCCGCAGTCGTGGTTGGCGTGGATGGCGTTTCCAATGATGTTCAGGGCTTCGCTGCTCTTGATGTACAAGCCAGCAGCTACGAGAGGAGGAAAAGCACCCCTGAATCAATAACCTATTTTACCAACAACAACCACCTGGGGCAAGAAGGGACAGAAACCCGGAAATGCACCTACACTGAAGTCAAACGATGAAGATGCTGCAATGTTAATATCTGCATTAAAAACAATAAATTGCCCCCAGTTAAACAGACCCCAGCTATATGGCTAGGATCATGATTTTAAGGAAGGTGTGATATTTTATTATACCAACTGGCAGAGCTTTTTTCAGCCAGAACTCACCGGAACTGAGCTCTGGCACATCTTTGCTGAGGTCCGGCACTACTTTATAGTGTTTTGGCACGGCGGCTCAGCGTCACATTGCTCCAGGTTGCAGGCGGCACGGTGACTGGTGCCACACGGGGGATCGCGGCACCATAAGTCACCGAAACCGGTGGTGGGGCAAGCGTAGCGTTTCTGCAGGAGCTTCCCAGTATACCTGAAGGAGCGTCTCCACTCCCATCGTTCAGCCCAGACACTGAGGTCCAGCTCCGAGGGCCTTCTGGCGGTTCCCTCACTGCGAGAAGTGAAGCTACAGGGAACCAGGCAGAGGACCTTCTCGGTAGTGGCACCTGCCCTGTGGAACACTCTCCTGTCAGATGTCAAGGAAATAAACAACTATCTGACTTTTAGAAGACATCTGAAGTTTTTAATGTTTGATGTTTTATCGTGTTTTTAATATTCTGTTGAGACCCAGAGTAGCTAGGGAGACCCGGCCAGATGGGAGAGATATTATTATTATTATTCCCAGAAGGAATTCTCGGAATGTTCTTTGGAGCCTCTTTGGCCTTTCCCATGGACAAGGCTGGCTACACAATGTTCCCGGCTAGCACTCACCTCCATTGTGGTTGATGTTGTTCGACTCCACGAGAGCCACGCTGATTGGCCTCCGGATAACCACGCGCTCATCCTCACTCTCCAGGTCATTCTCCCAGTTGGCAGCTTCTCCTTCGTCATTGAAGTTCTCGTTGCCCCCTTGGTTGGCGAGGTAGTCATTAGCATCATCTTTGCGGCAAAACACCGCAATCCCATAGATGCTGTTGTGACCGATTTGGTTGTTTGCGATGTGCGGGAGGCTGGAGGACATTATCCAGACACCGCAGCCCTTGTTCCCTATGCCAAGAGAAGAGGGAGAAAGCACATTGGCCTGTCTTCCTGATGTAACATTGTGCAAGAGACTGAAAAATCTTGGGCCGGGTCCAAGGTGTCCTGAACTGGTTGGAGGCTGAGGAATGGTGAGAGGCAGAATCTCCGCAGACTGGGCTGAGTGTCAGGCCTAATAAGCAGGACAGCTCATTCCTGGTGGTCTTCCTCCATGAAAATCAGTTGTTGAAACAGAAAGTCCCTGCCTCCCCACAGACATCCAAGTCCCTCTTCTCCAAGGCTTTCCCCGGGCAATTGGAGACTGCGTCTGTATGCAACCAACCTTTCCTCCGCCCTTTTCATGCCTCTACTGGTTCTGGGAGACGAGAGCCAGTTGCAGCAGGAGGGGAAGACACCTGTGACTCTTCACCAGCCAGACTCATCTCTGCTTCTTGGCCTCCCTCCTCTCCAGCTTCTGCCTCCGATCCCGGACTTCCCTCTACCACAGCCTCTCCCAAGCTCACAAAGCCTTGTTTCCTTTTTAGCTTCCAACACTTCCTCTTCCCCGTCATCTCCCTCTGACTCATCATTGTCCAGCCCCCCAATCCTTGGCTCTGAGCCCTTTTCCCTTGGATGTTCCCTAGCTGGTGCCTCCTACCATTCTTCTGAGTCCAGCCAGTCCCTGACAGGCCATCATCCATTTTGAAACTGGATTCTAGAACAGTCTGTGGAGAGCTGCTCTGCTACACTCAGTACACAAGACCCAGGGAAACAAGGATACGTAGGGGGTAATAACCCCACTGTCAGAAGATTTACCATAAATGGTGTTTCCTTCTATGAGTCCTTTCCCACGCTCCCCGACCACTACGCCGTCTGAATAGCCACAGCAGATCAGGTTACTTCTGAGGACAGGGTCACCTCCACGGCGGATGTCTGTACCTCCCCACTGGTTCTCCCGGATGACGTTTTCTAAAGCAGTTTAAGAAAGGAAGGGTAAACAAAGGACTGCCAATTATCCAAAGGAGCACTGAAGGAATGACGTGAAAAGACTATTTCACGTCAAGCCAGTTTCTACCTCGACTTCTGTATCAACCTGAGGCAGCCCAAGGCTGTGTCATCATCCAGCTTGTAGCTAGCCAAATGCTTGTTGTTATGAAAGGTTATTACTGTGTTTGTTATGAAGGACGAGGATGGCGCTGTGGTCTAAACCACTGAGACTCTTGGGATTGCCCATCAGTAGGTCGGCGGTTCGAATCCCCGCGATGGGGTGAGCTCCCGTTGCTCTGCCCCAGCTCCTGCCAACCTAGCAATCCAAAAGCATATCAGTGCAAGTAGATAAATAGCTACCACTGTAGCGGGAAGGTAAATGGCATTTCCATGCACTCTGGCTTCTGCCACGGTGCTCTGTTGTGCCAGAAGCAGTTTAGTCATGCTGGCCACATGACCCCAAAAAGCTGTCTGTGGACAAACGCCGGCTCCCTCGGCCGGAAAGCAAGAAGAGCGCCACAACCCCATAGTCAACTTTGACTGGACTTTACCGTCCAGGGGTCCTTTACCTTTTGTTTTGTTTTGTTTTGTTTTGTTATGAGAAGAAGGGGGAACAGGAGAAAGGAGGAGAGCGTTCTCTTTCCAGCGCAGATCCTTGGCTACTATGACAGACTGGGAACCGCAGTGACAGACCACTAAGGGAAAGCTTTCCAAATTGTGTGCCACAACACATTAGTGTGTTGGCCGCAGTGAGTAGGCGTGTCGCACAAATGTTCCCTGCATTCCTCCTGGGGCTGGAAAGGGTTCGTTTAACCTCCGGCTTGCTAGTAAAACTGAACTGCTGTGTCGTGAAATGATGCACGTCCAAAAAGTGTGTCACCAACGTGAAAAGTCTGGAAAGCTCTGCACTAAGGAAATGCTCTGGCCGTGCTCAAAAAGGGAAGTTCTGAGAGGCAGGTGGCGCCAAACGGACAAGAGAAATAACCATGAAGTGGTCACCAGACTTTTGTTGTTCAGAGCTGCAGCAGTTCTGAGGTGACTCTCCTATGAGCTAGGAAGCCCATGGATCAAACAGCACTTCGGCCATGAAGTCAAAAAGTGGCTTTAGGCAAGCAGCCAGAGTCTCTCTTCTGTAAGATGGGGATGTGCACACTGGCCTACCTTAGAGGGTTATGGGAAAGGACCACCAAGACCTTGTCACATGAAACTTGGAAGCACAGAAGTGGAGGAAGCTGCCCACTACAGAATCAGCCTTATCAAACTCAGTATTGTTACACTGACTGCCAGCAGCTCCAGGGGGGTCAGGCAACTGACATTCATTCCCAGTCTTACTTGCTCAGCCACTGAGCTACGGACCTTCCTGCCCAGGAGTGTAGTGGTGGTGTGTGTGCCAAAAACCCTGCCAAAACTGAAATGAGGATTCACCGTTTGGAGGTTATTTTTTGCCCGATCCGAACCCATGCCCCAGAAATGCTTTCCTTCCCACACCTGTTATTTGGCCTCTTCCGTTCTCGTTCACAGCGATGCCAGCAGCAAGGCCTTGGAAGATGTGGTTCCCACTGGAATGAAAAGGGGTGGAGACACTGTCAGTGTTTTGTACAGTTTGCTTATCTGTATAACAGCACAAGGTGAGAAAATAGTGGTGATTTTATCTTCTACACAAGTGCAAACACAAAGAACTCCCTCTGTGAAATTTGGCTTTCCTAATAGTCCTAAGTACTTGGCTTATGTCTTTTTTGGATAATTAATTAATTAAATTTATATTTTGCCCATCATAACATCTCAGGGCAGTTCCCAGAATATACCGTTTCGTTTTTTGCATTTGTACTGCTATTATTTTTATAGTACTGGCTATCTTTTTTTAAAGAGATTTTACTATAGAGTTTAGCCATCTCAACAAATGCCTGCCAACACTTCCATAGGAGAAAATATTACAGCAGTTTTATTTTAGTGGTACCCAAAAATGATTTTGATTGTCACCAGATGCCAGTAAGTGACTATATCTGAATTCAAAAAGTCATTATCTTAAACTTTGCTGTTGTCAGACTGAAGACAGAAACTTCAAAAGGTATCAGCAAAGAGTATGGTAGCTAAGTTTCCTTAACATGAAGCAGTTGTTTTTCATTATGACAGCTTGAGCCCTTGAATATTCTGGGAGTTTTTTATAGTATTGATTTGCTTACTTCAATTAATTTTTTTTTTTTTTAAACAGTATTGAAAGCTGCTGGGAGATCAAGGAGAACGAGCAGTGCTTATTTCCACCCTGTCCCCATCCCTTCTCTGAAAATGATCTTTGTGGGGGAATAATAGTGTGGTGAGATCTCTGTCAACCTAAAGAGAATCTCCTGGAGCCACTCTCTGGAAGCCTCTGGGATTGAGGCTTTTAAGAAAAAAGGCAGGAGAAACAAGCTTTCCGATTGGTCCAAAGACCCAAGTGAGACTTCTGTTTGAAATACATTCAGGGCTGCTTGGGAATAATTAGCGTAGCAATAATATCTTCTTAAGAATAACAAGCCTCATCTCCCGCAACAAAAACACTAGGCAAGATCAAGTCAAATGCCTCTTGTTTTAGCAGGGACAAACTGATCTCAATTATAATAGACTTGCAGGGTTTTTTGTTTTGATGAGCATGCTGCTGACAGCGTTGTCTAGGAAGAGAAATTACGTCTCCGCTCTGAGCTCCCTTCTTCTTTTATGTTCATTTCCTCTAGACTTCATTCGCTGCATCATAATCACCCGACAAGACAGCTGCCTATTTAGAAATTGCTACTTATTTGACAGGTCTGTTTCAGCCCAGTCGTGACCCTTATGGTTTGCAGATTAATAAAATCTGTTTCACACTTGTCAGTCGGGCTATTATGCCGGAACAAGCCGTTCCCAAACGGATGCTTAAGCCTGTCTAGGTTGCTTTGTGTTTCGGAAGAGCGTTGTGGGGCTCTTGTTTTCCTGCAAGAAGTGTCTGCTGTTGCATTCGCAGCACAGCTCCGACATTCATCTCAAAACAAGAACCGCCAATAAATCAGTAGCAGGTTTGCATGCCCTATAGACTCCCAAGTTTGAAAACTCCACCACCTGGAAGGTGATGAACTGAACTGAACTTCACGGCCAAGTTGGGATTCAAACTCTGGTTTATTCGAACTCTAGCCATTTTGCCACACTGGCTCTATGGACTGCCTACCCAAAGTAGCCCTTTGCCAGGGATGGAGAACACTGGGGCCGTTCAGCTATTGTCAGAGTATGGCTCCCATCCCCCTTTGTGCGTTGGCAAGGTGGTCTGAAACTGCCATGACTTGGAAGCTAGCAATGTCTGAAGAGCCACAGTTTCCCCATCCCTTCACAACACACCCTCAGGCCATGTTCCATTGGGATGGACCACTGCCCTTGCATGAACCACGATCTGCTGCTGCAGGACTGTGTGAGGGAAAGCTGCCTTTCTGGGAAGAACAACCATTTTTTATATGCTGCCCATCTGACTGGGTTACCCTGGCCGCTCTGGGTGGCGTCCAACAAATTAAAACATAGCAAGAAATCAAACATTAAAAACTTCCCTAAACAGGGTTGCCTTCAGATGTCTCCTAAAAGCCACATAGTTGTTTATTTCCTTGAGATCTGACGGCAGAGTGTTCCACAGGGAGGGGGCCACTACTGAGAAGGCCCTCTTCCTGGTTCCCTGTAACTTTGCTTCTTGCAGTGAGGGAACCGCCAGAAGGCCCTCGGAGCTGGACCTCAGTGTCCGGGCTGAACAATGGGAGTGGAGATGCTCCTTCAGGTATACAGGACTGAGGCCGTTTAGGGCTTTAAAGGTCAGCACCAACACTTTGAATTGTGCTTGGAAACGTACTGGGAGCCAATGTAGGTCTTTCAGGACTGGTGTTATATGGTCTTGGTGGCCACTCCCAGTCACTAATCTAGCTGCTGCATTCTGGATTAGTTGTAGTTTCCGAGTCACCTTCAAAGGTAGCCCCCCACATAGAGTGGGAAACATTGCTCACCATTCTAGATCAGCAACCTTTGAGTTGCCCAGAACACACAGTATGAAAGCTACTTCCCCACAAAGCGACTGCAAAGACAAAGGTAAAGGTAAAGGGACCCCTGACCATTAGGTCCAGTCGTGACCGACTCTGGGGTTGCGGCGCTCATCTTGCTTTACTGGCCAAGGGAGCTGGCGTGCAACTTCCGGGTCATGTGGCCAGCATGACTAAGCCGCTTCTGGCAAACCAGAGCAGCACACGGAAACGCCTTTTACCTTCCCGCCGGAGCGGTACCTATTTATCTACTTACACTTTGAGGTGCTTTTGAACTGCTATGTTGGCAGGAGCAGGAATCGAACAACGGGAGCTCACCCTGTTGCGGGGATTCGAACCGCCGACCTTCTGAGTGGCAAGTCCTAGGCTCTGTGGTTTAACCCACAGCGCCACCCGTGCAGGTACATTGGCCTAAAGACTTCATCTCCCTGTCAGTGTTCTTAATAATAATAATAAACTTTCCTGCTCTTTAGCTGTATGGAGGATGTGTGGGTGTATTGTTTCAAGCCGACATCCAAAAAACGGCAAGGAATGCTGCTGTTGAATAACTTACCTCACCAGAGGGTTGCCGTTATACAGGATGTAAATGCCAGCCTCTTTATTTCCATATATTTGATTGCTACGGATGATGCCTTTCCCGTTGCCAAGGACAACGATGCCGGAGCGAAGGCCACCGTGGATCCTATTACACTGCCGTTTGATTTATGCACAAGCACAAGAGGAATGAAAAATAGAAAGCAAGAGAGGGAGATCAGCCACAGAAAAGTCAAGGACTCAGTACAATAGCAGAAAGGTCAGCAAGCCTCCGGACAAAAGCACCCAGCTCTTTCAAAGCTGGAAGTGGTTTGTTTTCGAGTGGAAGAGCCCAATTTTGTGTTTCCTTGGAGAAGGCCTGGCATTTTGGCTGTGACTAAGCCTTCTGCCTCTATAGTGGCCACTCGATATGGAAATCAAAAGGGCTCCCCTCCTACCTTGGCCCTGTTACTCAGATAAATACATAATCTCGTCCACCAATTCCCAATTTTGCTGGACAGGAATAAAGGAGAGGGTAAAGGCTTATTGGATCAATCAGCTCTTAACAGCTTCTCAGTTGTGTCTCAGCTGTGGCTTTTAATATGCAGTCATTAGCAAGTGATGTTGTTTTGGTTTCTTGCTGTGTAAAAAGCCTCACCTACTGATTTCTGCAGATTAAACTGCTGTTAAAAAGGCACAGGAGTTTGCCAGGCAGGATTTCTTCTTCCTTTGCTGGTCAGTTAGCAACCCTAGCTCCTCGGGCAGAGAGAATAATGGCATCCACAGGCCAATGTTACATTTGTAGATCCGATTTTGGGGGTGAGTGAGCCAGCTAAAATTCCAAACGCAAGTCGGAGACCATCTTGCCGGGTCTCCTCAATTTTCTACAAGCGCCCCATTTATTCAGAGGTGTTTCCTCTGAGGGCACCCAAATTTCAGAACACCCTCCCCTCTGAGGCCTGCCTAGCACCAATATCAGCTCAATTTGGAAACCAGGTTAAGACACGGCAATTTTCTCAGGCATTTTGAATTACCACTCTGCTATGTAATAACAGAAATCAGTTACTCAGTGATCTAAGAGTATTTGTTCTTTTGCCAGCCTTCTGTTTTCCTGGTGGAATTACAGTATTGCTTTAAATGCGTTCTTTGACACTGTCCTGAGAACAGTTTGACTGAGGATGGGATAAATGCTTTTTATAAATACAGGCACATATCTGAATGAGCCATTAAACGTCACCAACCTATCATCCCATGCCACTGTATTGTGAGGAATCAGGACCACAATGGACAGGAAAAGGTTTGGTCCGCTCTGTTTTCTACCCAAAGAAGGGTGAGGAAAGAATGCATGGGAATGAACCACATCAGGCAAGGAAACCTCCTTGCACCGACAGGTCAGAATAAATGGGAAGTGTCTCCAGTCCCTCCAGCCCTTGTCTTGGGCAGCTGATTCAATTTTGAATTGCTTGCTCCTCCTTAAAGGAAGGCTGCTGTCCATCAGAAAGCCTAGGTCCACACCTGCTTGAATTGTGCATAGAATCATAGAATAGAATCGTATAATCACAGAGTTGGAAGAGACCACAAGGGCCATCGAGTCCAACCCCCTGCCAAGCAGGAAACACCATCAGAGCACTCCTGACATATGGTTGTCAAGCCTCTGCTTAAAGACCTCCAAAGAAGGAGACTCCACCACACTCCTTGGCAGCAAATTCCACTGTCAAACAGCTCTTACTGTCAGGAAGTTCTTCCTAATGTTTAGGTGGAATCTTCTTTCTTGTAGTTTGGATCCATTGGTCCGTGTCCGCTTCTCTGGAGCAGCAGAAAACAACCTTTCTCCCTCCTCTATGTGACATCCTTTTATATATTTGAACATGGCTATCATATCACCCCTTAACCTCCTCTTCTCCAGGCTAAACATGCCCAGCTCCCTTAGCCGTTCCTCATAAGGCATCATTTCCAGGCCTTTGACCATTTTGGTTGCCCTCCTCTGGACACGTTCCAGTTTGTCAGTGTCCTTCTTGAACTGTGGTGCCCAGAACTGGACACAGTACTCCAGGTGAGGTCTGACCAGAGCAGAATACAGTGGCACTATTACTTCCCTTGATCTTGTGCAAGGATGGAGCCTCTCACTAATGGTGCCTTCCTCTTGCACAACACAGAACACAACCCAAATAATAATAATAATTTATTCTTTATACCCCACCTATCTGGCTGGGTTTCACTAGCCACTCTGGGTGGCTTCCAACAGAATATTTAAAACATGATGAAATTCAAACATTAAAAACGTCCCTAATAATAATTAATTAAAGGTAGCCGGCATACAGCTTCCGGGTTCTGTGGCCAGCAATGACTAAGCCGCTTCTGCCAAACCAGAGCAGCGCACGGAAACGCCGTTTACCTTCCCGCCAGAGTGGTACCTATTTATCTACTTGCACTTTGACGTGCTTTCGAACTGCTAGGTTGGCAGGAGCAGGGACTGAGCAACGGGAGCTCACTCCGTCATGGGGATGTGAACCGCCGACCTTCTGATCGGCAAGTCCTAGGCTCTGTGGTTTAACCCACAGCACCACCCGCGTCCCAATAATAACTAATTAATAACTAATAATAACTAATTAATAACTCTTGGACGGCAATGAAAGCTGTGTGATCATTATGGAGTTCCAACATCTTTAGCATGGCATGGGGATAACCTAAAACTTACTGGGAGTGGCTGAGAGCAACAGACTTTTCATGCAAACATAGGAAGAAGAATTTGAGGATAAAACAAGTACCGTATTTTTTCTCTATAAGACTTACTTTTTCCCTTCTAAAAAGTAAGGGGAAATGTGTGTGTGTTATGGAGTGAATGCCGGCTGCGCGGCTATCAAGAAGCTTTCACTGCGCAGCGATCCCTCTTGCTGTTCTGGCTTCTGAGATTCAGAATATTTTTTTTCTTGTTTTCCTCCTCCAAAAACTAGGTGCGTCTTGTGGTCTGGTGCGTCTTATAGAGCGAAAAATACGGTAGCCTTAGATCAAAAGCGGGTGTCATGTTATGCAAGAAACATGGGATTCCTAAGCCTCTGGCTGCAGCATAATGTGAATTTAGGGAGGCATACACTGGGGAGAAGTGTTTACGGGTGTGACTGCTTGCCATTACACCCCTTCATGCAACCTCTGCCCCAGGCTCCTTTCCTTCCAGGCCCTTTTTCCAGCTTAAGACTCCAGCTAGGAGGAAAAGTGCCCCGGGGAGGGAGACTTGCAGGGGGAGGGGTAAGCACCTGCCTCCCGCCTGCTGCTTCTCTCTTACGAATGCCCACATTCACCAAACATTTGTGTTAGGCGAATCCCAAGTTTGTTGCGTCAAGCTCTTTGGGTAAAAACCCAAGCCTGCAAAGGTCAATACCAGGATCAGAGGGTTGGCTCCCTTCCGAATGTCCACGCCGGCTTCGCAGTTGGAATGAATGTTGTTTTCTGCAATCAAGCCTCCAGCCCCGAGGCGCAGAAATATCCCGGAGGTCTTGCAGTGGTGAATGTCATTCTTCAGCATGACAATCTAAAGGAAAGAAAAGGCAAATGCTTTTCTAGATAAAGGCAGAGGAGGAGCTTGCTACGAGTGAACAGACATCAGCGTTTGGCAGGCTGAGATGGTCAAACAAAACAGGGTCAAGACTTGAGCTGTGACACAAGAAGTCCCTAATTTGAATCTTGTCTCTGCCTCAAATTGCTTTGATGGATTTGGGAAGTCCCTATTCTCCTTTGACGCTATCCAGCCATCCCTACCACTTGTGCCTCGAGGGGAAATGAGGGACAGCATCCCAGCTCATCCGCTCCCTGTTTTACTGTGCCTGCATACCGTATTTTTCACTCTATAGGACGCACCAGACCACAAGACGCACCTAGTTTTTAGAGGGGGAAATGAAGAAAAAGCCTGTCCGCTTCTCCCAGAGCTTCTCGGGGCTGCGGGGGAAGCCCGGGTTTCCCCCCCAGCCCCAAAGAGCAAAGAAGCCAAGACAGCCAGCAGGATCCATCCCGCTGGCTGTCTTGGCTTCTGCCATAGCCGCACAACCTCTCCAGCCGGGAGCTAAACCTCTCCAGCGCGGCTAAAGAAGCCAAGGGAGCGAGCGCGATCCATCCCGCTCGCTGCCTTGGCTTCCTCTTTAGCCTTGCACAACCTCTCCCGGCTGGAGAGGCTGAATTAAGATGGCAATTCCCCCACCTCCCGCAAAAGCCCACAGGAGCCGCACACCTTTTAAGGAGCGCGTGGCTCCTGCGGTCTTTTCTATGAGGAGGGAGAAGGGACTGACTGGCCGCGTCAGTCCCTTCTCCCTCCTGGGGAAAAGCCCCCAAGAGCCATGCAAAGCTTGTGTGCGGCTCTTGGGGGCTTTTCCTGCCTGCCTCCCCCCTGCATTCGCTCCATAGGACGCACAGACTTTCCCCCTTAGTTTTTAAGAGGGAAAAAGTGTGTCCTATGGAGCGAAAAAGACGGTAATTATTTCCCAGACTTCTTGCCGCTGAGGTGCGTAATTTTCTGAATTAAAATGGAAGCACGCTTCACTCTTGCATCCAGAAACAAGTTGCCTTTTACAGTATGAAGTAGAGTTACCTTCTCCCGGGAGGCCCACCTCGTTGTGTCTCTGCACGAGTCATCACTGCGCTGGCACGCTTCTTGACAAGGAGGCAATTCCAAAGCAGTAACCCATACAGAGACAAAGCGGGTGGGCTCTTCCGGTGGCAAGTAATTGTTCATTGGAAGCAACGGGATTGCTCCATACTTGCCCTCAAGAAAACCTACCCCGATTTCTCTGCCCCACGAGTCAGTGCTCAGTCAAGTGGCATGATCAGAAAGGAGAAAACTCAGAGCAATGACTCATGCAGAGACACAGAGAGGGCAGGTTGATGTATGCTGAAAAATCCAGTTACTCTCAATACTCAATACAGAGACTACAGAACTGCCTGCCTTTGGAGGAACCCATTCCATGCTCTTAATAATTAATAATTAATTATTTATACTCCACCCATCTGGCTGGGTTTCCCCAGCCACTCTGGGTGGCTCCCAGCAGAATATTATTATTAATAATAAAGCAGTAAAACACCAAACATTAAAAACTTTCCTAAACAGGCCTTCAGATGTCTTCTAAAAGTCAGATAGTTGTTTATTTCCTTGACATCTGATGGGAGGGTGTTCCACAGGGCGGGTGCCGCTACCAAGAAGGCCCTCTGCTTGGTTCCCTGTAGCTTCACTTCTTGCAGGGAGGAAAAGTTGAGTTGGAAAAATATCCCAGATAGTTATGGAGAGGTGTTCTCGGGGAAAGGACTCTGGGAAAAATCATGTGCTTTGGACAAAACTTGATGGTCTTACTTCGAAGACTCTGAAAAGGGTGGGGGAGCATAAGCTGGGTGTTTTGTTGTTGTTCAACCTTGCTGATAATGCACTGTTTAAAAAGTCTTTTGCAGGTTAGAGTAATTTGCATGGAATAATTTGACTCAGAAATTGTTCTGATGCCCTAGAGTAGGGATGTTGTTGGATTACAGATCCCATCATAACTGATCAATTACCATTCTTGGTTAGGGATGATCAGAGATGGAGTCCAATGACAGTCACAGGGCACAATGTTGACTACCACTGCCCTAGAGAGGGATCTAAATTAAGCCCATTCATTTTACTTGCATTTAGTAAAGAAAGCTTAGAAAAACGCTGAAACTGCCAAGCTCGCCCGATATTTATTAAAAGCTGACACCCATTCATTCTTGCGTATGAACTTAGGAAGCGGAACGTTCTCTGTGGAAGGACAAAGCACTGGAAAATATTCCAGAAAATTTTCCGCTCCGCATCACTGTTTTCAGAACAGTGACTAACTAGAAAACATACAAGTGGTGCACCCCTCCCAGGTGAATACCTTATGTGCATTAAGAACGACAGAACGAAAGCTGTGCAGAAGGAAGCAAGACGAGAGCAGTAAATCATGCAGAGAAGCGGCAGGCCGCCTCCTCAATGCGGGGACACTTTGAACTCACAGTATGCCAGCAGTCCCACCACACACAGTTTTGAAGTTCCTGGTTTATAGAGCAAGAGGAGACCGAAAGCACACACACACACACACACACACACACACACACACACACCTGGAGCATAATCTACGCAGGCTGGCGAAAGTGAAAAGTGAGGAGACGCTTTCAATCCCGCCATTGTTTTATTTGCGCATGTAAGTGGTTTAGATATTCATGCGTACCGCGCTGCCTAATTCCATTCCAGTCGAATAAACCTTTAAACCCATGTCTGACAAGCGTAAAGGAATAAATCTACAAATTGCAATATCCTCGCCTTGGTAAGCGCTGCGTATCAAAGATTATAATTAAATTACGCCGCCTTTATTTGCTCATTTGAAAAGGTGGCTCGCCCCCCAATCCGTTAATTAAAATGCTGGAGCCGGGGGGGGGGGAGAGAGATGGCTGTGCTCCTCTCCTTATTAGTCACTCACCATTGACCTGGCATGGAGGTCAAGCTCCGATTAGAATACTAAGCTCGGCTCTCCAACGCATTAACAGAAAATACTGTGGTTATCCCCATAACAGTTAATAGGATGACAGGTGTTTACAGCTCTCTTAATTTCTGACCGGGACGGATCCACCTCAGGGACTTACGGAATCATTCAGCCGGGCCAGGGGTGGAGGAGATGGACGCCAAGGTCAGTCTCGTAAGCAACGCCACACAAGTGACTGGCCTGCAACAACTGTTTGGTGAGAGCCAGGCAGCCGGTTATCTAGCTACCGATTCGCGAGCCACTCTCCATGTAATCGTACGTCCTGAACATGTAAATACAAACATTTTTATTAGGTATATCGTGACGTATGTCCTGTATGGTTGAACGGAGACTTTGGGTGGAATTCCACATTGCACTGATGCGATCGGTCCATCAACGCAAGCATTCCCGCTGACGGAATGATCTCCCTTCTCCTCCATCTGTGCAATTTCGGGGGGTTTGTGGCAGATTTGGGAGGTGCCCAGGGAAAGAGAGGGGGGAAGGAAATCCCTAATGGGCGTCCTTACACCGGCTTCCACTAGAGCAGGGCGATCCAACATGCAGCTCTCGTCAACATCATCATCATCATCATTTATTATTTATACCCTGCCCATCTGGCTGGGTCCCCCCAGCCACTCTGGGCGGCTTCCAGCAAAACACTAAAATACAATAACCTATTCCCTAAACAGGGCTGCCTTTAGATGACTTCTAAAGGTTTGGTAGTTATTTTTCTCTTTGACATCTGGCGGGAGGGCGTTCCACAGGGTGGGTGCCACTACCGAGAAGGCCCTCTGCCTGGTTCCCTGTAACTTGGCTTCTCGCAGCGAGGGAACCGCCAGAAGGCCCTCGGCGCTGGACCTCAGTGTCCGGGCAGAACGATGGAGGTGGAGACGCTCCTTCAGGTATACTGGACCGAGGCTGTTTAGGGCTTTAAAGGTCAGCACCAACACTTTGAATTGTGCTTGGAAACGTACTGGGAGCCAGTATAGGTCTTTCAAGACCGGTGTTATATGGTCTCGGCAGCCGTCCCCAGTCCCCAGTCTAGCTGGTGACACACGCCCTTCAACTCTCATGCTGCCATCCCAAAGCTAACTAAGGGAGGCACTGGGCTTTGGGAAGGACGCATGAGGGCTCTGGCAGGACCCTAGAGTTCTCCCTCCTCCTTCCCAAAGCCTAGTTAGCGCTTTCTCAGATTTGGGAAGGACCCTGCCAGAGCCTCACACCTCCTTCTCCAAACCCGGCGTCTCCAGCTTTGGGGACACAGCAAGAGGGATGGGGGCAGGAGGCTCATATTTCCGCCTTGATCCCCCACCCGACAAGGCAGTGTGAGACCCACAGGTTCCATGTCTAAGTACTCTTGCGACCCACTTGGTATGAAAAGTTGGACTGCCCTGCACTAGCGGAACGGGTTAGTTGAATCTGGCCTTTTATGCAGATCAATAAAGCAATATGTGCTATAAAGGTAAAGGGACCCCTGACAATTAGGTCCAGTCGCGAACGACTCTGGGGTTGCGGCGCTCATCTTGCTTTATTGGCCGAGGGAGCCGGGTCATGTGGCCAGCACGACTAAGCCACTTCTGGCGAACCAGAGCAGCGCACGGAAATGCCGTTTACCTTCCCGCTGGAGTGGTACCTATTTACCTACTTGCACTTTGACGTGCTTTTGAACTGCTAGGTTGGCAGGAGCAGGGACCGAGCAACGGAAGCTCACCCCGTCGCAGGGATTCGAACCGCCGACCTTCTGATCAGCAAGTCCTAGGCTCTGTGGTTTAACCCACAGTGCCACCCGCGTCCCTCCAATGCACGTATAAACATAATAAAAAGGCAAACAAAACTTCCCGATACAGGGCTGCCTTCAGATGTCTCCTAAAAGTTATATAGTTACTTAAATCTCCTTGACATCTGATGGGAAGGTGCCGCTGCCGAGAAGGCCCTCTGCCTGGTTCCCCGTAACCTCACTCCTGAAACTTAAACTGCCCTTCACAGTGTTACGAGAATTAATGAGATACAGAGTCATTTCTCGCTGCCCTTCTAGGTTTTGGGGGTGTAGTGGACTAGGAACCAAAACAAATGGGATTCCATCTTTAAAAGTACACATTCCTTTAAGAAAAAAGCCTCTGCTTCTATTCAAAGTTCTGTTCTTAAAAGCCAAGAAAACAAACTTCCCCCTTCTTTCTTTCTTCCCTTCCTCCTCTTTGAAACAAGCGAGCAGCAAATTGCTGGCTTGGAACGGCAGGCTGAACGCTGCTCAGAAAAATGCAGGTGTAATTGCAGAGCGTTTCACCCGGGAACAATAGCTGCGTAACGAACGGCACACAAACCCCCACTTAATGTTTCACTCATCAGCTAAGCCGAACGCGCAGAGCGCAGGAGTCCTGCACTGACAAATGACATCTCCCGGTTTGACTTCTGCACTTCTCAATGCTGTTATTGCAAAGGAGCAAATCCAGGGGCAAGACAGAGAATGCTTACGCCATCCTTCACAATCTGCGGAGGCCATCCCTCCATTTCCATGTTCCCAGAAGAAGCATCATGTTGAGGCTGGTACAGCAACATCGACAAAGACTCCTGTGATATCTTAAGGCTTACAAACCCGGTATGGCATAAGCTGGAAGCAGCCAATGTTGCAGACTGCAACTCCCATCATCCCCGACCATCAACTATGCTGGCTTAGGCTGATGGGTGCTGTAGCCCAAAAGAGATGGAAGGCATCACATTGGCTACCGCTGGTATAAACTAAAGTGGTACCTCGGGTTAAGTACTTAATTCGTTCTGGAGGTCTGTTCTTAACCTGAAACTGTTCTTAACCTGAAGCACCACTTTAGCTAATGGGGCTTCCCACTGCCGCCACGCCACCAGAACACAATTTCTGTTCTCATCCTGAAGCAAAGTTCTTAACCCAAGGTACTATTTCTGGGTTAGCGGAGTCTGTAACCTGAAGTGTATGTAAGCCGAGGTACCACTGTACTGTTGACTACAGTGGTACCTCGGGTTACATACGCTTCAGGTTACATACACTTCAGGTTACAGACTCTGCTAACCCAGAAATAGTGCTTCAGGTTAAGAACTTTGCTTCAGGATGAGAACAGAAATCGTGCTCCAGCGGCGCGGCAGCAGCAGGAGGCCCCATTAGCTATAGTGGTGCTTCAGGTTAAGAACAGTTTCAGGTTAAGAACGGACCTCCGGAACGAATTAAGTACTTAACCCGAGGTACCACTGTACATCACATGGCATCAGACAGAATCATAGTGCTGTAGAATTGGGAAAGACCCTGACGGAGTCCAATGCAGGAATATGCAGCTTCCCCATACAGGGATCGAACCTGCAACCTTGGCGTTAGCACCACCACGCTCTGACCAGCTGAGATGCATGAAGTGCTATCCTTAATAGATGAAGAAGCAATCTTCCAAGGGAGACTGTGATATGGAACCCCTGAATTCATCGAGAAATTCAATGCCATCAGTTCTGGACTGAATCAGGACAACATGTTTTCACCACGCTGCATGCATTACTTGGCTGACTGGTGCCAGGATCACTGCATCGTCTGCTACTGTTTTGAGAATTACTGGCATTAATGATGCAATCGTCACTACATTTCCTGAATTCTGTTTCCCTCTGAATTCACTGCTTATGACACGCGCACCCCAAGATGAAAACACAACCCACGGGTATATCTGCAACCGAGGATAACAATTCATGCATTTGATGAAGAGGACTGTGGTCCAAAAAAAGCTTATGCTACCATACATTTGTCAGCTATCAAGGTACCTTTGTTGTAAAAAGCGGCAGACCCCCAGCTGCTGTTCCCCTGGGGGAACGGATTCCACGGAAACAGTTCTACTGTTCTGGAAGCAGCAGAAAGAAGGGGGGGGGGAGATGGGTGCCTGCCCAGCCCAGCACCCTGACAGGGATGCAAATGACCGCCTCACCAATCATCAGATTAGGGATGGGTCAACAACCCCCTCCTCCTTGTCACAATTAAATAAGGAAGGAGTGCTGTGTGTGTGTGTGTGTGTGCGTGTGTGTACGCATGCATGGAAAAATGTGTGTGCAAGTGTGTGGGTGACCACATCCCCTGCAGGCATGTGGCCCTCAGATGCTTGGCAAAGGTCAAATGTGGCCCTCAGTCCCCAAAAAAGGTCAGCCAGCCCTGCAGCAAAGCATTCATGGATGAAGGGTGCGGCATAAGCAATTAACGTGGCCCAAATTCTTTTTTCCATAACCAAGAGCTGCCAATATCCTGGCCACCGTCTCCGAATAATTAGGATCCTAAAATCTCAGCAGCTCCCTACACAAAAGGCTTCCTTTTTAAAGGTTGCTAAGCAAGGAGCAGAAGCACGCTCGCCAGATTGTTGAAGAGATACGCACAGGATTTAAGACCTAGTCATAAATGGTTGCAGGCACCATAAACTGTATTACAATTCACATAACATCTCCCAAGCCCTTTCAAAACTACCTTGGCTAGACCTCTGAATTCTTCGGCGTGGAAATCGCAACCAAGGAGGACTCCCACAACTCTGCCTTTCTCCCCAGAGCCCCCTTCTCTGAGGAATGACCCACCTTCAGAAACCTGGTGTCCTCCAGATGTTTTAGACTGCCAACATCTGGGGGTGGGTCCAGGTTTGCGAAAGCTCATTCAGAAAATAGAATCTCTCCATATTTTGATCTCTGACTTCAAGGAGGGTGGCTGGGTGAAATCAGCTCTTTGGCCAGGCCTCCGCAACTAAATGCACCCCACAACCAAGCGCTCAAATGAGCTTTCTGGTTTGGGGGCTGGCAAAAAAGGCAGGCAAGCTTTAGGTATGCTTTGAAAGCTAAGTGTAGGGAAATCACAAATTAATTTTCCTACAAACTCCTGTTTTCTGTTTTTCCATTGCTACTGCTTCGTTTTAAAGAAAGCAAGAAACCTTATGGATATGATGATATGCCTGCAGGTGTACAGGCAATGAACGCCTGGTGACTTGAAACCAGGGGAGAGGCTGGCGAAGTTTTTCAATGGTCGTAGGTTTGGTGTTTCAATACCTTTCAAATATCCTGGTCTTTGCCATTCTCCATAACTAGTAAGTTAAAGGGACCCCTGACCATTAGGTACAGTCGTGGCTGACTCTGAGGTTGCGGCGCTCATCTCGCTTTATTGGCCGAGGGAGCCGGCGTACAGCTTCCGGGTCATGTGGCCAGCATGACTAAGCCGCTTCTGGCGAACCAGAGCAGCGCATGGAAACGCCGTTTACCTTCCCACCGGAGCAATACCTATTTATCTACTTGCACTTTGGTGTGCTTTCGAACTGCTAGGTTGGCAGGAGCAGGGACCGAGTAACGGGAGCTGACCCCATCGCGGGGATTCGAACCGCCGACCTTCTGAACGGCAAGTCCTAGGCTCTGTGGTTTAACCCACAGCACCACCCGCGTCCCTTCCATAACTAGTAGAAGTATACAAAAAAATGAGCAAAAACAGTGTTGAAGAATTCAGGTGAGAAAAATAATAAATACTCATGTGAATTATCTTAATCTGTATAATTTATACAGATGGCAGAATTACTTGCCTACCTGTTTTAAAGTAGACTGATGAGGGATAGCTCAGTCGGTAGAGAATGAGACTCTTCATCTCAGGGTTGTGGGTTTGAGTCCCACGTTATGATAATAATAATTATTATTATTTTATTATCTGTACCCTGCCCAACTGACTGGGTTGCTCCAGTTGGACGAAAGATTCCTGAGTAACAGGGGGTTGGACTAGATGCTTCTTGTGGTCCCTTCCAACTCTACAATTCAACCTCCATTTGGCTTATCACTCCTTAGGGTAGTGATAAAGCGGGATATCAAATCCAAACTCTTCTTCTTGGCTTCTTTGCTGCCTCTGTTTGGGTGAAAACTTTCCTATTTAATCGGTCCTTTATTTAATCTTAGCTTACTTGAGCTGCTGCTGCTTTACTGCTTTCTACCATTTTTATTATACAGCGGTACCTCTAGATATGAACGGGATCCGTTCCGGAGCCCCGTTCGCATCCAGAGGTAAACATAACTAGTGACGGCACATCTGCGCACACGCGTGTCGTTTTCGCCGCTTCTGCGCATGCATGTGACGTCATTTTGAGCATTTGCGCATGCGGCGAAACCTGGAAGTTACGCACTCAGTTACTTCCGGGTTGCCGTGGAGCGCAACTCGAACACGCTCAACTCGAAGCATATTCAACCTGAGGTATGACTGTATTCTGCGGTGTTCTGTTTCCAGCACACAACGCTCTGATCTCCTTAGGGAGGAATGGCAGGCATAAATTATTCCAAGTCGCGACATAAATTAGGAGGCCGACATCCCCAACTATTAAGAGGCGTGAAGCTCAAGGTTGTTATAAAATGTTTGCCTATAAAAGGAAATCCCAAACCGACCGAACACTACCGCCCACTTAACCCAGGCATGCAAGATTTTGCTCCTCGTCTTGTACGGCACCTTACTGTTTTGTATGCATCGCACAGCATAGGTCAAGTCCTGGAAGATGCTCCCTTCCACTCTCGCTTGCCCCTGGGAGCAAACAAAGATGCCGCCTTTCCCATCCCTGAAGAGACACTTCCGAACGAGGCATCCTTGCATGGCGTTGGCAAGAGACTGCGCCTCCTTGTCTTTCTGAAGCTCCTGCTGCAGAGTTTTCAGCTCGTAGTCGCTCGGAAGTGCTGCCAAGCCGTCGGCCTGCGGCCTGCCGTCAATCACCTTGGCCAGCATGTGACTCAGGCTATGCGCCTGGTAAGGCAGCCGGCACATCGACTCGTCGTCCTCCTCGTTCTCGCTGCTCATGCTCAGCTCGCTGTCGCTAGAATCCGTCTCCATTGTCGCGGCCTCCTCCTTGTTGGCCCCCTGGAGATGCCCAGCGACATCGCTCCCTTTCTCGCACCCTTTCTTCGGCATTGCTGGAGGGTGCGAAGCAGGCAGCGTGTTGCCAGGGTCCCCACCCACCACAATTTCACAGGTCCGTACGCTCGTCAGCAGAGGCCCCCGGCTCTCCAGCTTCGATGCGCTGCAATGTGTCTGTAGCTCCGGCATCTGTAGCGAAGCGGAGCAGGATTTGGCCAATGTGCTCAAGTGCTTACAGGCCCAGTTCCTGTCCACAGATGGGCAGCCATCCACAGTCACCGAGGCATTTTCACTGCCCACAAACTCACAGTTTTCCAGCAGGCAGATGGCTACGCTGTGGAAATTGATGGTGGACTGGTTGAAAGTGCAGAATTTAACTTGGCAAGTGCCCGGGGCATGGATTTGAAGCTGTCCGTTCTCAAAGTTGCAGTTGTCAAACTGGACGTGGCCTGAGTTTGTCTAGAGAAAAAGAATGACACCAGATCAATATATGTTCAGGGAAGTTTTTAATGGCTGATGTTTTATTGTGTTTTTCATATTTTGTTGGAAGCCACCCAAGTGGCTGGGGCAACCCTGTCAGATAGGTGACATAGAATTATTATTATCATTATTATTAATACTACAGTGGACACTCGGGTTGCGAACGTGATCCATGCGGGAGGCACGTTCGCAACCCGCAGCGCCATGTCTGCGCACGCGCAGCTTGCGATTCGGCACTTCTGTGCATGTGCAAAGCGCAATTTAGCGCTTCTGTGCATGCGTGAGTCCCGAAACCTGGAAGTAATCCATTCCGGTACTTCCGGGTTTCGGTGTGTCCGTATCCCCAAAACACGCAACCTGAAGTGTCTGTAACCTGAGGTATGACTGTGCAGTTATAGACACTTCAGGTTACATACACTTCAGGTTACAGGCTCCGCTAACCCAGAAATAGTGCTTCAGGTTAAGAACTTTGCTTCAGGATAAGAACAGAAATCGGGCTCCGGCAGCGCGGCAGCAGCAGCAGGAGGAGGCCCCATTAGCTAAAGTGGTGCTTCAGGTTAAGAACAGTTCCAGGTTAAGTACGGACCTCCGGAACAAATTAAGTACTTAACCTGCGGTACCACTGTACCACTATTTCACAGTCACAAAACAATTTCACAACAGACACCAAGAAGATTACCAAACGAACCCAAGGGAGACCGCATGGGAAGCTGCCCTACTAGAAAGGTAGCTAACCAATGGAAACGAGCATGGGGACAAACGAAGGAAGATGCCTTCACCCCGGTGTGGCTCCCCTTTATTACACATGTGGGCCAACAAGACAATGACTGATCCCCCAACAGCACACAAATCGATATGGCTAGTTGATACAGTTACTATACATTCCCATCACACAAACAAAACACACTGCAACCCACCGGTTACAACCGGCCATGCCCTGGGCTTCCTGATCTCGTGCACCGCCAGCAAAAAATAAAGATACCTACTCAAGTGATGCCAAAACAAAACTTCTGCTCGTAGACTATGTAAAAGAATGAAACGTGGGGAAATTTATAATTTACCTTAAAAACCATTGTAAACAAAATTGTTAGTAGGATTGGAATAACACTTGTAGTTTAATGGTGAATTTTGGATATAATGGGAGATGTAAAAGATCTGGATTATTATAAAAGATGCAGGAGGAAATGATTAATAATAGGACCTGCCAAGGGGAGGAGGGAAATACTTTGGAATCTTGTTTTTATGTTGTATGTTGGATATGTGATTGTAAAACTCTAATTTGAAAAAACAAATAAATAAATTTATTAATCAAGAATGGATCTTTACTGTCTCCCCCACACACTTCTTTTTCCTCCCCTCTCTCCCCACTTCCCTCACCCCCCAACCCCATACTGCCTACAACAGTAATGTCTCTGTACAAAGGACTCTATGATCTGAAAACTGAGAACCTGTGTGTACCTTTGTACACCTTTTAATAAAAACAAATTTTAAAAGCAATAGTCATAAGTACAGGACCTCCCAGTTTACTCTTGGTCTTCTACCTGTCCTGGGGGGATGATTGAGGCATGATCCCAGCCTACCCCTGCTGCACGACCGATCTGACATTTTCATGCCCGAAACAGAAACCATCATGCTCTCGCGAAGCTCTCGTTCAATGTGCTACAACCTGAGCAAGAGAACCTTCAATGGACTGCGTCACTTGGTTCAGATCCATCCATTGCCCATTCTGTTATACTTAGTGGTGCTCAGAGTTCCCTGCTTGATCCACAAAGGCACCGTATTTTTCGCTCTATAGGACACACCCGACCATAGGACGCACCGTGTTTTAGAGGGAGAGAACAAGGGGAAAAAATTCTCCCCCTCTCTGCTCAGCGCCCCTTCAGTGAAGCGGCAGGAGAAACGGAGCCCCTTCCATTTCTCCTCCCGCTTGGCTGAAGGGGCGATGTGCAGCTCTCCCTCTCTGCTGAAGCCAGGAGAGTCTTGCTCTCCCGGCATCAGCAAAGGGAACCCAAAGCCTTTGGAGCGCAGCGCAAGGTCCCGCTGCGCTCCAAAGGCTTCAGGCGGCGATCCCTGAAGCCTGGAGAGCGAGAGGGGTCAGTGCGTACCGACCCCTCTCCCTCTCCAGGCTTCAGTGAAAGCAACGCATAGCCTCCAGAGCGCAGAGGGAGCGCTCCCTCGGCGCTTTGGAGGCTTCGCGTTGCTTTCCCTGAAGCCAAGGAGCCTGCATTCGCTCCATAGGATGCACAACCATTTCCCCTTAATTTTTGGAGGGGGAAAAGTGTGTCCTACAGAGCGAAATATACGGTAAGTGGTAGACAAGGTGGTGGTAGCTCCAGATGTTGGACTCCAAGTCCCATCAGCCCCAGTCATCAGGATGATGGGCATTGTAGTCCAACGATATCTGGAGAGCCTTACAGTCCTCCCACCCATTCACACTCACCTTATATATGATGGGCGTGAACCAAGCTGGCATGAAGACCAAATTGCATAACCTCACGGTTGGACAGTGCTGGTCGAAGCTCACCAGGAGAGCCACGTCTCCGAGTTTGCCCCTCCCCATAATTTCCACAGGGACCTTAAGGAAGACTTCGCCCTGCTCTTCGTACACTCCGGGCAACAGGACGATCCGGTCATAAACACACGCCGAAACCAAGGCACTCCGGAGATTTTCGAACTCGCAGCCGGGACCCACGCAAAGGACGCGCCGGTCCTTCTTCCTTCTGAACAGGTAGAAGCAGTTGGAGGATTCGAGGTCCTGGCTGTTCTTGGTCCAGGTTTTCGAAGCGAGGTAATGCTGTTTGAAGGCTTCCCTCCACGACCAGGGCTCCACGTCGGGCTGGTTGGGCCAATTTGGGTGCCGGCACTCGATGCAGCCCAGGCAAAGCTGCCTCCACCGGGTGTTGTCCAGGCTGAGGATGAGTTCGTACCACGCTCTGCAAACCAAGCTGCAGCGGCCAAGGTCCGGAAGGCGCAAGTAGGACAATATCAGGCGCCACAACTCCAGTGGCAAGCCACTGATTTCCATCGTCACCTAGGAACAGCAAGGCACAAAGACTCATTACTCTCTAGACTTAATAGGAGATGCTCACCTCTTTCCTCCCCTTCCTTTCAAAGGTTGTATGAGGGATGGGGATCAGAGAATCAAAGAACTGTAAATGGTTTTTGAAAATGATGCAGTAGGTGGAACTGGCGAGATTAACAGTAATGATTAGAGGCCAAAATGACAAAAAATAATAATCATTGAGAACTGGAAACTTTTTATCGCGTATTTAAAGAACTATTATAGCGAGATGAAAACGTGAGCACGATTTGAAATACAAGCATCAGTATTAATTACAGTGGAACGTCGGTTTTCGAACGTAATCCGTTCCGGAAGACCTTTCAACTTCCAAAACATTCAAAAAACAATAGGCGGCAAAATCCATTGAAAAAATGGAAAAACACACAGCGGGAGCCATTCAACTTCTGAGGCGCGTTCGAAAACAGAAACAATTACTTCCAGGTTTTCGGCGTTTGGCTTCCAAATCATTTGGCTTCTGAGACACTCGGAAACCGAGGTTCCACTGTATTAAGATAAATAGGTTAAAATGGCTGCAATGAATATTATACGTGAAATTTGCAGCTTTAAAGGGTAAATATGGAAACCATGGAAAAGGGGGGCAGGGCGGGAAGTCTATGGCTAAAGTAATTTATGGTCTGTGTCAAAACCTGTAAAGTTTTCTGTGAAAAAAATCAATAAAAAAGATTTTTAGAAAGAGAAGCAGAGAATTTTAGAGCTGAAATGGACCATGAGGACCAGCTAGTTCAAGCCCCTGCAATGTAAGGGGCTCAAACTGACCGACCTATTGCACCTGAGACCAACAAGCCCCCTTTTTTCTTCTCCCTCACACGAGGGAATGCAATTTCTAAAAGCAACCATCAGCAACCTGCTATCGTCTAGAATGATTTGGACTGCAACTTCCAAAACATCCGGATGCTTTAATGTGTGTCCAACTTCAGCACATTAGGGACTTGTCACCTGTAATAAGCCAGCCTCTCAAATTCTGCCTCCAAGAGAAATGCCGATGTTCATATCATTTCACATCCCCACAAAAACGACACTTTTCAGAAATCAAGTGATCTATATGCATCTGCAAACCGGGCAATGTTATACCCTCAACCTGTTGCCTTCCAGGTGTTTTGGATCACAACTCCTATCAGCACCAGCCAGTGCTCTCCATTTTCTGGGAAAATACTGGCATTTTTCTTTTTCTTTTACAATGAAAAATTGTAACGTATCCGGAACAAAAGAGGGGATATAGGGAAAGAATCCCCTTTAAAAACCAGGCACCTTTTAGAACTTGCATCTGTTCCGCTGTTGCCACAGCGGCAGCTCGGCAGCCTCAAAATAGCCCTTCCGTAGTTCACGTTATTTACCTTGTAAGACAAGTTGCAAATCTCAACAAGAAAGCACAAGAAAATTGAGCATTTGCAGGCCATGGAGCAGTGTTGGGCACAAAATGGCTCCTTAAATCAAGGTTACAGTCACCAAAACAGAATGTCTAGTTGCCATTTTTTAGCAAGACGGCTCTAAAGTCTTATTTTTCAAATGATGGACTGGCTGTGATTTTTTCTCAGTTAAACATCCGGCGAGTTCAGATTACAAACTTGAGCTAGTCTAAGAGCTTTGAGAACTTAAAGAAGAAAAGTCACTTGATCCAGTGACAATCCATATATATATATATATAAATATATATATATATATATATATATATATATATTGGTCTATTCAAACCTCTTTTTCTTAATTGTGACTATTGCTGCTCAGGCTGCACAGGAAAAAGCATTTTGGTTCCAGAAATTCATTCCAATTGTGCAGATAAAAATATAACTGTTTGTTATTATATAGCACCTTTGTGGGGGTTTTGTCTGTTTGCTTGTTCTGATAATATATTAATTGGTTCCTATGATTTTGTCTTTGTTGTTTATGTTGGTTTTGTGGACTGTCCCTGGATAAAGAGACTTTTATTCTTTCGGTGCTCAAAGTTCTTAACCAGGCACCCCCAAACCTGGCCCTCCAGCTTGTTTCTGCACTACAATTCCCATCATCCCAGACCACTGGTCCTGTTAGCTAGGAATGATGGGAGTTGTAGTCCCAAAACAGCTGGAGGGCCGAGTTTGGGGATGCCTGTGCTTAACCCAGCTCAAGGTTGTCATTTGAACTAGCCAGATGTTGAACTGATAATCAATCACAGTCAGCCTGTGATTTGAGCCGTCTTGCCCAAAAATGGCAACTAGATATTCCATTTTGGTGACTGTAACCTCAGTTTAAGGAACCATTCGGAGCCTAAATTATCTATCCAAGTTTCTAACACTATTGACAGTTTGTTGTGTACATTCTCTTCCATTACTGCCAAACGAATTTTACCAAGTACTTTCTTTACCATCACCTTCTGATCTCATTGACCGTTAGCCTTCATTTTCATTTTTTCAGGGGGGAAGTCTCACCCCCACCCTCTAAAGTGGAATCCTTTTTTCCCCCTTCTTGTTTTTGCCGCTCTTTGGGGGCTCAGGATGTCCCTTAACAAAAGAACATGAATCACTAGCTTCACTGGAGGGAAATTGTTATTTTTTTTAACCTGGAGGTAAATTGCTATACTGTAGTTTTTCAGCTCTGCTAAAAGCAGTTCCTCAAGGCCACCACTGACACGCACATTCAGAGCCAAACCGCGCATGACGCAGGAGATCTATTGTTGAACATCTCAATGCCTTTAAATAAAAAATAAAAAGCTCAAAGAAGCTGAATTGGCTCGGAGCAGGCGGTGCTGGGAAAGGAGGCGTTAACTCCCCCCACGGTGCTTTTTAGACTGAAGTCACCTCCATCTCCTGAAAGCAGCTATTAGTCCCACTTTAATCAAAGTGGCGGCTTGTGGGGTATCCGCATTTCAAACACACCCCATAGCTCAATAGCTCCCTGGATCCACATACAACACCATTAAGGCAAGGTATAAGTTCCACTTCATCCTCCAGATACAGTGGTACCTCAGGTTAAGTACTTAATTCGCTCCGGAGGTCTGTACTTAACCTGAAACTGTTCTTAACCTGAAGCACCACTTTAGCTAATGGGGCCTCCTGCTGCTGCCATGTCGCCGGAGCACGATTTCTCTTCTCATCCTGAAGCAAAGTTCTTAACCTGAAGCACTATTTCTGGGTTAGCGGAGTCTGTAACCTGAAGCGTATGTAACCTGAGGTACCACCGTATTAGTGCTAGAAACTCAGATATATAAACTAGGCGCCAAATGGGTCCTTAAATCAGAATTGCAGTCACCAAAACAGAATGTCCAGTTGCCATTTTGGGCCCAGACTGGCTCAAAAGCTGAATTTTTCAATACGACTTTTTGGTTCCTTGAAATCAATTCTGATTGTGCAGATAAAATATACAGTGGTACCTCGGGTTACGAACTTACAGTATTTTTTGCGCTATAAGACTCCCTTTTTCCCTCCTAAAAAGTAAGGGGAAATGTGTGTGCGTCTTATGGAGCAAATGCAGGCTGCGCAGCTATCCCAGAAGCCAGAACAGCAAGAGGGATTGCTGCTTTCACTGCGCAGCGATCCCTCTTGCTGTTCTAGCTTCTAAGATTCAGAATATTTTTTTCTTGTTTTCCTCCTCTAAAAACTAGGTGCATCTTGTGGTGCGTCTTATAGAGCGTCTTATAGAGCGAAAAATACAGTAATTTGTTCCGGAGGTCTGTTCTTAACCCGAAACCTTTCTTAACCTGAGGCACACTTTCACTAACAGGGCCTCCCACTGTTGTCACACCGCTGGTGCGCGATTTCCGTTTTTATCCTGGGGCAACGTTCGCAGCCTGGAGCAACTACTTCTGGGTTAGCGGAGTTTGTAACCTGAAGCGTTTGGTAACCCAAGGTACCACTGTAATGGTTAGAATTCTGCAGGGTGCGTTGCTAGCGTGTGAAAAGAGTCAAGATCCAAGGATCCATGTAAAATGACATTTGGCACCTGCTTCGTATAATATAGGCAGGTAGTTGAAAAACTATTTTGTTTCCTCTGGTTTTTAATCAACACATTGTGGCTGGTTTTGGAGCTGCTTAGGAAATGCTATTGCGACACTATGTGTTGCTTTGTGCTGTAGTCTCTGTTTTATTGAATTTGTATGTAGCCACTTAAAAAAGAAAAAAATCCCAAGGATCTTGAAGGCATGCACCTCCAAATGGTGGAGACATCAGACACCATCCTGACGCCTGGGCATCTTCATTCGGCTGCATGTGGCCAATAGGCAGGTGCAAAATGCGCCTGGCAGATTTCGATTGCTGGATAGACACTGTGTGCAAAAATGAAACCCACCCTTTCATTATCCTGAACTGCAAGTATAACAAGAGGGTTAATTGCAAGCCTAATTAAGCCTAAGAGGAAAGCAAAGGCCACACACTTGCATGAGCCCCTAAGGGTTGAAAGCAAGTGTTTTACCAATGCAAACTAAAACTCGTATCAACTTCCTTAACATCAGGGTCTTTCTCTAGCTCGCTCCTTTACCGTATGGCAGGCACGTCCAACTCCCAAGAGACTGTGATCTACCGTATTTTTTGCTCTATAAGACTCACGTTTTCCCTCCTAAAAAGTAAGGGGAAATGTGTGTGCGTCTTATGGAGCGAATGCAGGCTGCGCAGCTATCCCAGAAGCCAGAACAGCAAGAGGGATTGCTGCTTTCGCTGTGCAGCGATCCCTTTTGTTGCTCTGGCTTTTGAGATTCAGAATATTTTTTTTCTTGTTTTCCTCCTCCAAAAACTAGGTGCGTCTTATGGTCTGGTGCGTCTTACAGAGCAAATAAGGTACTCACATTATAAAAATACTAGCTGTTATTAGGCGAGGCAAAGTTGCTGAGACATCCAGTGATTTACCAGTAGATCACAATCTACCTGTTGTAGGGGACCTGTTAAGTCCGAGGTGCCTACCTGCAGCCCCCAAAGAAATGAAAGAAGCACCCAGACTCTTCCAAGGCAGGTAAACCCCGGTAACATTTAAGAAAGGGTGGCAGCTCAGTGCTAGAGCAGAAGGTCCCAAGTTCAGTCCTTGTCATCTCCAGGCAGGGCTGGGGGACAGCAGCCAAGGTTGTAGTTAGATGGACCACTGGTCTGGTTTACCATAAAGCATTTTCCTAGTGTTGTGTACTGAGCTGAATCCTAGAACAATAGGATCCAGAGTGCAGCAGTCTGATTGGTCCGCAAGAGCCACCCAATCCAGCTCCAGGTAGAAGTGAATCAGCGACCAGGATTGGCCTGCAGGAACAGCCAATCAGGCTTCTGGAGGTGGTGGATCAGCAACCTGATTGGCCTACAGGAGCACCCCGGAATTAGCCAATCACGCGGGGCCCAATGTGTAAATAATGTATATATAGCTAGACGTTTTGGGGAAAGTTTCATTCATTGCTACTATGAGCTGAATAAAGAGCATGAAATTCACACTCGACTCCGAATGTATTTCACCTAGGTTCCTAGGATCTGCTTGCAAATTCCATTTCTATTATCTCCTGTGCTATTAATAATAAAAAATAATTCTAATCAAACGCATTTTATGTGCGTCTTGCAAAGCACATCCTATGCACAGATCTACCACTTGAAAACGCTGTGCATATACATTGCTAATGCCCCCCCCAAAAAGTGGGGAGCCCACCGTGTTTTCAAACATAGGGATTGATGCTCTGAGCACAAAGAGCGAAGCCAACAAGTCTAAAGCCATTGTGTGGAGGGGGGAAATCCCGCCTTCCTCCCCTCCAAAAATATCACCAAAAACCACCCAGAAATCGGAAGCACATCCGGACAACATCCACAGATCGCGTTTTGTGAGCGCGTTGTGCAACCCGCTCCATGTTTGCTGTCCCGAGGGGACTTGCTCCAAGAGAAGAAGTGTGGGCACAGGCAGGAAAAGCACATCCCGAGAAAACAACAACAACTATGCATGCAGAAAAACACGCCCCGATAAAAGCTATGCATGCAGAAAAACGCACACCAAGAAAAACTATGCATGCAGAAAAACACATCCCGAGAAAACCTATGCATGCAGAAAAACACACACCAAGAAAAACTATGCATGCAGAAAAACACATCCCGGGGAAAAACCATGCATGCAGCCGACCCTGAAGATCTGCAAAAGCGAAGCGGGTTGCACCGTGCAGGGCGCGCGCGCGCCCCGGCCCCGCTTGCTAGCAGAGCTAAGAAAGTGCACACAAAAAAACACACCGCCAAACATGAGTTTCCCGATCTGGTTTTGCTCTTTTGTTTCGTTACCTTATGACGGCATCCCGGTCTCTGGCGAGAAAGCGCCTCTCCGCCAGCGAGCCGAGCCCGGAGGCTGCTGGAAACACCCCGGGATCGGAGCCACTCCCCCGGCTCCGGCGCGCACGGCCGCGCCGATCATAGAGATCTTCCCAAGGAAGGGAGGCGCACGAAGAGAGCATTTCCTCGGGATCTCTATCATGGCGATCACATGGTCGCCGGGGTCCTGGAGGAGAGAGATCGGCTGCAGCAAAGGGGGGAGAAGAGAGGGGAGCCTGGTTTGGAGGAAGGGGGTCGCCAATGTCTTTGCAGACCAGCCACGTTCACGCACACGCGTGTATCTTTGGCGATGTTGTTTCTAAGTAGCCTCGGGGGCTCAGGCTCGTCACGTGTGCACAGGGCAGTCCCCGGAAAACTCACTTCCATGATAGGGCGGGCATAGCTGTCAACTTACAGATTTGAAAATAAGGGACCAGCAGCCTCGAAAATAAGGGATCAGCAGCCAAAATAAGGGCTAGTTTATACAGAAATCCGGCACTGATGGAGCCCTGCTGCTTTGGCTGCCCCTGACTGTGTTTTGCAGGGGGTTGAACCAGATGATCCTAAGGGTCTACAACTCCCACCAAAGAAGAGGGGCAGACAAAACTGATGAACGACGTCCAGATGGCAAAGCTTCCAGGCAGAATTAGAAACCAGGAAGAGGACCTCTTTAATAAAGAATGGGGGAAGTTTATAATTTATTGGAAAAGCTATTGTAAAGAGTTACATACATTGGTAGGATTGACAGAAAACTTGTAAAAATTTGAACTATGGATGGACAAATGATTTATGAATATAGAGTTATGAAAGGGATGCAGAGGGGGAAATCACTACATTTAGATGCTGCACTGGTTGGAGGGGATGCTAAGCAGCACGTCGGGGCTGCCAGTCGTCTTGGAGCGAGGAGTTCCATCGGCCCTTCCCCACCCGAGAGAGAGGGAGGGAGAGGGACTCTCGCCCACGCCGCCGCCCGCGAGTCCGGCATGAGGCGGATGCGGTGCCGCTGAAGTGCCGCCTTTCTGCATCCCTCCCCATCACCCCCTCTTCCTCCTCCCTCAGGCCGCCTCCTCAGCAGCCGCCGCTGCCGCCTCCGGCTTCCCCTGGCAGCGCAGCGGAAGTCTCGCAAGAGAGGGACTGCCCGCCCGCCCGCCTCCACCCGTCTCCTCACGATGCGCCCCTGAGGGGGAAAAGGGAGAGATGGAGACGTGGCAGCTCGTGCGCTCTCTCTCACGGTGGAGGACCCCGAGCTTCCCTCCCGAGCCGGGCCAGCATGAAACCCAGGAAATTTAAGGGACATCATCAATAAGGGACAGCAGCGGGACATGGCGCTGGGATAAGGGAGTTTTCCGCCAAATAAGGGACGGTTGACAGTTATGCACGGGCGTAGCCGGGGAGGGGGCAGCTGCCCCCCACAATCAAGTAAATAAAAATACCTAACTCAGTGTAGACATTGTAGAAAGGTTTTGAGAGGGTTTTTCCCCCCTGAGCACTTGGGGGTCAAAAGAAAGTAATTTCAAACAACTGATGTTGAGACATTTCATTCCGAATCTGCTAAACCAGTGTTTCCCAAACTTGGGTCGCTGGCTGTTTTTGGACTACAACTCCCATCATCCCTAGTTAGCAGGACCAGTGGTCAGGGATGATGGGAATTGTAGTCCAAAAACAGCTGGAGACCCAAGTTTGGGAAACACTGTGCTAGACAGAGGATGATGATACACTCATTGATGCACTGGGCAATAGATGAGGATGACAATAATAATAATAATAATAATAATAATAATAATAATAATAATAATAATAATTTATACCCTGCCCATCTGGGTGGCTTCCAACAAAATATTAAAATACAGTAAAGCATCAAACATTAAAAGCTTCCCTAAACAGGGCTGCCTTCAGATGTCTTCTAAAAGTCTGGTAGTTGCTGTTCTCTGTGTTGGTCATAATATAGGTATGGAAGCATGGGAACGATTGTGGGATATAAAATTTTATTGCATGTTATGGTCTAAGAGAAAATTATATGAAAATGATACATCGTTGGTATCTAACACCGAGTAAACTGGCAAAAATGTATACAGTGGTACTTCTGGTTGCGCACAGGATCCGTTCCGGAGCTCCTGTCGGATCCCTAGGTGTGCGTATCTAGAGGTGCTGCTTCTGCACGTGCGCACGGGGCGAAACCCGGAAAAATACTTCCGGGTTTGCTGCGCACGTATCCCGAAGAATACGTAACTGGAGGTGAATGTAAGTAGAGGTACCACTGTAAATCTAAATCAAACAAGTGCTGGAAATGTAACTAGAAAGAAGGTTCTTTTTATCATATGTGGCGGTCCTGTGGTAAAGTTACTGGGAAATGATATACAATGAATTGAAAAGGATGTTCAAAATAACTTTTATTTAAAAAAAGACTTTGGACATGCCTGTCCTAGCGGGTCTAAAACCATTTTGGGATTCAGGAAGGGTTGCTTGGATATTATTAAGAGATGGTTTGCTACGATCCTTGCAAGAATTTTGTAGAAGGCAGCTAATAAAGAGATGCCTCGATAGTTTCCGCAACCCGTTCTGTCACCTTTTTTAAAAAAGAGATTGAACTTTTGGCATCCCTGAAGTCTGCTGGGATCTCCTCTCTCTCCCATATTTTTTCGATGGGCTTTTGAAGTTGTTGTGCAAGTTCATTTCTGTTTCATGTTTTTATGAAAGCCTTCTCTGTACTCAAAATGCTGCTCTGCTTTATTGTCATCAGAGCAAAGGAATTGGTACTAGATATCTATCTATAAGGGACGCGGGTGGCGCTGTGGGTTAAACTACAGAGCCTAGGACTTGCCGATCAGAAGGTTGGCGGTCAAATCCCCGTGACGGGGTGAGCTCCTGTTGCTCGGTCCCTGCTTCTGCCAACCTAGCAGTTCGAAAGCACGTCAAAGTGCAAGTAGATAAATAGGTACCACTCCGGCGGGAAGGGAAATGGCGTTTCTGTGCTCTGCTCTGGTTCGCCAGAAGTGGCTTAGTCATGCCGGCTCCCTCGGCCAGTAAAGCAAGATGAGCAGCGCAACCCCAGGGTCGGTCACGACTGGACCTAATGGCCAGGGGTCCCTTTACCTTTATCTATCTAGATACAAATACATTCTGATGACCAATTTGGGAGCTTGTTGAATTGGACAGACTTGGGTGGAGAAGTCTGTGCTGTAAAGACCTAGTTAATCTGGGTTTTGAGAAGTGTTGTGTACAATAGGTTAAAAAAAGATAGGTAAAGGACCCCTGGACAGTTTAGTCCAGTCAAAGGCTACTATGGAGTGTGGTGTTCATCTCGCTTAATATCTAGCAGATAAGAGAACATACTGTGAAGCTGGTAGTGTAATTTATGTCTCTCAGACTAATATCAATGTACTTATTTGTAATACAGTGGTACCTTGGTTCTCAAACTTAATCCATTCCGGAAGTCCATTCCAAAACCAAAGCGTTACAGAACCAAGGCGCGTTTTCCCATAGAAAGTAATGCAAAATGGATTAATCCTTCCAGACTTTTAAAAACAACTCCTGAAACAGCAATTTAACACAAATTTTACTATCTAACAAGACCATTAATCCATAAAATGAAAGCAATAATGTACTGTACTATTAAATAAATAAGACAGTATTGTAGATGATAAAAAGTAAAATTATGGTAAGTTTTTTCTTACCTGCACTGATGAGGGTCAGTTCAGGGCAGCTTCCGATGCTCCTATAAGTGTGGGTACCAGCGCAAATTGTGAAATGTAGAGGCTTAGCCATCAGATGGCAGCAGAACCTCATTGCCTTGATTGATCAGCATTGATTACGTGAGATGTAGGAAGGGATTAATACCTGTGAAACTGGAAATCAAGGTAGCTCTGTCCAAGATGTTATAATCCCTATGTAAGTGCTGATAGAATTGTGGTAGTTAAGTTTGCCAAGAGAAGAATGGCAAAATAAGCTATGGCAAAACTGACCGGAAAGCTCAGGAACCAAGAAGACCAAAACTTAAAGAATGGGAAAGATTTATAATTTACTTGAGAGGCCACTGTAAGCAGATGAAAACATTAGCAGGATTGCAATGACACTTGTAATGCAGAAGATATTATGGATAAAAAGGAAAAAACATGAGATTTGGATGCTGAAATAATATGCAGTTGAAAAGGTTTATAATAGGACACAATGAAGGGGAATGTGGGAAGTCTGGAGATTCAGAGAAATCTCCAAATATGGATATGTATTTTGTATTGTTGTAGCTCTGTACTTGTAAAATCAGATTAAAAATATTACAATAAAAAATAAAAATAAAGTTTGCCATGGTGATGCAATTCTAAAGCAGTAGTTTTCAAACTGTGTTCCGCATGATTATAGGAGTCCACAGAAGTTTACGGGGGGTTACTTAAATATGGTGTATAACTGAGCGGAAATACAGCTTTTCAAAACGACCGATCTTCTCATGCAATGCAGAACTGCAAGAAAATGTGGGCATCATTGTAAGGATATTCCTCTGCCAATGGAAATGGCAACAAGTACAAAGAGCACAAGGGATGCTGGTGGCGTTGTGGGTTAAACCACAGAGCCTAGGACTTGCTGATCAGGAGGTCGGCGGTTCGAATCTCCACGACGGGGTGAGCTCCCGTTGCTTGGTCCCTGCTCCTGCCAACCTAGCAGTTTGAAAGCACATCAAAGTGCAAGTAGATAAATAGGTACCACTCTGGCGGGAAGGTAAACGGCGTTTCCGTGCGCTGCTCTGGTTCGCCAGAAGAGGCTTAGTCATGCTGGCCACATGACCCGGAAGCTGTACGCCGGCTCCCTCGGCCAATAAAGCGAGATGAGCGCTGCAACCCCAGAGTCGTCCACGACTGGACCTAATGGTCAGGGGTCCCTTTACCTTTACAAAGAGCACAGCCTTTTCAGTTTTGGCACCAATATGTTTAAGTGCCCTCCCTCTCATGGTACCTATGTCCACCTGGCTTCATTTCTTACTTTCCTTTAGGTGAGCAGTAAATACGGTTTTGTTTCAGGAGGCATTTGGCCCTACTGCTTCCCTGGAATATCTGGTCTTTTGTTTGTTGCTTTTATAGTCAGACTACATTTATTGTTCATTTAAAATGGTCTCAATGAACAATAAGTGTGTTTTTCAGCAGAAAGTTGAGGTGGAAATGCTGAGAGATACACAGTGCTTTTTTTAATTTAAAAAATGTTTAGGGGGACTCATTAGAAGAAAATCCCTAAGTGGGGAAACAGCCCAGTGAGGACTGAGTTTGCGAAAATGGAATTGAGGGGCTTGAACCTGCAAGAGTAGCATTCTACAGTGTCAATATTTTTTGTAGATCCCACTTTTGCCTGATAAAACTAAATTAACTGTCTTTTGGGCAGGACTTTGTACTTGCAGTTTGTACTTACTGCCTTTTGTGCGTGCAAGTACATTCTAGTTTTTCCAGTTTAACAAGTTAAAGCATGGGGGTGGGGAATAAGACTTGCAGTCACCATCAACAAATACCAGCAGAGTAAAAAACACCAAACTGGTTAACCTTCCTTTTTATGTTTGTTACAATCATTTCCAGTGTGTTCGTTGCCGCTGCTTTGAACAAGTTTCAATTTGTTAGCTGATCCACATATAATTATGGCGAGGCAGAGTACAGTAGTACCTCGGGTTACATACGCTTCAGGTTACAGACTCCACTAACCCAGAAATAGTGCTTCAGGTTAAGAACTTTGCTTCAGGATGAGAACAGAAATCGTGCTCCAGCGGCGCGGCAGCAGCAGGAGCCCCATTAGCTAAAGTGGTGCTTCAGGTTAAGAACAGTTTCAGGTTAAGAACGGACCTCCGGAATGAATTGAGTATTTAACCTGAGGTAAAAAAAGGTAAAGGTACCCCTGCCCGTACGGGCCAGTCGTGTCCGACTCTAGGGTTGCGTGCTCATCTCACTCTAGAGGCCGTGAGCCGGCGCCGTCCGAAGACACTTCCGGGTCACGTGGCCAGCGTGATGAAGCTGCTCTGGCGAGCCAGCACCAGCGCAGCACACGGAAATGCCGTTTACCTTCCCGCTATAAAGCGGTACCTATTTATCTACTTGCACTTAAGAGTGCTTTCGAACTGCTAGGTGGGCAGGAGCTGGGACCGAACGACGGGAGCTCACCCCGTCATGGGGATTCGAACCGCCGACCATACGATCAGCAAGTCCTAGGCACTGAGGTTTTACTCACAGCACCACCCGCGTCCCTACTAACCTGAGGTACCACTGTATAAATAACATAAATATAATCAGTGTTTTTTCTTTTAAAAATGTTTAGGGGTATCCTCATTTTGATTCAAGAAAAGCATCATTTTATAGTTTAAACTGGGGGAAATAAATACAGTAAATGGTCAAAAGTACAAAGATTCACAAAATGTTTAGGGGGACGCGTACCCCCAGAAAAAAAACACTGAATATAATAAATAAATGCATACGAAGACCTTGGGGGAAATATTTTAGAAGTCACAGACAAAAAACAAAGAAACAGGCAGAACAAGGTCATTTGAGTAGTCTGTGAAGCTTTTGGAATTATTCTTTGCATTACAATTTTTCGTCTTCAGTTTGACTGCTCCAGAAATCCTTTATAAGGAAGGAAAGACTATTTCTGGGAGAATATCTGGTGCTTAAACTTATTTGCTGGTGGTTTCAGTCTTCCTGAAGACAGCGGACTAATTTAGATTTGGAATTGTGCCTTGTTTAAACAGTCTCTGGTTGTAAAGACAAGCAGGAAACAACAATGGAGACTCTGCTCTTGGAAATACTATCCTCCTTCTTCTTAGTATTAGTCAGAACTTGCAGGATTGGATCCTGTGCCCCTTGATCTAAAGAAGAGAATTAAAGAAAAGCATTATAATGCTTGTGTTAGCAATGCTGAAGATTAATTTTAGATAACACACAAGGTTGAGTAGAAGCTAAAGTTCATGCTTATCCTAGAACATCAAGTAATAAAATATTTCACTTCTTAACTCCTCACTCTCCTCAGTAGGGAGTAAACTGAGTTGCCAACACAGACTTTACGGAAGTGAAATACTTTACCAATGCAGTAATTCAACTGGTTTTGTTTTTTAAAATCGGGCCTTCTTTGTCAGAAAAGGTGACAGATGGATAAATATTTGTGCCCCACCATAATTTTGTTTGATGCATTTCACATTATCATCACTATCTGTGTAAACAAGGGCTGCCCACTGCGATGGGGGGGACTCCCTGTAGACAATAAGATCTTATTTTTGTGTGTGAGAGAGAGACACAGACAGACAGAGAGACAGACAGAGAGAGAAACCTCACAAAGTTGCTGCATAATGCTGCAGCACGATTGCTGACAGCAGTGAAACCTTGTCAGCATATAACAGCTGCACTCACTCTGCACCGGTTGTTAGTTTGCTACTGGGGCAAGCGCAAGGTGTTACCATTAGCATATGAAGCCCTTAACAACTTGGGACCAGTTGACCTATGAGATCTCCTTACCTCATATGTGCCAGCTCAGAACTGGCACCACTACAGGTGACATAAATACCCATTCCACATTTGTAAGAACTTGATCGTTCAGTGTTGCAACACCTGCACTCTGCCCGTTGAGAGCAAGCAAGCACTCTTGCTGCACTGCTTTCGACACCTGTCCCAAACATTCCTGCTTAAAACAAGCCTATGCAGCCAGGTGCTTAGTAAAGTCAAAGTAACTTTTAATCTGTTACAGTATTTTAACTTCTGTATGTTTTTAAAGGGGTGTAAGGGGTGTTACGGAGGGATGAGGGTGGCGCTGTGGGTTAAACCACAGCGCCTAGGGCTTGCCGATCAGCAGGTCGGTGGTTTGAATCCCCATGACGGGGTGAGCTCCCGTTGCTCAGTCCCTGCTCCTGCCAACCTAGCAGTTCAAAAGCACGCCAGTGCAAGTAGATAAATAGGTACCGCTCCGGCGGGAAGGTAAATGGCGTTTCCATGCGCTGCTCTGGTTCACCAGAAGCGGCTTAGTCATGCTGGCCACATGACCCGGAAGCTGTACGCCGGCTCCCTCGGCCAGTAAAGTGAGATGAGCGCCACAACCCCAGAGTTGATCACGACTGGACCTAATGGTCAGGAGTCCCTTTACCTTTACCTTTTAAGGGGTGTTACAGAAGGGGTAGTGGGAGAAACATCATGCTCCTCCTGGGGTAGTTGGTCCACCTTTGGTCCCCACACTACATTCACCTCTCATCTGTGGCTCCTAGAAGCTGCCAGCATGCAACAGCAGCCACACCTCGGCAGAGGTGACTTTATGAGTTTGAGTTTGTAGTCTCTGTTTGAACTTGTGATCCTTGTCAGAATATAGTGGTGCCCCGCAAGACGAATGCCTCGCAAGACGAAAAACCCGCTAGACGAAAGGGTTTTCCGTTTTTCGATGCGCTTCGCAGGACGAATTTCCCTATGGGCTTGCTTCGCTAGACGAAAATGTCTTGCGAGTCTTGAGATTTTTTCGCTCCCCCCCTTTTTCTAAGCCGCTAAGCCGCTAATAGCCTTTTAGCCGCTAAGCCGCTAAGCCTTTAATAGCCGCTAAACCGCTAATAGCGCTAATCCGCTAAGCCGCTAATAGGGTTGCTTCGCAAGACAAAAAAACCACTAGAAGAAGAGACTCGCGGAACGGATTAATTTCGTCTTGCGAGGCACCACTGTACATGCTTTTGAATGGATTAGTATTTGTTACTACTGACTATTGATTTGTGAGTAGGGATCACTCCCACTATTGAAGCTTACATTGGCCTGAGTTCTTGGCGTGTTTTTTTCCTGGTACACCTCAGGAGAAGGCATGGACTGGCCGGCTAAACCAGGTGAGGGTAGCTGATGGGTCTCAAACCCTCTGGAGTTAGGGACTTCCACTACATGCAAAGACAGGCTCCGGCAGATGGAGCAGACGAGACCAATAGTGGGTCCAATGGTCAAGAAGGTTTCTGCACCTGCTGTAGAGGGAGGGAAGTGAGGGGCAGATGGGGCTTGTCAACCTGGGAAGTTAGCTCACCTGGAAGATGGAAAACCCTGATCCTATACCTCTGCTGCCTTGTGGGATATTTTGGGGAGAAGAAAAGGCTCGGGAGTAAACCCTACACAAATCCAGAGTGGAGTCCCTAATATGGTTGGATGGCGACTTATACAACTCCTTGCGGCAATTCCGGCAGCCAAGTTGGTGCCAAATTTATTGCTCTGCTTTCCTTTGGACCACATCAGCAAGGCCAAGAGCAAGGTCTGAGCATCCGAGAACCTCCATACACACTACCCAGGGACACGGGTGGCACTGTGGTCTAAACCACTAAGCCTCTTGGGCTTGCCGATCAGAAGGTTGGCAGTTTGAATCCCCGCAACGGGGTGAGCTCCCGTTGCTCTGTACCAGCTCCTACCAATCCAGCAGTTCAAAAGCACGCCAGTGTCAGTAGATAAATAGGTACTGCTGCAGTGGGAAGGCAAACGGCATTTCCATGTGCTCTGGTTTCTGTCATGGTGTTCCGTGTGCCAGAAGCGGTTTAGTCATGCTGGCCACATGACCCAGAACGCTGTCTGTGGACAAACTCTGGCTCCCTCGGCCTGAAAGTGAGATGAGTGCCGCAACCCCATAGTCACCTTTGACTGGACGTAACCATCCAGGGGTCCTTTACCTTTACCTTTACACACTGCCCAGGTTTGCGCCTTGGGAAGGACGCTTTGGTGCTGCTATCACAGCGGTTTGACTTCATCCCTGGAGACCTACTCCATTGTCTCTTGAGAAGGACTGATGCCAACATGTTTTAAAAGAAGGGTTCTGAGGAAAGCGAAGTGGGAAGAGAGAAAGGAGGTTTAGGACCGACAGTAGAATTTTATTCTTTTGCATAGTATATGAACAAAACTTTTGCATGGGTATCACTGTTAAGTTGTGGGTGAACATATCAGACAACACAGCGATTCTTCAAACAACTCTTGTTTATTCACAGGCCAGAACAGAACTGAAGGGTTCAGCCAGCCTGCTTATATAGAGCTCCACTACAGCGCAACAGTAACCACTTGCTGTAACTATCCAATCCCTGAATGGCCCTTTGATCCCTTATTTGCATATGTGGACCTGAGTGAAAACTATCTACAGTATCCCCCTGCTGGCCCAGGGCGAAAACTTCAGTACATAACAGTCACATTAACAGGCACTTTATTTTCCATATTACCTGCAGCAGTGATGCCTCTCTCTGAATATGACCGATTTGTTTGAGTGATTCTGCGACTTAAAAGCTTCGAAGAGGAACTTTTAACAGAAACGTATCTTTAAAAAACTGGGTTGTGAAGTTTCCTTTTCCTTTTTTTGTGTGTGTAAACCGCTTTGGAGCTGCTTGGCGTTCAGAAAACCGCAAACCAAGCGGCTTACAGATCCTACGAAGTAAATAAACAGATAAAGTCGCCCTGCTTGAACAGCCGGAAGGGGGCGCGCCTTCGAATCCCTCTCCGCGCATGCGCCTTCCGAGGGGGGGAGTGACAGAGGCGGCGCCTGTCACGTGAACGCCGTCCTCCTCCTCCTCCTCCTGACGTCACGCGTCTTTTGCGTCAGGGCGTGGCGAAGGTCCCGCTCCCCGGCCGGTTCCCGCGGGGCTGCCGCTGTCAGAGCAGTTTGCCGAGAGCGGGAGCTGCTTCGTGCGCGGGGCCGGGCTGGGCTGCAGGACGCGCGCGCGCGTGCGCGTGCACGGGAGCGCGCGCGATTCGGGGCATCCTTTCGCCGCCATGAAGCCCCGGCGGGTGAGTGCGGAGTCAGCTGGGCTCGGGGGTAGGAGTGCCTAGTGGTTAGAGGAGGAGGAGGGCGAGATGGGGACCCGGGCCGGGCCTTCCTCCTCCTCCTGCAGGTGGCTGCTGCCTGCTGACCTCGGGCAAGGGTAAGGCCAAGGCCCTTCCGGACCGCTCGCTGCAAGGCGGGGCTCCCTTGCTTCCCTGCCGCCTTCCTCTCGCGGTCTCGCCTCCTTCTTGCTGGAGGTGTTTTTCTTTGCCATTGTTGGGGAGGAGAGGTCGGGATCCTGTTTTGCTTGGGAAGGCGCAGGGGCAGGGCTGGTGAAATAATAATAATAATAGTACTACTACTACTAATAATAATAATAGTTTTGCTTTGAAAGGCACAGGGGCAGAGCTGGCAAAGTAATAATAGGAATAATAATAATAATAATTAATAATAATAATGTTTTGCTTTGAAAGGTGCAGGGGCAGAGCTGGCAAAATAATAATAATAATAATAATAATAATAATGTTTTGCTTTGAAAGGCACAGGGGCAGAGCTGGCATAATAATAATGATAATAATAATGTTTTGCTTTGAAAGGTGCAGGGGCAGAGCTGGCAAAATAATAATAATAGTAATAATAATAATTAATAATAATGTTTTGCTTTGAAAGGCACAGGGGCAGAGCTGGCATCATAATAATAGTAATAATAATAATAATGTTTCGTTTTGAAAGGCACGGGGCAGAGCTGGCATAATAATAATAATAATAATTAATAATAATGTTTTGCTTTGAAAGCTGCAGGGGCAGGGCTGGTGAAATAATAATAATAATAATAATAATAATAATGTTTCATTTTGAAAGGCACAGGGTAGAGCTGGCAAAATAATACAGTGGTACCTCGGGTTACAAATGCTTCAGGTTACAGACGCTTCAGGTTACAGACTCCGCTAACCCAGAAATAGTACCTCGGCTTAAGAACTTTGCTTCAGGATGAGAACAGAAATCGTGTTCTGGTGGCGCGGCGGCAGCAGGAGGCCCCGTTAGCTAAAGTGGTGCTTCAGGTTAAGAACACTTTCAAGTTAAGAACGGACCTCCGGAACAAATTAAGTACATAACCAGAGATACCACTGTAATAATAATAATAATGTTTTGCTTTGAAAGGCACAGGGGCAGGGCTGGTGAAATACTACTACGACTACTACTACTATTACTACTACTAATAATAATAGGAGGCAGCGCTGCCTCAAAAGTGTGGGAACACCCCCACCCAAAACCCCCCACATATTTTCGTGCACAAAGGAGGCTCGTTCCATAAGGGACATTTCCTTTATTTGTTATGGTAGGCGTGTGTTAGCAATACATATAATACATTTGTGGGGAGGGAACCTCAAAGAGAAATATTTTGATTCCCAAAGGAATTTGAAGAGGATTTCCTTCCTGCCAACTTGCAGGGCTAAGGCTGCTTGGTAGGCATGAAGAAGCTGGCAAAAGAACTTTGGTTGAGGGTGTGGGGTGCAGGGAGGGGAGGAGAAACAGAATATATATATGCACGTGAATGGAGGATTTTCAATACAATGACTAACCTGTACTAACAGTCGCTTTTCATCAGGTGAGTCATAAGGTCCAGACATGCAAAATCTTATATACGCCTCTGTTATACCCAGTTGCAATTTAATGTATTCCTGTTATGTTTTATGATTTCCCTGCTATTTTAAGTGAGCCGGAACTGGTCTGTGACCGTAATAATAAAAAATTCAATTCAATTCAACACCAGCACAGAGGGCATTGGCTTTCCACACCAGGGCTAAAAAGGATCGCAAACTCTAATCTTTCCACAAAAGCAGTTGGTCAGATTTTTCTGCCCTCCTCACAGCAGCTCAGTTCTTCACAAACCAGCCAGACTGTGTGCACAGTTTAAAGCACATTCCCCCTCCCCCCAAAATAATTCTGGGCACTGTAGTTTGTAGCGGGTTGCTGAGAATTGTAACTCTGTGAAGAGTAAACTACAGGTCCCAGAATTCTTTGAGGGAAAGGATGTGCTTTAAAGGTCTAGGGTATATGCAGCCTCATCACCAAAGGATGAAAAGAGGGGTTTGGAGCAAAACGGCTGGGTTCCTTCCCCATTTCAGAAGTGGAAAGAGGGGAAAGAGAAAGAGAACACCTGTAGGACCACTTGTCAGGAGGAGGGCAGAGCCTGGGCCAGTTCACTCCAGCGGAGATCCCTCTGTGGGCCAGATTATGTGCGCCTGCAATTTCTGCATCTGCGTAGACGCGATTTCCGGTGCCACGGAAGCAAGTCCCTGTGCCGTGCTGCGCCACTTTAGCGCAGCGCGCGGGGGCTCACTGAGCAGGCAGCTTGGTTCAGGAGCAGCTCGTGGGCTGGTTAAACAACCCCTGGGGGCCTCTAGTGGCCCCTGGACCTTTGGTTGCCGACCCCTGGGCTGGGGAATGGAGAAGGAATCTGTGGCACCTGAACGCTGCTGCAAGGAAATAGGAACTTAACAGACGGAGGAAAATCAAGTGGAAGTTTTAAAATACTGGCTGCTGCTCCTGTTCAGTCAACCAGGAACGTGCTTGGGTGGCAAGATTTAAGACGCACCAGCAGCAGTTTCCTGCAACTTGTGTCCTGATGCACAGAAAATGAAATATATTTATCACATGATTGGTGGCAATAGTGATCTGCTTAGTCTGAGAATATATGAGGAATGACTCAGTTGGCAGAGCATGAGCCTCTTCATCTCAGGGCCATGGATTTGAGCCCCACATTGGGTGAAGATTCCTGCATTGCAAGGGGTTGGACTACATGACCGTCATGGTCCCTGCAAGTCTGTGATTCTGCAATGCAGATTTGTTATGGACTGTTACAGTTTAAACATCGAAAAAGAATGAGTAATGGATTTGGCGGAGCTGCTTAAAAGGAAAATGCTGTAGGTTTAAATAAAAACGGCGAAACATTGGAGCTTTTCCTGGCTAGGCCCCAACTCTTTTAACCAGATGCAAATACTTGGTTGCTATGTGGGTAGACTCTTGTAGATGAGAAAAATTCCTCAGATAGTAAACGAACTTTGCGCCGGTTGCTGGAAATATATAAATGTAGCCGCCAGCTGAACCACCTTGGGGGTACAGTTCTGTAAGTGGGGTGTCGCTGGGGGGGAAGGCCCTCTCTCTGGTTTCTAACCACTTCATCTCAGTTGACAGAAGGGCATCTCCAGATGATTATAATGCAAGGACAGATTGATGTGGAAGCAGAGATTCTTCCAGGTACCCAAGCCTCAAGTTATGTCGCATTGGATAATCTTGTTACTAGCCTGTGCAATAGAGTAGAGCAGCTTGGACCAGCCATTTCTCTCTTTCCCAATTGCCACTCCAGATACTGCCCAAAAAGTACACAAACATTCCCAGTTCTTCTCTTTTTAACATGCCCTTTAAGACCCTGCCTTCTTTGTGAAAGTGATTATTTGGAGAAAGTTGTTTACCCAGAGCTCTGCAAGAAGAAAGTAAGAAAATGAAACTGTTTGGGAACTATGGTGAAACTTGGAAGCAATTTATCTGTTTGCTGAGCTGAGTGAAGTGCGAGTAGATAAAAGAAGATAGCAAGCAGTAAGAAAGGGAACTAGGCTTGCAGGGTTCTGTTTCTCTTTTTGAAGAGAATGGTTTGCATTATACATGTTTTCTGTTCATGGAAGACTTAACTTTTCTTCCCAGTTACCTTCTGTAATTAAATGCACTATGAATTTTATGATAATGGTCCCTGCCATAGAAACCTGAAATTAACTTTGCGTGGACCTAAGATAGTGGTTTGTGAAATGCAATAATTAAATTGCATCCTAAAAAATCCAGACATGGGGTGTCAGTTGAGATGGGATGAGGTGAAGATTGCATAAGCTGATCAGACTACTAAAAATTACTGTAAACTTTTCTTTGCTGCCTTCAATATAAATATTTTCAGGGTGGTTCATACTATTACGGGAAAAATAGTTGGCCCAGACATGTCCATATATGTGTGTGGGGGGGTGAGTTTTCAAATTTAAACAAATCCATCCAAATTATTTAAATTCAATACATTTTCCCAAAAAGTAATTACTGTATTTTTCGCTCTATAAGACGCACCAGACCACAAGACGCACCTAGTTTTTGGAGGAGGAAAACAAGAAAAAAAATATTCTGAATCTCAGAAGCCAGAACAGCAAGAGGGATCGCTGCGCAGTGAAAGCAGCAATCCCTCTTGCTGTTCTGGCTTCTCTGATAGACACACAGCCTGCATTTGCTCCATAAGACGCACACACATTTCCCCTTACTTTTTAGGAGGGAAAAAGGGAGTCTTATAGAGCAAAAAATATGGTAGGTTTCCCACTCCCGTTGCAAGCGTATGTCCATTAAAATTCCTGATTTTACCGCTTCATTCTTCTTCTTTGATCACCTTCTCAACCTTCTGTTAGTTTTAATCCATTTTCATAGCCAGCCGATTTTGGCTCAGACATGTCCTCAATGCTTTTAAAGCCAGATGTTCCCCTTTTACTCAGTGTTTAGGGTAGTTTGAGTCTTTCGGGGGGGGGGGGGATGCGTAGCAAAGTACATAAAACTAAGCCGAGTTACGTACAGCTTTGTTCACTCTTTTTGTAGGAGAAGAGAAGTCAACTGTGAAGACAGAACAATCAGCATGATGGATTCAAAAGACCTTGTCCTGAACAAATCCAAGGCAGATCAAGTCGGCCACCGCATTGTAAAAGTTAGCTCAGGCAAACATTACTTCTGTGGTTATTGTGCAGCCATCACAAATGTCGCAGTCACCTTCCCTGTCCAGAAAGTCCTCTTTCGGCAGCAGTTGTATGGCGTACGAACCAGAGATGCGGTACGTCAGCTGCAGAAAGACGGGCTCAGGAATCTGTACCGTGGGATCCTTCCTCCGCTCATGCAGAAGAGCACAACCCTGGCAATCATGTTTGGCCTGTATGAGGACCTGTCTTCCGTACTCCTGAGGCACATGAGCGCGCCTGAAATTTTGACCCGCAGCTTGGCAGCCGTGCTCGCTGGGACCACGGAAGCGGTCCTGACCCCCTTTGAGCGCGTTCAGACACTTCTGCAGGACTACAAACATCACGACAAATTTACAAACACTTACCAGGCGTTCAGAGTTCTCCGAGACCATGGGGCCAGGGAATATTACCGGGGGTTAGTGCCAATCCTCCTCCGGAACGGCCCGAGCAATGCTCTCTTCTTCGGTCTCAGAGGACCTATCAAGCAGTGTTTGCCTGAAGCCACAACATACAGTACTCACTTGATCAATGATTTTATTTGTGGAGGTCTGTTGGGTGCTATGCTGGGGTTCCTCTTTTTCCCACTGAATGTAGTAAAAGCTCGCATGCAGTCACAAATCGGCGGGGAATTCCAGTCTTTTTCCAAGGTTTTCATGAAGATTTGGCTGGAGCGTGACAGGAAACTGACGCACCTCTTCCGAGGCGCCCATCTAAATTATCACCGGTCTCTGATTTCTTGGGGAATAATCAATGCGACATATGAATTCTTGCTCAAATTATTGTGAAAAGTGCTTGTGGAGTTCATTTTCTCGGTTGGGCGCCGGACAAACACAGAACTCTCAATTTCCAGGGAGAAATCAAACACACTAATAACACTGAACTCCAGCATAATAGTTAATCCGTAGGTAAAGATGCCAGTTTTAAACAGTGCCTACTTAGCTCAAAAAATAATTGTATTCAGTCATATTAATGGCCTTTCAATCTGTGGGTGCGAGTGAACTGAACGGCTAGAACAATTGTTTGAAAAGTTTCCTCGGATATGCCTGAAGATGGATTCATTTGCTCCAGATCACCGTCAACTATTCTCACACTCCTGGTGATCCAAAGAATGCACTTTGAAGAAATGTATAAATGGGCAGAAGACTGATATTTAATTTGTCGCTTGGCCCTTTCGGAACAAACAGTGGCATGCTGTGATAAACTCCCAAGATGTCTCAAGTCTCCCCTTCCCCACTTTTTAAAAAATTACTATTCCTTGAGCAGAGACTGCCAAATTTTGAAGAGAAATCCTTCCCCCCAAACCTTAAGGTTCTGTAAAAGTTGTCAAATAGCTTTTGCTAGACTGTTGGTGCAAATGACACCTTGTCGAGATTTCGTATTAAATTTCAGAAACTGAATTCACTGTAAGCTCAGTGGTGGGAGTATCTGTTTAAAAATAAATAGGTGTGCGTTGCTGGAAAAGTGAGGAAAGCTTTTAAGTGCCCTTCATGTTACACTGCCACCTGACTTGTCAATGTGGTCTTTTGTGTGGCTCTTCATACTACTAAGTTTTGTTGCGAGTGAATATACTTCTCCAAAGGGTTGCTTTAGGAAGGATGGTGCGAATGACAATTGGTGCAATCCAACCAAAATTATGCATTTCCCCCATTGAATTCTCTCCTCCCCCCCAGTGATATTTAAACTGCTTTAGCTTTTTCGGTGCGTTGTGGTCTATTTGTTAATACTTTCTACAATTCTGGCATAGCTAATTGGTATTTGGATCTGAAATGTTATGTGCTGTCACCTAAACTTTGAATGCTCTAGTTAAGCAAGGCTTTGTGTGCTTGAATGAAAATGACTTACCCAGGTATTGCAATTTTCAGGCTATTTCACTGTGGTTGAAAAAGGAATTTAAATAGCTCCTTTCACACGCTGCTCAGGCTTGTTTTATGTTGTGAATGTGCCTCATGCACGCCCCCCCACCTGTATCTCATTCAGTATAGAATCAATACAGGTAGGTCCAGTTCATGAGATCCGTCCACTCACTTTACAACAGAGAAGTTGTTGACTCAGGCCTTGCAAATATATATATATATGAAACTCGCATCAAGCGTGCGAACTGGCCCATAGTTCGGTACGAAAGACCATGCATGTATGTAAAAAGGACATAAGCTTCTGCAAGCTGATTTTCTGTGTTTATTCAATCATGCTAATAAACATTTCTCTGCGCATTGGAATTCAGGTAAAAAGCAAAAGATGACCAGAAGCAACCTAAGAGGTTTCAAGTCAGAGAGGAAAGCATGTCTGAATACCAAAATAATGCTCTTAATGGGGTGGGGGAGGGTGAAATTATTTTGTATAGTTTTTTTTTTTAAATGCAAATAGGAGTTAATATTTTCCTTATTTGTGGTACACAGGAAAGCTTTCCCTAGCTGAATTGATAATCCTCCAAGAGTTATCCTCAGAGTGAGGTTTTTTTTTTAAGTGGAACTAATATCTCACTATTGAGATGGTGTGGTGTTTTTTGTTTTTTACTTTATGTTGCCTGTTGTCAACCCGAAAATTGCCCTTCAACAGCAGTTTGTGAATCTATTTATCCTATTTCTTGATTCTTGTACTGTACCAGTGTATGCTGTTTAGCCTCACAGATTGCCAAGCACAAAATGAAAGAATGTTTGATATTTTGAATGTTGTGATTATCTGCATTTAAATAAAATGTCTGTTGGAATGTTTAGCTGGTAAAATCTGATTTTACCAGTGTGTTTTTTATTTTTTGATATCTTTCCCTTGATGGAATAAACAAACATGAATTTATTTGCTGCAATGAAGTAGACTAGCATTTTTCAAACATTATCTTACAAGTTTAGTCCATGTGAGATTAGAAGTATATTGAACACTTGAAAAAGAAAGGCAATGAAGAATATTGTTCTTGTTCTCAGACTTCCCTTTTTTCTTCTCAATTTATATTGCATTGTTAGAAAATAATTGCATAAATAGCATAATGTCCACAAGTGAGTTTTGGGATGCGGAATTCTTTATAACAACATGGCAGAGTAGAGACTATACTACCATATTTAGGATTACAGTCACAGGAAACATTCTCAGTAATAATAGCCATAGCCATCAGCTGGGTAATAACACAAGAGTTAGGTACCACCATGGTAATTGTCTGCCTCTTGCCCAGTTCATGGGGTTCAAATCTCACTACAGCCTCGCTGAAGTTAGAACAAAGCCCTCGCTCAACAAGACCTTGGCTACATTCAGCAGGAAGGTTGGTAGTACAATAGCTTTGTAAACAAGCATTTTGGTTTCCCTGTGAATGTCCTGGTCCTCAAACACTGCACTTCAATCAGGAGAAAGCTGCACTCACAGAGCTCAGGCGATGCTGGATTTCGTCTTCCAAAGCAACTACTCTATTCCGAACTTTAAAATAAGTAAGCATAATGCTGGTGGTCAACAAAAGATGTTCAAAGACTCTCAAGGCAAATATACAAAAATGTAGTATTAACACCAACAAGAGAGAACCGCTGGCCTGCGAGGGCTCCAATTAGAGAACAGCCTTTACGAAAGGTGTTGTGGGCTTTGAAGATGCTCAAACTCAGGATGAAAGGGAGAAAGGTGCTAAGAGGAAGGCACGCTTGGCAAATCCACATCGTGATCAACTCCTGCTGGAAACATCCCCACTGTGGAAGGATGTGTGGATCCAGAAGTTGCCTCCACAGTCACGGACCCATTTTTAAAACCTTATATGTAAGACAATCTTACTCGGCTACGGACGATTGCCAGAGAAGAAAGAAGACATTCAGCAAAACAGATGCATCCATTTTATTCTGGTTTCCCAAAGCTACCTGTGATTATGGACATTGATATCAGTCCCATGCTGTGGCTGCTGCAAGTTCCAAAACTATATGATGAGACTCTGGATCTTCTTCTGCTGAGTCTGATGGCATCAAGGTCTGGCTAGGCATTAGTGATCTTATCCAAAAAGAAGGCCACAAACCTATCACGGCAGGTCACTGAGGTTCTAAGCCTTCTAATTGTGGAAACTGGTTGTTTCAGTACTTGGAAAAGCTCCACTCTGGAGAATGCAGAGATCTATTTGCTGCCATCAAAACCATGGAATGGGTATTTAGGTGAAGCTTAGAGTTTACTTAGGGACGCGGGTGGTGCTGTGGGTTAAACCACAGAGCCTAGGACTTGCCGATCAGAAGGTCGGCGGTTCATGAAGTTTACGGCATGTAATGCCTTAAGAGAGAATATTATGAAAATGATATACAGGTGGTACATGACCCCAGTCAAGCTTGCAAAAATCTATCATTTGCCCAATAATAAATGTTGGAAATGTAAAGAAACTGAAGGGACATTCTTTCACCTTTGGTGGACGTGCCCAAGGATTAAGGCTTTCTGGGAGATAATTTATAATGAAATAAAAAAGGTATTTAAATATACCTTTCTGAAGAAACCAGAGGCCTTTCTTCTGGGCATTGTCGGCCAATTGGTGCCAAAGAAGGACAGAACTTTTTTTATGTATGCTACAACAGCAGCAAGAATACTCATTGCAAAGTATTGGAAGACACAAGATCTACCCACTCTGGAAGAATGGCAGATGAAGGTGATTGACTACATGGAATTGGCAGAAATGACTGGCAGAATCCGAGACCAGGGAGAAGAGTTGGTGAAAGAAGATTGGAAGAAATTTAAAGACTATTTACAGAAATATTGTAAAATTAAGGAATCTTAGAAGGATGTTGGATAGAAACTAAGTGGTTTCCAGCTGTAATGCTTAAAGAGATACGAAAAAAGGTTTACAATTGGGTAAAAGCTTAATGGTAAGGATTTGCTGAACTAACAAACTGAACTGGAATACAAAAAAGGGAGGTATGAGGAGGTCCGGTGAAATAAGTGTAAGGAAGATAGGTTATGGAAAATTAACGTGTTTTTTAACTGTTTTTATTTTGTATGTTTTTTTTTATATTTCATTTTTTTGTTATATCTTAAAAACTTTATTCTTTTTTCTGTATTTTGTATTTTCTTGTATTTTTACTTTTTGTTTTTGTGTAATTTTTGTATTCTTTGAAACTTTAATAAATATCATTTTAAAAAAAACAAAAAACAGAAGGTCGGCGGTTCAAATCACCGCGACGGGGTGAGCTCCTGTTGCTCGGTCCCTGCTCCTGCCAACCTAGCAGTTCGAAAGCACGTCAAAGTGCAAGTAGATAAATAGGTACAAGTAGATAAATAGGTACCGCTCCGGCGGGAAGGTAAACGGTGTGCTGCTCTGGTTCGCCAGAAGTGGCTTAGTCATGCTGGCCACATGACCCGGAAGCTGTACGCCGGCTCCCTCACCCAATACAGCGAGATGAGCACCCCAACCCCAGAGTCGGTCACAACTGGACCTAATGGTCAGGGGTCCCTTTACCTTTACTAGAGTTGACTTGGCCGAATTTACCATCATTGCATCTGCTCTCTTGTTGCTCAGAATTCCCCACTAAAACTTGGAGACACCTGGAGTTCGCCCCCAGGTGGAGGATGTCCAAGAGATATTTTTTTGTCAACTCACACAGTACAGTCTTCAGCTCAGGGTTCCACTAAGCCAGGGGTCTGCAACCTTTAAGACAAAAAGAGCCACTTGGACCCGTTTCCGAAGAAAAAAAAACTGGGAGCCGCAAAACTCGTCATTATAAAAATAACTTTTTAAAAATTTTTCTTTGTTTGACCCCTCAGAATTACTCCTCCTCATAGAAATAAACGTTAAATTAACAAGTTACCTTTTTTTTGGTGTGTGTTCTTCACTCCCCTTCAAAACAGTGACCAGTGTACATGCCCCCTTTCAATGCAGTGACCAGCGTACATGCCCCTTACAATGTAGCGGGCGGGTGGGAAGGTGACGTCGGGACGGTGCGTGACTAACGCACGCACCGCCCCCATGCGACATCACAGCCAGTACAGCGCCCGCCACAGTGGGGAGTGTTGGGGTGCACAATGCGCCTCCTCCCCTCGCTAGTATCCGCCCCGGAGCCGCGGCAAAGGTGTAAAAGAGCCACATGCGGCTCCGGAGCCACGGGTTGCAGACCCCTGCACTAAGCCATTGCAACTTAATTCAGAGCACAGTTGTAACACGTTTATTATGCAAGCAAGATAAACCAATGAAACATTAACATCACTCTTATAGGAATAAATACAATTTTTTCCAGCCAGATCTCGGAAGTGCGCTGTATTTAAAGCTCACAACTATTATTATGAAATTTTAAGAATTTTTAAAAATACATGCACAAATGTGTACTTCTGCATTATGTATTTTTTATGCCAAATGAGAAAAAATTGCATACCAATAAGTTGTTGCCACAGATCCGTTACAAGATCAAACAAGGTACAGTGGGTGGCTTCCATTGCTTATCCTGCTTTCCAGGACCTTCTTCGGCCTCATGGGATTTTATTATAGTGACTTGAAAATTTCACCCAACACTTTGCTGAAATGATTGCTTACGGAGGGGGGAAAGCCCTTGCTATACCAGCGTTAATCTTTCAACCCAGCCCAATGCATGGAAGCCCCACTACATTCAGCAGTGCTTATACCACAGTAAGTGTGCACACAACTTAAGTATTTGCTTTTCCTTTTACAAATGTATTCACAAAATCCTTCCTCAAAATGTGCAAAAGTATTTCAGCATTGATTGTTCAAGTGTTCGCAGAGACTGTCTGCCTATAACATCCAATAATAGTGGTATTTGATAGTTGACATGCAAGAAATAATAGCTGAGGTTAATGGCCCCTAGTCTGCTATGATAATGGTACAGTGGCTTTCATGTTGTTGTTGTTGTTATTATTATTATTATTATTATTTTATACCCCACCCATCTGGCTGGGTTTCCCCACCCGTTCTGGGTGGCCTCCAGGAAACAGAAATGGACTCTCACAGGAGATAAGCCATTTAAATGTATGGAGCATAGCAAGAGTTTTCCTGAGTGTTAACTCTTCACATCAACAAACTCATGTTACGGGAAAATCAATGTTAAATTCATGAGGTATATATTTGATGTTCTGGTGTTTGTATGTAAATTTTATGCACAGGTATTTAATGAAGGTAACCTCTCACAAACTATGGTGTCATGTAGGGCCAGGGAGAGTATGACTCTCTTGAGTGATGGTGGTGAGCGACGTTGGGCAGAGACTCAAATGAATTTTGGTTTTCGGCAAATATTTCTGAGTAACATTTTCTACGTTGCTTCCTTTGCAAAGGAACTTTGGTGGGTTTGCCACAGGGGGTCTGTGCAATAGTATGCAGGATTCTGTGGTATGTCACAATTTTCATTTGAGAGTGCCCTCTGGGAAATCCAACATTCGCACGCTGCTTATCTTTTTCTGTAATGTACAATTGTGGTCATCAAATTGTCTTTCAGGAAAGCTTGTCCATGCTTACTGATAGTTTCACCATGGTTAAAGGGGTGTGGAGGTGTGGGACCCCTTGCTTTTAAAATGTGAATGGTGAAGTTGGTGCAAACTTTTAATATTTGCATTTTTCATTTCTGGTCATTTTGAGCCCATTCGATATCCATGCAACAAGTTAGTTAGGGGCCATCTCATTGAGCATGACTAACTTGCTTGCAAATTGGAGTTGCAATGTGCTTTCTTAATAATGTTGGACTAGATTCCCTTTGGAATCCCGGCTCCACAATTCTAAGCAGTTTGAGAATTAAGTATGACCCCTAGTGGGGGTTTTTGAATAGTGCACCATCTGCTCAATACTGTGCTCCCTGGACCAGCACAACAGCTACCAGCTTCAGGTTCTATAGGTTTTGTTGTTCTTCCAAAATATAGCTAATTAATTTGCTTCTGGCCGGGCAGGCATGCTTCTTTTTGTCATTTAGTCGTGTCCGACTCTTCGTGACCCCATGGACCAGAGCACGCCAGGCATTTCTGTCTTCCACTGCCTCCCGCAGTTTGGTCAAACTCATGCTGGTAGCTTCGAGAACACTGTCCAACCATCTCGTCCTCTGTCGTCCCCTTCTCCTTGTGCCCTCCATCTTTCCCAACATCAGGGTCTTTTCCAGGGAGTCTTCTCTTCTCATGAGGTGGCCAAAGTATTGGAGCCTCAGCTTCAGGATCTGTCCTTCCAGTGAGCACTCAGGGCTGATCTCCTTAAGAATGGATAGGTTTGATCTTCTTGCTGTCCATGGGATTCTCAAGAGTCTCCTCCAGCACCATAATTAAAAGCATCAATTCTTTGGCGATCAGCCTTCTTTATGGTCCATCTTTCACTTCCATACATCACTACTGGGAAAACCATAGCTTTTACTATACGGACCTTTGTTGGCAAGGTGATGTCTCTGCTTTTTAAGATGCTGTCTAGGTTTGTCATTGCTTTTCTCCCAAGAAGCAGGCGTCTTTTAATTTCATGGCTGCTGTCACCATCTGCAGTGATCATGGAGCCCAAGAAAATAAAATCTCTCACTGCCTCCATTTCTTCCCCTTCTATTTGCCAGGAGGTGATGGGACCAGTGGCCATGATCTTCTTCTTTTTTTATGTTGAGCTTCAGACCATATTTTGCGCTCTCCTCTTTCACCCTCATTAAAAGGTTCTTTAATTCCTCTTCACTTTCTGCCATCAAGGTTGTGTCATGCTTCTTTAGGCTTATGGTATTCTGCAGGAATTAAAAGGTGCCAAAACAATGCTTTCAAAGCATATGTGTGTGTACATTTCACACTTCAAAATCACAAACAGAATTGCTAAAGCTTTCGGTTGTGTGTCCTAATATATGAATGTATAGGAATAATGCAAGGTCAACCCAAGAATAAAACACTTGGCATTAACCCATAACTTAGTTTACATCCAGATTTCATGCATTTTTCTTAGAAAGAGCCACTGATTTCTAAGGAACTTTGAATAAATAAGCATAAAATAGGTATTGCTCTCAATGCTGTGTTTTATAACCGGAGAACAAGTAGCTATTTCGGTATGAATTTTCTCTTAACTGAGGGATGGAAAGTTTTTCCTTTCCTGTGGACAATGTTAGTTTCTACTAAGCCAGAGTAAAATTAACCTGAAAATGTTCTCACTGTGAATTTTTGCACCTCAATTAAAAAAGAAAAAACCAAGATGGGGTGATACTGCAGGTTCCATTTTGGGAGCACTAGTTTCCTAACGGAGTATAACTACAAGGCGTATAAATCAGTTACATGCCACTGAAAAAGTTTGTAGTGAAGATTACACACTACTGATTCTAGAATGTATTTTAATTAAGTGACTGTGCAATTTTATGTACTGTGCTATTTTTACCTGTTGTTAGCCACTCTGAGCCCGGCTTTGGCCGGGGATGTGGGATGTTATCTATCTATCTATCTATCTTGCAGTGGCCTCTGCGGAAGAGCCAACAGCTCAGAACTCAAGAGAGAAAAGAACAAGATGTGGAGCGTTTTGCAAAATATTTTTCCCCTCCCCCCCTTTTCCTCCTCCTTTCACCTGGGAGCACATCAGGTCCAAAGGTTTTTTTTGGGGGGGGGGGCAGAGAGCTGCTCCCTATCTCCATGCCCAGCAGCCTTTGAGACTGTTAGCATAGCAGATAACCTCAAATATGGCAAATGGGTATTTTCTGGATTATGACCCCCCATTTTATTTTAAATGCCTTTGGTGCAAATGTATCCTCCTAGACCAGGCATGTCCAACTTCCAAGAGACTGCGATCTACTCCCACTATTAAAAAAAACTGGCAGTGATCTACCCATTGTTGAGCTTTTTTTAAGGGAGGATGAGCCAATGTTGCTGAGCTTTTTTGTGTGGAGTGTGGGTGTCTATTTTTATTCAAATCCCATCAATGCTCAGTCTTACAAATCGAGTCTCACCATTCAAAATGATGTCTAAAACAAAGTTCGTAGACAACAGAATAACTAGCTTTTGCAACACACATGTAGGTATATTGGATTCAAACGACATTTCAGGAAATAAGAAACCTGGGATTGCTGGTATTTAGGGCAGCTTCCCTGCAAACATCTCCAGAGGAGTCAAGCTCCACAATCTCATGAGAAACAGATTCAGAGGACCAGAAATTCCCCATGCAGGCAACACACTAGCCACTGCTCTGAGGGCTCAGTCAAAAGGTTTGGTCAAAACTGTATTTGCAAACGTATTTTTATTAACCAAATTTTATACAAGTTTAACACTTCAATATGGCCTCCTTACGAAGTTACATACCCCCCGATGATGTATTTTATTTTACAAATTTATACCCTGTCATTCTTGTCAAAACAACTGACAGTGACTTATCGCAGCCGAAACCATTGTCTCAATTTCAAAAACTCCTTTCTTCGTAAAAACTACTTTTTGGTCTTCCAACCATAGTATCACTTTTCAGGGTTTCATCGTTAGATAAGAGCACATGCCACAGAGACTCTAATTTTTCAAACAGATAGTAATCAGATTGTTTTAATGGTTGTGATGGTCGTTTGAGCTGCCAGAGCACTTCTGTGCACTAATGTGGAACATACCCGTTTCTTTATAATCTCATGTAATTTAAAATCTGTTGCAATGGTCTCGTTGTTGCTCTCCTGCCAACCCCCAAATCGGTAAGAAATGCACCCTATCATCCCTCAAGATCAGCTTTCTAGCCGATTTCAGGATGCCGAACCTCTTTTGTGGGAGTGAGGCAACACACACCGCATGCCAGATCTCTGTTGCTTGCACCCTAGTGATGGACCTAGCATTCATTCGGAGCACTGATTTTGATGACATTTCTCTAGATCTTTTTGCAATCTGCTCTAGCAGTTCAGGACAAATTACTTAAGAGACATTGCTATATTCTCATGAATACTGCTGGTTGTGTATAACTGGAGTGATCCAAACATTCAGTCTGTGCACAACATGTTCAATGGAGACTTGGGGATCCTTCACAATCACAGATTCTACTTTGGCCATCTCTTTGTTCTCATGGAGAGTTGCAAGACTTCTGTTTCCTGCATTGTCTTCAAAGCTGTTGCTGTCACGTTTAAATTCCACTGTCCAGTGTCTGATCCTGTGCAATGAGGCAGAGTCGCCATAACCATATGCAGCAGGTGCTACTGACTGCCTGCAGTATTTACCCTTCCTTTTGTCAAAATGAAACTACACAAATATGATGGTTTAATTTATTTCACACAAGCGTCTGTAACGGTGAAACAATTTAAAGCTATTTTAATGAAGATCTGCAGAATGCTTCTAAAGGATGTAACAATTATGTGCTAAGAATTCTGCGTTGTTACTGCCACGGGAGAGAAAGTATCATTCGGACAAATCTTTTTGACCATATTCGGTGGGCTTTTCCTCAGATGGAGTGGCATACTTTTGTGGCTCGCAAGGCACATAAATAACAGGCCAGCAGGCCTTTATAATGTTGCAAAATGGAAACAGTACAGGGCAACATTTTAGTCTGATATTGGGGGAAAAAATGGTTTTATTAATTCCAAAAGCCTTCCACAGTGATGGAAGCCATCATAGGGTTCGAACACGGTTCAACAGAAAATTCTGCTGTTCAAGTCTCATCTCAATGAGATTTGTGCAGGACTTCCTGCTGGATTGTATATCTAAGTTTTTGGGCACATATTCAGGTGAACAACTAACACCCCTTCCCATGCCCATACATTATTATAGAAGGTGCTCCTGTACAAGACTCGTGAGGGCAAGATGTTAAGCTATCCAGTTCTCAATAAATTTTATATCTAGTTAAACAAGGAAGAATAACTGTGCTTCCAGTCATTTTTGGGGTGGGTTGGGGGGAAGAACTGGCAATAAACAGCGTACAATTTTAGGAACTCCAGCCAACAGATTGAACTATAGCAGAACAATACCAAAATGTAGCAACCGCATTTCCCGTAGTTCACAAAAAAACAAACAGAAAACAATGCATTTGCTGGCTGTATCTAACCTAGTGTGCGAGAAAACTGCTTCATTCCTAGAATAAGAAAAATACAGCGAACTCCAGGCAAAGGAAGCATGTGGGCTGTGTCTGGGTGTTCCTCCCCTTCTCATGCCCAGCTAGCATCTTGCACTAAGAGTCACGTGGAAAGACAAGACTTAGAAGTGCTGCCATGCTACATCCAAACGACACAGGTGGAATCAGCAGGAGGAAAGAGGGAGAATGAGCAGGAGGTCTGGTGTGTGAATTCAGAATCACAGCACTCACACATACGCACACACACACGCGCACACACACACATAAAGGGCTGGACTGAACCTGTCTTTTTTTTTCCCCAGTCCAAGGGTCAGAGTAACTCTGTACTCGTCCAAATTTACAAGTTTTTCTTTTTTTAAAAAAAGAACACTCCAACTAAACTGAAGTAATTAAAAAAAAAAAAAAGTCAAATGTTCTTTTCAAGGCAAGAGGTGCCTAGAACTTTGGCTGATATAAAGAAACACGACCGCTAAGGCACCCGGAGGCAATCTGACAGTGCGTCGGCGAGAACTTGGTGGTCAGGACCACGTCGTTGTGCGAGTAGAGCGAGCGGATCTCTTGCAAAGGGGCGGCTTCTTTGGGCAAACAGTCCACCAGTTCACTGCACTGGGTGTCAAATCCCAACAAGCGAATCCCGTAGCCGTGCGGGGAGGAGATCATCCGGCCGTCAGGGCTGAAACAGAGTTCTTTGATATAGCCCCGGCCGACATTGGCTTCCTCAATGCAATGAGTCAATCGGAGGGAACAGCGAGGAGAAACGGGCCGGACCGGAGTTCCTTCTTGGAATTCGTAGACACAAGTCCACTACAGCAAGGGGGAGAAAAGCACAATTAATCCACTTTGCTAACTGCCAGTTCATTCTACTCATTTGGGTCCAAGAATATAACTTGGATTACTGCAATCCGCTCTACGTGGGGCTACCTTTGAAGGTGACCCAGAAACTACAACTAATCCAGAATGCAGCAGCTAGACTAGTTACTGGGAGTGGCTGCCAAGACTATATTCGCTCCCGGTACATTTCTGAGCACAATTCAAAGTGTTGGTGTTGACCTTTAAAGCCTTAAACGGCCTTGGCCCAGTATACTTGAAGGAGCGTCTCCACCCGCATCGTTCAACCCGGACACTGAGATCTAGCTCTGAGGGCCTTCTGGCGGTTCCCTCCCTGTGAGAAGTAAGGTTACAGGGAACCAGGCAGAGGGCCTTCTCGGTAGTGGTGCCTCCCTGTGAAACGCCCTCCCATCAGATGTCAAAGAAATAAACAACAATCTGACTTTTAGAAGACATCTGAAGGCATTTCTCTTCAAGAAAAGAAAATTATTTGCATGAGGTAAAGTAAAAGGTAAAGGACCCCTGGACGGTTAAGTCCAGTCAAAGGTGACTATGGGGTTTCATCTCGCTTTCAGGCCGAGGGAGCCGGCGTTTGTCCACAGACAGCTTTCCGGGTCATGTGGCCAGCATGACTAAACCGCTTCTGGCGCAACAGAACACCATGACAGAAACCAGAGTGCACAGAAACGCTGTTTACCTTCCTGCCACAGCAGTACCTATTTTATTTACTTGCACTGGCGTGCTTTCGAACTGCTAGGTTGGCAGGAGCTGGGACAGAACCCCGTCGCAGGGATTCAAACCACCGACCTTATGTGATAACACCACACACACACACACACAAAATACCTCTTGGTCATCAGTGTTACTTGAGCATCGAAGAAGTGTAGCCCATCCTTTGGGATGGAGCTGCAGCGATGTGATGCAGTTCCCGCGATCTCTCTCTCCGGGAACTTCTGGGGTTAAAACCTCAAGACTATTGCGCGGAGATCCACCTGCAGGGAGAGAAAGCATCACTGTCGCTATCCCCCTTTCATTTCCCAAACTGCTTGTCAGCCAAAGCAAACAATGGACCATAAGAACTATAGTATGAATGGAAGTCTACTGTACTGCACTGGGCCCAGAGCTCATCGAAACATGCAAGTGTGTGGCCTGTAGTTATCAAAGGACGAAGCATGAAGTTCTGAACCAGTCCTCAAGCAGCCTACATGGAGTTGCAAGGCTGCATTAACTTTATTGAACCTGAATGTAGGAGACCGTTTTTAGTTTCTGGGACACCCTTGTTGGTGGAACACCTCCCCCCTTGGTTTAACCCTGTTTTAACACACCTTCTCGCTGGGTAGCTCGTACCATATGCTTCTCAGACACTGGGTTTGCGTCACTCTGATGACACGGTGACCCAGCGCTCCGAGGAATGGACGATGTGGCAGATGTCAAATCTGAGAAGAAAGCAGTAACGTATAAAATGAAATGTACAGAAGGGATCCTGTTCAACCATTCAGTCTCCTGTGTTCCATCACTTTAAACCAGTGGTTCCCAACCTTTCTTTGGCCATGCCCCACCTAAGCATCTCCAAAATCCTGATTCCCCCCCCCCCCGACATATAATTCTTATTATTCAAAAAGTGAACTCCTATTCACGTGGAGGAAGCCTAAAAGGCCATCCACTGTTAATAACTCATTCTCGAATTGCCCCCCCTTAAAAATCAAACTGCCCCCCTGTGGAGCTTGTGCCCCATTTTGGGAACCACGGGTTTAAACTCTTCCCTGTGGATGTCTGCTAATGTCAGAGCCCACGGATCTTCTTGATAAGCTTCTAATTTGGGGAGGCATTATTTAGGTTTCTCTTATTTGCCTCCTAAGGTTGTGGACAACAGTTTGTATTAAATGGTTACTTGTCATAGTCGCAGGTAAGGAAAAAGGCAGCAGTGTTTTTTTATTTAAAAAACACAACTCAAAACCACTACAAAGCAAAGATTTACAAACTGCCTGCTGTGAAACCCTGGGTTTCTGGAAGCTGATCAGAGTTCTTCAGTGAGTAGATCAGTACAGTGGTACCTCGGGTTAAGTACTCAATTCATTCCGGAGGTCCGTTCTTAACCTGAAACTGTTCTTAACCTGAAGCACCACTTTAGCTAATGGGGCCTCCTGCTGTTGCCGCATTGCCGGAGCACGATTTCTGTTCTCATCCTGAAGCAAAGTTCTTAACCCAAGGTACTATTTCTGGGTTAGCGGAGTCTGTAACCTGAAGCGTATGTAACCCGAGGTACCACTGTAATGGTGAATCTGAAAGGCATCTTGCACACACCACTACCAATGTTCCTTCCACAGATGCTGCAGCCACAGAGAAGCCTTGGGTCGGGGGAAGTGTAACACATTCAGTTCACATGAGCTGATGGTGGAATCACAGCAGGGACTATATATGAACTTTGAGCGCATGCCCTAAAACACTACCCAGAATCCAATGCATCATGTAAAGACTTTTCAGTGGACAAGCCGATCTTTTGTAAACCGCTTTGAGGTTTTTTTAAAGCAATGAAACGGTGTATAAACTTGATGAAATGCAATAAATAACGGATGGGTTGGCTAATTCACTGCTCACAGCACAGCTCCCCCAGCACTAGCTATCTCTTGTTAGGCAAATGAATAGCAGACATGACACGGGCATATACTAATCCAAACACAAGGACTTACCCGAATTGGATGTCGTTCTCCTAGCTCTTAAAATCGGATAGCTGACAACCTCTAAGGATTTGGTTAAGTCAAGATCGTGTAAGATCAGGAGATACCCAGACGAGGTTGAGATCAACATTTTGGAACAGTCTGGTGTCAACCTCATGCGCATGAGAAAGCGGGTGTGAAAGAACTTCTTGTGAGGGCAACCATCTTCTGTGCACCTGGGGAAAGAGAAGCATCAAACCACATCCACTGTCGGCTTCTAGTTTCAAGAATTCCATTTATTTATTATTATTTATTAAATTTCTATTATCACCCTTCATCCGAAGATCACAGGGAGGTTTGCAATATAAAAAGCACAAAAATACATAACATAGTAACAAACATACACAGTACTCCCTCATTTTAAAAGGTCATAGATTATTTAATTACCCAAAGGCCTGGGAGGAGAGGAATGCTTTTGCCTGGTGCCTAAAGATATGTAACAAAGGCGCCAGGCGAGCCTCCCTGGGGAGAGCATTCCACAAGCGGGGAGCCACTGCAAAAAAGGCCCATTCTGTTGCTTTTCGTGGAGCAGGCACATGTGGAAGAACCTCAGCCTTATATTTAAGGTGGTATGTATCTTAACAGCAATATAGTGCTCATTGTAACTCCTCCCTTTCTAATTCATACAGTCATACCTCATGTTAAGTTTGCTTCAGGTTATGTGTTTTTGGGTTGCGGACCACGGGAAACCCAGAAGTACCGGAACAGGTTACTTTTGGGTTTTGCTGCTTGCGCATAAATGCCAAATCACGCTGGCAGCTGCACAGACACGGCGCTTCAGCTTGCGAACACTGTGGGTTGCGGACGTGCCTCCGTCATGGATTACGTCCGCAATCCGAGGTTCCACTGTACAATGAAAGAAGGAGATAAGGCTGGTCTCACTGGGTTACTTTTCTGGTCTGGGGTTTGTCTATACACAAGCTCTGTTTACAAGACAAGGCTACCTGAGTCAGATCTTATGGAGGAAATTTTGCATTAACACATCCAGCTACACTGGGTGTTTTGCTATGAATACTGAAAGACTGTTGAGGCCAAACAACACAAGTTCCAATGTTCTTTCATTCCTTCTCTCTTTCTCAACTGTTCCATGTTTTCAGGCTTAATACAATCACAATATTGTTTAGTAGTGACAAAGGATTACTACCTCTAGCCGTAGGATTGGTTAAGTATAAAGCATTGTAATTGTAATCCAGCAATTAGTATTTAAACTCCCTCTCACGCTTTGGCTCCCAGTATGTATCTGGGCACAAGTCAGTGTTGGTGCTGACCTTTAAAGCCCTAAACAGCCTCGGCCCAGTATACCTGAAGGAGCGTCTCCACCCCCATTGTTCAGCCCAGACACTGAGGTCCAGCTCCGAGAGCCTTCTGGCAGTTACTCACTGAGAGAAGTGAGGTTACAGGGAACCAGGCAGAGGGCCTTCTTGGTAGTGGCACCTGCCCGGTGGAACACCCTCCCATCAGATGTCAAGGAAATAAATGACTACCTGACTTTTAGAAGACATCTGAAGGCAACCCTGTTTAGGGAAGTTTTTAATGTTTGATGTTTTATTGTGCTTTTAATATTCTGTTGGGAGCTGCCCAGAGTGGCTGGGGAAACCCAGTCAGAGGGGCAGGGTATAAATAAACTATTATTGTTCTTATTATTGTTGTTGTTGTTGTTGTTTGAAACTATCAAGGTTTGCTTCAAGTGAGCATGCTCAGAAGTTCATTCTTATCAACTGAAACCAGAGTTATATCTGTTATTTGAATTTTGAGAGGGATGCCTTGGCTTACTGCAGACTGTGGGGGAATGGGGATGACAGCAGGCAGACTTTTACCCAGCCCCTTTTTCTATACACATCTACTTGGCACTTGTTCGATTTAACCCACGCACTGAGTCTATGCAACCCCAGGTGCCATAACACCATGTTTGCAACAGGCACGTTTGCAAATGAGGTACAGAATAAAGGCATTTCAGAGCAACAGACATCTATCTCCCTCAATATTTCCATATCAAGAGAGATGCCACTTTAAAATCTGCTTACCTGTTGGTATCCCAAATGATAACATTTCCATCAAATCCCGATGTTACCAACAGTCTTGTGTTAGTGTCATATTCAATGTTCTTTACCCAGCTAGTGTGACCATGCAGAGTACACACTTTCGTGTCCAGCTTCCTCAGATCCCAAAGTGCTATGGTAGTATCATCAGAGCAAGTTGCAAACAGTCTGTTATCAAGAAACCTACAAATAAAATGGACAAGGAGGGAGGCCATTTCGTATCTTGAAATTCATGCAAAACCTCTTTAAATCGGCCCCCGCAAAAGAAACTTTGAGATGACAGCCACATGAAGAGAAATGCCAGGATATTGATTTTCATAACATCTTGATGTGGAAACAAAGACCGACATTGTCGGATTGGAGGTGTATATTCCGGAGCTAGCTAGAGTTTCAGAAACAGATTTAGCAAGCTGCCAAAACGCATTCCCATGTTTGGATTGGTTTCATCATCCTTTCAATGCACATTTGTTCCCGAGATTTCAATAACATCAAAACATGCAAAATTTCAATAGAGCATTACACTGTTATCTGATGCAATGAGCTGTCCAAAATGTGTACACACCTGTGCTTCTTTAGGGAAGGCACTAGCCGAAAAACAAAAACACTTCGCAATTTTTTTGGGGTGGAGGGAGAGAATGGCAAGTGACAATTACAACTATTTGGGGATGGGCGGTGAAGCAGTGTACAGAGGGAAAGGTCCAACTTGTACACCAAGAAGGCAGTTTCCTTGGTTCCATCGCAGACTAGCTTCAAACCAAGAAACAGATTCAGGGATGGGCAATGCAGACAGGGGCTGCCTCAGTTTTCTGTGCCTGTTTATGGGCAACAGCATTCAAGTTCTGGCTTGCAGCAAAAAGTTAAAAATTAGTACCATGACTCTCATTACTAATTGATGGGAGGGAAAAACATAAAAGAGAAAACAGAAGATATGTTTGTCACTACAGCATCAATGCTTCCAGAGCTTAAATAAAACAAGTACTGGAATTTTAGATATCTGTAACTGGCTTTTATTTCCCAGCCAACCAACCTGATATTATTTACACAGTCCTCGTGAGCTTCGGAGAGAGTTTTGATGTGCTTTGAAGATATGGGATCAAAAAGAAGGACTTCTGTCTGTTCACAAGCAACAGTTAGCACTGACCTGGATAGGAAAGAAACAAGAAACAGGCTATTATGCCCAAAGAAACTCAACACCCTCTCAATGACATCTGGTAAAGAACAGAAAGGTTTCCTTACTTAAAGGGCACACAAACACAGAGCTGAAACGTGAATAATAGTTCCGAAGGCAGAGGCGTTCCATGGAGTAGCTTGCAGAATTTCTACGCACTGGATTTTTTAATTAGAACTACATTTATTTTCTCTTATTTGCTGCAATGTAGTGGATCGTGAATCAATTAATTAAATGCCACCAATTGATCACATGTTATATGACCACAATCAAATGATCCCTGAAACCAGAAGGCAAAGGGACATGCTCCTCTCACCACCCATCCCAACCCAACCATATGTTTAATGAGAGTGTATTATACCACTTTAACTGTCACAGCAAGAATTCTGGGAACTTTGGCTTGTTAAGGGTGCTGGGAATTATAGCCCTGTGACTAACCACAGTTCCCAGGATTCTCTGGGGAAAGCATGACTGTTAAAGTCGTATAACAGTATGGTGTGCATGTTACTTTGCTCTTGCCTACCCCAAAAGGCCACTCCTATTTGATCAAACCTCAGTGCCCAATTCTCCTCCCCCAATTAGGTATGTGCAACAAAACTCTTAGGTGTGATGTCATCATGTTCATTAAGTAAAACAAAGATGAATACCACTCGGTTGCTTCTTCCATAAAACTCAGAAAGCATACTTCCAATGCCAATTGACTCACTAGTTGCTATGTCAATGGACTAAGGATTAGGACCACCATTTACCAAGCATCACTGGGGGTGAGGGGAGCAGAATGAAAGAAAAGAGGGGGCAGAGAGAGAAGAGAAGACTCTCGTCACCGTTATCTCAAGCACCCAATTTACTTTTCCTGTGAGTAAATGACTGGGATGGAAGGGGAAAGACTTCTCCACTCCTGGTGTAGACAATGCCAGGCTAGACAGACAATGGTCTGAATTGTTATCCGGCAGCTTCCTATATTCCTGCTACTAGAAAATGCACAATAAGTACTGAAGCTTAGACTGGGAAGAAATGCACTTATGGACATCAGTTATTGATAAACTGTAGGCATCAGAGATATGTCATGTGTTTCCAGGGATGCCCAACAGATGGGGTGAAAGAGCAGAAAACCTTGCGGAAAGTCAGGGACAAGTTCATAGAATCACAGAATTGTGGAGTTGGGACCCTGAGGGTCATCTAGACCAAGCCGCTGCAATGCAGGAATCTCAACATGCAGTGCCCCCCCATCCAATTTGAAACCATACCAGACCCTGCTTATTTGCAAATGTGCTAGCAGTTTTATTGCTGCACCACTATCTCTAGTTGACATAAGACTGAAATGAAGGTGGATTTACAAATTAGGTTTAGGTTATTTTAAAAACATCTGTATGTGCCATACGAATGCACACCAACAGTTTTAAATGTGGCATCAACCCTCATGTAGTTTATGAATACTGTGTTCTTACATTTATGTTGGAATACACTTCAAATGGATGGCGGCTAATGGATTGAAGTTGAATCCTGACAAGACAGAAGTACTGTTTTGGGGGGACAGGGGGCGGGCTGGTGTGGAGGACTCCCTGGTCCTGAATAGGGTAACTGTGCCCCTGAAGGACCAGGTGCGCAGCCTGGGAGTCATTTTGGACTCACAGCTGTCCATGGAGGCGCAGGTCAATTCTGTATCCAGGGCAGCTGTCTACCAACTCCACCTGGTACGCAGACTGAGACCCTACCTGCCCGCGGACTGTCTCGCCAGAGTGGTGCATGCTCTAGTTATCTCCCGCTTGGACTACTGCAATGCGCTCTACATGGGGCTACCTTTGAAAGTGACTCGGAAACTACAACTAATCCAGAATGCGGCAGCTAGACTGGTGACTGGGGGCGGCCGCCGAGACCACATAACACCGGTCTTGAAAGACCTACATTGGCTCCCAGTACGTTTCCGAGAACAATTCGAAGTGTTGGTGCTGACCTTTAAAGCCCTAAACAGCCTTGGCCCAGTATACCTGAAGGAGTGTCTCCATCCCCATCGTTCTGCCCGAACGCTGAGGTCCAGCGCCGAGGGCCTTCTGGCGGTTCCCTCACTGCGAGAAGCAAAGCTACAGGGAACCAGGCAGAGGGCCTTCTCGGTAGTGGCGCCCGCCCTGTGGAACGCCCTCCCATCAGATGTCAAAGCGATAAACAACTACCTGACATTCAGAAGACATCTTAAGGCAGCCCTGTTCAGGGAAGTTTTTAATGTATGATATTTTAGTGTATTTTTGGTTTCTATGGAAGCCGCCCAGAGTGGCTGGGGAAACCCAGCCAGATGGGCGGGGTACAAATAATAAATTATTAATTATTATTATTATTCAAAAGTCTTGTGGGGTCAATTACTCGACTATAGAATTCCTCAACACTTTCACAAACAGTCACAGGGGGCAGAAAGATCCGAAATCACATTGCAATGCAATACAGTATCTCCAAAGAAGATTAAGATATGGGGACAAAAGTCAGTAAGCATGTGCAGGGCACAATTCTATGCTTCAAATTTCAATACCAGCTGCTAGACCCATACTTCGGGTTTTTGGGTGGGTGGGTGTGACAGAGAGACTATAAAGAAGCGAAACACATTGTAGCTCAGTATCTAAATAGATCCCTTTTGAACACTGCAATACTCTACCCAGTTCTGCACACCGCAATTTAAGGATATTGACAAGGAGGGCGACCAAGATGATCAAGGGTCTGGAAACCAAGCCTTAAGAGGAGCAGTTGAGGGAGTTGGGTATTTTTAGCCTGGAAAAGAGAGATGATAGCCATCTTCAAATATGTCAAGGACTGCCACACGGAGGATGGAGCAAGCTTGTTTTCTCCTGCTCAGCAGGGTAGGACTTGAACTGAATAACTTCAAGTTATAAGAAAGGAGATTCCAACTAAACATATGGGGAAACTTTCTGACATTTACAAATTCCTCTGTAAATGTAAACTTACAGGTTCCTCTGTAAAATGTAACAGATTCCTCTGTAAATGTGGATATGAATGGTTGTATTGTTATAATTTTATACTTGTAAAATAAAATAAAATCCATTTCAGGAAGAAAAAAAGAAAACTTTCTGAGAGGAAGAGCTGTTCGACAGCGGACAGGGCTCCCTCGGAAGGTGAAGGACTCTCCTTCCTTGGGGTTTTTTTAAAGCAGAGGCCACCCGCCCTGTAGGGCCCAGCCGAGATTTCTGCCTCGCAGAGGGGGTGGGTCTAGATCAGTGTTTCCCAACCTTGGGCCTCCAGATGTTTTTGGACTACAACTCCCATCACCCCTAGCTAGCAAGACCAGTGCTCAGGGATGATGGGAATTGTAGTTCAAAAACAGCTGGAGGCCCAAGGTTGGGAAACGCTGGTCTAGATGACCCTCGGGGTCCCTTTCCAAGATTTTACGATTCTCGGAAGGCGAGCTTCCCACCGCCGGTCACCTCCGCCTCCCTTACCCGCCAGGGGAGTACTCCAGGTTGAAGACGGCGCCGTGCGTGCGGGTGATGGGCGAAACCGAGTCGGCGGGCTGGATGGCGCCGTAGAGCCCCGTCATAGCCCGGAACGTGTCCCTCGCCGGCTCCACGCAGCGGCCGCCATGGCCCAGGCGCCGCCCGCGCACCCACGCGAACAGGCCCCCGCCGGGCACCGAAACGGCGGCCGCCACCGCTGCTGCTGAGGAGGCTGCTGCCGCTGAGGCGGCGGCGGCGTCCGGGGGCGGCGGTTCCCGGGGGCGACGGAGGCGGCGGCGGCGGCGTCTGGTCCCCCTCGCCGCGAGGCGGCCGCTCCGGCGTCGGGCCCCAGCGCGCCTTCCAGCTCATCCCGAGCCCGGCCCCGCCGCCACCGGCAGCGGCATTCCTCTCTCCCCTCACACACCCTTCGGCCTCCTCCGCCTCTTTTCCCCCCGACTTCCGGTGCGGGGAGCACCCTTCGAAAAGGCGCCGGCCGGAAACACGGACCCGGCTCCGAAGGGCCGCCGCGATTCCTTTCCCCCAGAGGGGAGGTTCCCTGGCGCCCTGCTTTTAAAGCCTCGCCCCTTATGAAGGCCACGCCTCCTTGTGGGTTGCCCCGCCCCTATGATTTCTGCCCCGCCCCCCGAAGCAAGCTGGGGGGGCGGGAGCGGGGGAATAAAAAATAAATTCTTACGGAAATTAACGGGGGGGGGGCACATCTTATTATTATTATATTTTTTTAAATTATTATTATCTTTAAAGTTGTTAAATGATACAAATATTATGCCTGAATGTATCCTTTTAACTTGACAGCTCAGGGAAGTTACCTAGCTTTAAAATAATATAAAATCAACTCCTTGCCAGTTTCCTCCATTCCAAAGCTATTTTCCCCTTGGAAAAGGACTCCAGGAAGTTTCCAGAGGTGACAATTGCTGGGCTCATTGTTAGCCAAAGGAAGCCAGATCTCATCACCTGACTTTCCTCAAGCTCCAGACATGCAAAGGAAGTTCTATTGTAGTTTTGGATGGTGGGCACTTAAGACATATTTGTCTATGCTAATCTTATACCTGAGTCTTGCCCTGCCATGTCTGCTTATGCTAATCTTGTACCAAAGACTTGTCTGGACATGTTTGCCAAAGTTAACCCCTCCCCTTTTGTGACATGTCAGTGATGTAGCAATGATGCTGTACGAACTGTACTCTGGGATATGGTGGGAAAGGTTTAAAAGTCTTTGTCACCCCGTCCTCGGGGTTCAAATTTGCTCTTTGAACCTAGACTTTGGTCTACAGCTATTTGCTCCGGTTGGCTGGAATCCTTCCTTTATTCCGCTCTGCCCGATGAGCTGGGTGACTGAGCAGCCTCACACCTAAATTTTTCCGTAACAAAATGTTTGTGGGGGAACATTTGGAAAAGACCCTGATGCTGGGAAAGATGGAGGGCACAAGGAGAAGGGGACGACAGAGGACGAGATGGTTGGACAGTGTTCTTGAGGCTACCAGCATGAGTTTGACCAAACTGCGGGAGGCAGTGGAAGACAGGAGTGCCTGGCGTGCTCTGGTCCAGGGGGTCACGAAGAGTTGGACACGACAAAACGACTAAACAACAAATTTGTAATTTACCTAGGAGACCCCTGTAAGCAGATGGAAACATTAGCAGGATGGCAATACCACTTGTAATGTAGTAATTATTATTATGGACAAAATGGAGAGGCATAAAATACGGATTACTAAATAATACGGATATGCAGTTGAAAAGGTTGACAATAGGTCCCATGGAGGGGAAGGTGGGAAGCCCAGGGATTCAGAGAAATCTCTAAATATGGATATGTATTTTGCATTGTTAGAATTGTAAAATCAAATAAAAATTATTTCAAAAAAAATATGTTGGTAACTTGAGGAGGAGTGATCTTGCACTGTTGAGATTGCCGTGTTCCTTCATGCCATCAGATTTATCTGAATTTTTAAAAATAAACCATGTGTTTTTGTGTGTATTCTCACTGAGTAGCAGATCCATCTGAAGTGTAATTTCAGCACTTATTAGAATGATTTCAAATTGCCAGCTGGCTGCTAAGATAGTACACACAGCCATTGCTGCCAGAGTAAATAGAGGAGTAAACTGTTTTCAGGGATTTAGAAAGCATACTAGTACCATTATACTTGACCATTTTTATCTTACTTATTTACCAGTCTGAAATGGAATCCAATGATCAAAGTACATCATTAAACCTGCAGAGATTTACTTTCTTGGTTATTTATTTAGCTGTATATTTTCACTGGCTTCCTAGCATACCAGGGTTAAATATTGATTTCCTGGAAGACACAGGATGATGAAATGAGAGGCTCCGTAATTACTCTTCGTAGGCTCGCCCTATTAATCTTAACAGATAACTTGGGAAACCTTTCACATCTTTATGATTTGAGTTTGAGATGGTGCAGATGGAAATGTTCCTAAGAAGATATATAGGGATATAGTTTATATATAGTACTTGTAAAGGGCTATCCTCTTCAGCAGGGCTTTTTTCAGGGCGGACTCACCTGAACTCAGCTCCAGCACCTCTTAAGTGGGTGCCATTATAAGAGAACAAGGGAGGCATTCATGGGGAGTTCCAGCACCTCTTTTTCTAGAAAAATAGCACTTCAGGACTATTTTGCAATAGAAAGTACATTTCCCTTCTCATTGGATTCTTTGCCTGCCATTTTTAACTTGTACCCGCCACTTACTAATTAGTGAACTTTGGCCCTAGCATCTGGAGTCCAATTTCCTCCCAAAGATTTGGGTGCTATTTGGTCTTCTCTTTCTCTCTCAGTGTCCTTCCCATGGTGTAGTATTCTAGGTTTGGCTGCATATCTGTGAACTGAGCTATGCGATTTGCCATGGCAAAAAAGGCTGAAATGGCGCCTATGTCCCAGGCATCTTCTCGGTCAAACCCGTGTGCCTCCAGCTTCTGAAAGTGTTCTTTGGTGATGGTATCTGCTCGACAGACAGCGAGTGCAAAGTCGAGCATGGCTAGCTCACGATCACTTAGGTCAGCCATTTTCCAGTTCACCGTGATCTGCACAGAAACAAAGCAGCAGGAAATCATAAACACAGCTGCTGGGGTACGTAATGGCCAAGTGTGGGACATAAAGGACATATATACAGGCAGCATCAGACCAGTGACAAACAGACCGAGGGCTGAAAAGAAGGATTAGGGAGTGACCTTGAATATGAACTGCAATGCATCGCTGCAAAGAAGTAAAGTGCTCCCCCAATCTTTGCTCTTGTTTTGGGTTTTTGGCATTCGGCAGTCTCAAGAAACAATGGAGTGCGCCTCCGGGGGTGAAGTCAAACCACTAAGTTAGCAGCAGTGATTTGACCTCCCTAGGACGCAAACCTGGGCAGTGTGTATGGAGGTCCAGGGATGCTCAGACAACTAGACCCACCATCTCAGCCTCGCTGATGTCGTCCAAAAGAAAGCAGAGCAATATACTTGCAACCAGCTTGGCTGTACAGAAAAGGGAATATTGCCAAATGCAAACTCCTCAGCTTTGTGGCATGAGAATTAGCACCTAGCAAACGGACCTTTTCCATACAGTTCTTAGCCTTGGGCAAGGGCCTTTTTAAACACTGCCGCATAAGGCTTTTAAATGCACTTATCTAGTTATAAAGTGCCCAGCATATTGTAATGTTATAGTCTTCCCGAACCTGCTGCTTTTAGATGGACTCCAATTTCCATCTGCTGCAGCCAGCTTGGTCAATGATCAGGAATGATAGAAGTTCCACTACAAAACATCTGGAGGCCACCAGGTTACAGAAAGCTAATATAAACTAATCATAGGTTTGTATAAATATGAATATAATAAATTATAATCCCAAAATTTTTGTTCAGTAATCTTTTGAAGTTTCTTTTAAATTGCTATACAGTGGTACCTCGGTTTACGAACAGTCCTGTTTACGAACTATTTGGTTTACGAACTCCGCAAAACCGGAAGTAGTGTCCCGGTTTGTGAACTTTACCTCGGTCTACGAATGGAAGCCGAACAGTGGAAGGGCACCGGCAGCAGGAGGCCTCATTAGGGAAAGCGCACCTTGGTTTAAGAACAGATTTGGTTTAAGAACGGACTAAGTTCATAAACTGAGGTACCACTGTATATGCTAATTTACAATCATATTTCCAGTGCACTGCACTAAAAGGAAAAAACCTACTATAAAGATTTCACCAGAATAATTTGCATAAACTAGCATTCAAATTCAGACTCAAGTCCCCTCCATGCAATTCATTCTTCTCTCTCTCTCTTTTTTGCAAGCTGTAGGCAGAGCCCGGATTTTTGCCTGAACCTGGAACAAGCGCAGAAGCAAGGTGGCAAGTGGAAGCTTGCTAGTTAAAACAGCACAGAAGTGAAGCGCGCACATACACACTAAGACTAGCAAATACGGTTTCTCGCCTGATCTGCCAGCACTGGTTTCTTAGAGTACATCCGATGTAAGGCACCGTGTGCAATTGCACAGTAGGGAACCTTGTTTGCAACACTCGTAGCCACGATAATGAGCTCTTTGTCAGCCATGCTAAGGTTTCCTGTGGGAGGAAAGACATGGGTGGATCATATATCTAGTCATGGGAATGAGTCACTTAATCCTGGGCTTATGCGCTTATACCCTGTATCTGAGTTTGAGGGTACTATGCTACTATGTTCTATAATTGCTTTAGTGCCTAGGTTTTCAACCAGTGTGCCGTAGCACCCTGGGGTGATTTGAATAATAATAATAAAAATAATTTTTTATTTATATCCCGCCCTCCCCAGCCGAAGCCAGTTCATATCAGATTAATGGCAACCATTGGGCCAGAGCTCCGCGAAGATTGCCGAGGGAGGGAGTCAGGCTGTGCCCTGGCCAAAGGCCTGGTGGAACAGCTCTGTCTTGCAGGCCCTGCAGAAAGATGTCAAGTCCCGCAGGGCCCTGGGAGCCAGTGTGGTGTAGTGGTTAAGAGCGGTAGTCTCGTAATCTGGGGAACCGGGTTCGCGTCTCCCGCTCTTCCACATGCAGCTGCTGGGTGACCTTGGGCTAGTCACACTTCTTTGAAGTCTCTCAGCCCCACTCACCTCACAGAGTGTTTGTTGTGGGGGAGGAAGGGAAAGGAGAATGTTAGCCGCTTTGAGACTCCTTAAAGGGAGTGAAAGGCGGGATATCAAATCCAAACTCTTCTTCCTCTTCTTCTGGTCTCTTGTGACAGAGCGTTCCACCAGATTGGAGCCACAGCCAAAAAAGCCCTGGCTCAGGGGTGCTGTGAACAGCACTGGCCCCATCCTGCCCTCATTCCTTCCCTCCTCTCAAGTTCTGGGTGTTGTCTAAGTCAGCTTGGTTTCATTTCTGATGAGGGGGTGGGAGAAAACTGAAGCCCCAGAGCGCCTTAAAAGCTTAGGGAGCCCCAGGTCCACCTTGAGGCATCTTGTTCATGGTATGATGCAACTCAGGAACCTGAGGACCTTCCCCAGATCGGCCCAATTTCCCCTATAATTTGGAGTGCACACAGAGCCGATGCCCACCCCAGCATATTTTGGTGTGAACTACTCTGGGATTTCTCTTTTTTTATGAGAACTGGTATAAAAATAGAAAAGTAGATGATAATAAAATTGCCACTGGGGGTTTATGACTGTTGGGACAGGAAAGAAGATTATAGTCTGATCGCCATGCTTACCTGTCTCCTTGTTCACGACGGCACTGAAATAAGCAAGGAATGCTCTGAGTTCTACTGGGCGGTGAGACATCACCTTGAGCACGTTGGGCAAAAACCCACGCTGTCAGGAATCGAGGGGGGGAAAGCTAGTCAAGACACCTTGAAATTGCCGTTAAGGGAAGAGTCTATACAATGCCATCCATTCTCAGATATGGCACAGTTAGCTAAGGGCCATTCGCTAGAAAACTGCAGGCTGATGCCAAGTCTCTCGTTCCGAATCATCCAAGCAGCGGAGAGGAGCCACAGCTGACGTGCTTTGCAGAGAAGATCCTAATTTCTCAGCCTAATCTCTCTACTCAGAAGAATCAGGCAGTGGTAGAGTCCGCTGTCTGAGGCTCTGCAGAGCTGCTACCAGCCAGAATAGACCAGACATGGGGAACATGCTTGATGCTTTACTGTGCTTAATGTGCTTAATTACCGTATTTTTCGCTCTATAAGACGCACCTAGTTTTTAGAGGAGGAAAACAAGAAAAAAATATTCTGAATGAAACGTTGGATGTATGATTTTTGTGGTTCATGCTGTGGCCACAGACATGTGATTTGACAGTGAGTTTGGGGTAGCCCAATGCAAAAATCCTGAGGAACCATGTGGATCCGTGCTTTGTAACCACGTTTTTGCACCATTGCGGCCCCACGAAACAGTGGATGCGTGTGTTTTTTGGTGCAGATTGTAGCCATGGACATGCTATGTGATCTGATGGTGAATTTGGGGTGACACAATGCAAAAATACTGAGGAGCCATGGGCTTTTACCTCCCCCCTCCCAGGCAGCCTCCTTTATCGCTAGCGTCCCTTATCTCCCTCCCGATCCCTTACCTATCAGCTGCTTCCTTTCAACACTCCCTTCCCTCTTGTTTGCCTTAGTGTCTTTTCCTTAGCTGGAGCAGTTTTTTGCTCCTCCTTTTCTTCTAATTTCTCTCCTCATTGCTTTAGTATTCCTGTCTCCTCTCCTTGCAAGTTTGCTGTCTTTACCTCCCCACTCCCAGGCAGCCTCCTTTATTGCTAGCGTCCCTTATCTCCCTCCCCGATCACTTGCCGATCGGCGGCTTTGTTTCAACACCCACTTTCCTCTCCCCAAAAAAAGCATGATCTGCTTTTCGCCCCTGGGCAATTCAGCTCCAGGGACCATGCATTTGCTCCATAAGACGCACAGACATTTCCCCTTACTTTTTAGGAAGAAAAAAGTACGCCTTATGGAGTGGAAAATACGGTAACCTTTGACCCTCCAGATGTTGCTGAACTACAACTTTCATAGCCCTAGGAAGCATGGCCAGGGGTGCTGTGAGTTGTAGTTCAGTTCAGCAAAACCATGCAGGACAAGGCGAATAAATTGGCTGACCTGGGATTAAGGCAGCTTTTAAATAAAGTCTACCGAGTATTCTTTGCCTCAATTTTGCAAGCCTCTGACATGCTAAACCTAATGGAGTGAACCAGTTGGCCTGCTAGGTGCTCAGCTGTCTTATAAGGTGATTCCAGTATGTCAGTCTTACCTTTGCTTCTTCTCTCTTCATAAGCTCTGCTATATCGTTTGGCAAATCCTCCTCCTTAGGTAGCGGAAAGCGCTCAGTGGACTTGGTGGCGTTCCTCTCGCCTGTGCTATATGCATGGTTCGAGGATACAGTTCTGGGTCTTACCCCAAAGCTCCCCAACGCACCAGGAGGCAGGAGCTAAAACACGGAAAGGAAGAAATGACCCATTTGCCGTAGTATCATGCAAAGTTGGCTCCGTCAGCTTCAAGCGTTATTTGTAAAACGATTAACTGCACAGTTTAGGGCCTGAAAAAACTCTTTGGCACAGGGATTGGGAACCTATAGCTGTACAGATGTTGCTTGACTTCCGCTCCCATGATCCCTGACCGTTGGGCATGCTTGCTGGGACTTATGGAAGCTGGAGTTTGGCCATGTTTGCTGGGACTGATGGAAGCAACATCTGGAGGGCCACAGGTTCCTCATCTCTGCAATAAAGCAATCTGATGAAAAGAGCTTGGAATCATAGAATTCTTGAGCTGGAAGGGACCCTGCAACCTTGGCGTTATGAGCAACATACCCTTATTTAGGTAGAAATATCCTCTATTCTTCTGCAATGAAACAGACGTTTGTGCAATCCGAGATATGGGGAAATTGTGCTCTTAACGCTTACAGGAGTCAGGTATTTGTGTAACGGCCAGATAGCAACATAGGGAAACACTCTTTCTGCTGTTAAGATTAAAAGTTGATCCCACTGACATCTTGTTCCGAGGCATATTTATGGAGTAGTAAAGGCCCATTTGGGATGCGGGTGGCACTGTGGTTTAAACCACAGAGCCTAGGACTTGCCAATCAGAAGGTCAGCGGTTCGAATCCCCGCGATGGGGTAAGCCCCCGTTGCTTGGTCCCTGCTCCTGCCAACCTAGCAGTTCGAAAGCACGTCAAAGTGCAAGTAGATAAATAAGTACTGCTCCAGCGGGAAGGTAAATGGTGTTTCTGTGCGCTGCTCTGGTTTGCCAGAAGTGGCTTAGTCATGCTGGCCACATGACCCGGAAGCTGTACGCCAGCTCCCTCGGCCAATAAAGCGAGATGAGCGCCGCAACCCCAGAGTTGATCACAACTGGACCTAATGGTCAGGGGTCCCTTTACCTTTTTTTAAAGGCCCATTTAAATCAGCCTGATGCTCTTTGGATAAACACAAGATTCTTCCAAATCTCAAGACTTCCCTCTTCCCATCCGTGGGTTCTTTAAGTAACTTTTAAACTGCATATTATAAGTCCATCCAATTTACAGTCCTCTAAAATCTATGTATCATTGCAAGAGTTATTTAAAACCTGCCAAAGAGTTCAAGTGTTTACAGTGGTCTTTCAAATATAATATACATTTGTCCCATTCTTTGTTGAAGTTTTGATCCTCCTGGTTTCTGATTTTCCCGGTTAATCTAGCCATCTTTGCATAGTCCAATAATTTCATCCAGTGCTTTTTTCTGGGGGTACGCAGGGGTACACATACCCCTAAACATTTTGTGAATCTTTGTACTTTTGTCCATTTACTGAATTTATTTTCCGCAATTTGAACTATAAAATGGTGGTTTTCTTTAGTCAAAATGAGAGTACTCCTAAACATTTTTAAAGAAAAAAACCACTGCTTTCATCTGCCAATCCACCCTGGTAGGTATCTTTTGTTTTCCAATGTATTTCTTATCAATAATAATAATAATAATAAATCAGTGTGATGCAAGCCATTTTTTGTTCTGAAGGTGTGACCCAGAGAATTTTTTTTAGAACCACTAACCTAAAAAGAAGGGACGCGGGTGGCACTGTGGTTTAAACCACAGAGCCTAGGACTTGCCGATCAGAAGGTCGGTGGTTCGAATCCCCGCGACGGGGTGAGCTCCCGTTGCTCGGTCCCTGCTCCTGCCAACCTAGCAGTTCGAAAGCACGTCAAAGTGCAAGTAGATAAATAGGTACCGCTCCAGTGGGAGGGTAAACGGCGTTTCCGTGCGCTGCTCTAGTTTCGCCAGAAGCGGCTTAGTCATGCTGGCCACGTGACCCGGAAGCTGAACACCAGCTCCGTCGGCCAGTAAAGCGAGATGAGCGCTACAACCCCAGAGTCAGCCACGACTGGACCTAATGGTCAGGGGTCCCTTTACCTTTACCCTAAAAAGACCAGTTGTGCTGAGGCAATAAATAATGAAAAGGGCACGTAGAGATGCTCCGCAGCATCACTGGAAGGGCTTCCCACTTTCTCCCTCTTCGATTTACTTTAATGGTTGCGCATGGCATATAGGTGACCAGAGGGAGGTGCGGGGGAAACACTGCAAGGCAAAACTGAAGAAATCAAGTGCCTGCGCCAGCCGGAAGTCCCTCGGTTCTGGCATTTGGCACTCACTCTCCTTAAAAATAAGTTTTGCACCTCTCGCCCTCGGAGGAGCGCACCAGCTTTTCAGAACCAGCGCTGCAGCCATTTCATCTCCCACCCCGGCAATATACTGTCCTAAGCTAGGGGGATGAATGGTCTGACTCGATGTAATGGTCTGACTCAGTGTCACCTGTCTGGCCAGGGGCTGAACTAGATTGACTTGATCCAGGTGCCCTCGGTCGCGCAAAGACGCACGGAGCCAATGGCACCGCGGCGCCAAGAAGACGCGCGTCCCTTTCTGGACCACTGCCATCCTCCGAAGCGCGCATCCACAGCCAGGGTTGAACGCCTGTGGCGATGAAGATACTCACGGAGGGAGAGCCCCGACGGCCGAGCTGCAGGAGGCTGCTGCGGAGAAGCCGCCACATTGCCACACCGCGGCTGTTTTCCTTGCGCTTCTGGGCGGCACCGACGGAGGCGCAGGCGAGGCGGAGAGCCGTTTTCTAGTAACCCAGCCAAGTGCGCTTGCAGGGCGACGTCTCCCCTAGCCCGCCCACATTTCGACACTTCCCCAGTGCAAGGGGGGAAGAAATCTATTTAGACCACAAGGAACAGCAGCCCGTGGAAAAGTAAAGAGTAGCAAGTCCCGCCCTGTTGAAATCCCTACTTAGTCAACAACAAGTGTTCCGCAGGAGTGGGCAGATTTCAAATTGTAGACTCTGCTTCTGTTTTCTTCTGGAATCCTGAGATTCCCCTAAACTGGACCTGGTGCAAAATCCATGTACAGTACTTACTTCCTAACCATATCTATGTAGAGACAATTGAATTCAGTGGAATTCATTTTCAGGTCATTGGTTAGGATTAGGATTGCAGCCCTAGAATTAAAGAATTCTGAATCCAGGAAGTTGAGTTGACAGAAGTGAGAGGAGCTCACAGTCCTTCCACACACAAAAAGCAATTAGTGGTTACCCAAGCTTTTTTTGATTTTAAAAATATAATTTGGAGTGGGAAGGCAGTTGTGCTGTTGCTGCTATTGTTAAAGAAAAGGGAGTCATAAACGTTTTCCAATCTACTGCAAATCACCCAGAGATCAGGAGATCCAGAGATTTCCTGCCTGCCCCTAATCTAGTGATTGGCAGCAGTTCTCTGCAGTTTTAAGACAGGCTTTCCCTGCCCTTCCTGGGAACATCAGGGATTGGACCTGGGGCCTTTTGTATCCGAAACAAATACTGTACCACATGGGTAGGCAAACTAACGTCCGGGGGCCGGATCCGGCCCAATAGCCTTTTAAATCCAGCCCGCGGACGGTCCAGAAATCAGCATGTTTTTACATGAGTAGAATGTGTCATTTTATTTAAAATGCATCTCTGGGTTATTTGTGGGGCAGAGGAATTTGTTCATTATTTTTTTCCAAAATAAAGTACGGCCCCCATAAGGTCTGAGGGACAGTGGACTGGCCCCCTGCTGAAAAAGTTTGCCGACCCCTGCTCTACCACAAAACTACAGCCCTTCCATCAATCAGAAAAGACACTACCCATGTGTTGTCAGCTGAATGCAGATATATTGTAGTCATGGCATGACTGGTTGTACAAGTGTTGTCAAATTATAAGGGACGGTCTGATCTTTAGGGTGTTTATCAGGAAAGGCCGATGACATTAGATGTCATTGCAGTAATTTCATAGTGCCGTACACCTCATTCTTAGACACTGAATCTCTTCTTATGCCTATCTCTCAAGGTTAGTATTTATTAGACTTTCTACCTCCAGGGCATCCTTTTCACAGAGAAAAAGCCCACTTTGACCTGGGATGTGAACTGCAACAGATCCCATATGAGGGCATCTAATAGTTTCTTACAGAGCCTCTCATCTATACAGGGGACAGAATTAGGTGAAGTTCAACTCCATTTTAGTTATGACGTTTGATGAAAAATGCAACAAGATGTGATCTCCTGTACAATGGGCAAAGGCCTCAGGCAAGTTAGTGTTAAAGCAGATATGGAATCCAAACTTTAAAGTACATTCTTTCCAGGAAAGATGTTTATACATATTTTACAACTAAGGTCAAAACTGCAACCAATGTGTGAGACAAGGAGCATGTTCCTTCATGGAAAATACCATATTTTTCGCCCTATAGGACGCACCGTCCCATAAGGCGCACCTAGTTTTTTTGGAGGGGGAAATAAAGGAAAAAAATTTATTCCCTCCCCCAGGCGCGGGGCTGGGGAAGCCCGAGCTTCCCCTGACCCCAGCCCCCAGAACAGGCAACTCTCCGCAAGCCGTGGGAGCCCGGCGCCGGGCTCCCGCACCTTGCAGAGAGCTGCGCGAAGCCTGGAGAGCGAGAGGGGTCGGTGCGCACCGATCCCTCTCGCTCTCCAGGCTTCAGCGAAAGCCTGCATTCGCCCCATAGGACGCACGCACATTTCCCCTTCATTTTTGGAGGGGAAAAAGTGCGTCCTATAGGACGAAAAATACGGTAGTTGCTTATTCCCCTTGTAAGAATGAAAGAAACAGTAAGACACCAAGTTTGCTTAACAGAGCTGTGGGATGCTGACTTTAGAAAACTTTCCCCATTTGTATAGGTTGGGAAAATGCAGATGGAATTGTTCCTGAGAAGACCTTCCAAGGAGACCAACGAGATTTTACACTTGTAGAGGAAAGGAGATCTTCCTCCAGATCTTCTCCAGTGTATACATAAAAAGCTCTTTCCAATTTCTGGCCTTTAAAAGATTTGCCACAGCAGATACGTATTTGCTCAAATACGTTTAATAGAAACAACAGATATGACAAAAGTGTTAACTCTGCAGTTATGAAGAAATCACAGTATACAGCTTATTACAATCAAAAGAAACTGAGCAGCAAATCTCCAATCTTGCTGTGTCTTCAGAGCACCTCATTACAATTGAGACCCTACCGGAAAACGTTTTTCAAAAGTATAGCACAACAGCAAGTGAAGCACATTTCATTTCTCAGGGGATGCAACATTTGCCCATCTTGACCTTCTGCCTGTCACTGAGCCCAATGTCCTTGCAATGATTTGGGTGCCAGAAAGCCTTGTTAGGGGGCATCGTTCTTCTCTTTCTCTCTCGGTATCCTTCCCATGATGTAGAATTCTGGGTTTGGATGCATCTCTGTGAAGTGAGCTATGCGGTTCGACATGGCAAAAAAGGCTGCAATCGTGCCGATGTCCCAGGCATCTTCTCGGTCAAACCCGTTCGCCTCCAGTTTCTGAAAGTGCTCTTCGGTGATATTATCCGCTCGGCAGACGGCGAGTGCAAATTCAACCATGGCCCTCTCCCGATCACTCAGCTCGGCCATTTGCCAGTTCACAGTGACCTGCACAAAATCAGAGCCAAGGGAGGTTATTGGCAGTTATGGCCAACCGCTAGACCAGTCACGGGGACCAAATTTACAGGCAGCATTACCGTATTTTTCGCTCTATAAGATGCACCTTTTCCCCTTCAAAAATTAAGGGGAAATGTGTGCGCATCTTATGGAGCGAATGCAGACTCCTTGGCTTCAGTGATAGCAATGCGAAGCCTCCGAAGCACAGAGGGAGAGCTCCCCCTGCGCTCTGGAGGCTTCGCGTTGCTTTCGCTGAAGCTGCCTGAAGCCCCCGGAGCGCAGCGGGAACTCCTGCTGTGCTCTGGGGGCTTCAGGCAGCTATCCGCAAGCCTTCGGAGCGCAGCAGGAGTTCCCGCTGCGTTCCGAAGGCTTGCGGATAGCCGCCTGAAGCCTGGAGAGCGAGAGGGGTCGGTGCACACCGATCCCTCTTGCTCTCCAGGCTTCGCTTCGCTGGAGAGGCGCTGCACAGTTTCCCCTCTCTGCGGAGCGCCCCTTCAGCAAAGTGGGAGGAGAAATGGAAGGGGCTCCGTTTTTCCTGCCGCTTCGCTGAAGGGGCGCTGAGCAGAGGGGGAGATTTTTTTTTCCCCTGTTCTCCCCCTCCTATGGTCCGGTGCATCCTATAGAGTGAAAAATACGGTAGGTCAAAGAGAACGAGGGCTGAAAAGGATTAGGGAGCAAACGTGAACATGAACCACAGTGTACTGCTGCCAGATCCTAAACAGGGTGATGCAAAGGACTAAAGGGTTCCTTTATCTTTGCTCCTTGTACAAGAGAGGGAATTTTGCCAAGTACAACTTCTTTCTTTCTTTCTTTCTTTCTTTCTTTCTTTCTTTCTTTCTTATTTATTTATTTATTTATTTTATTGGACTTCTATACCGCTCTTCATCGTAAGATCTCAGGCGGTTCACGATATAAAAATGCAAGGTAAAAGCACAAACAAATAGTTAAAAGAAAGATGTCAGGGAACTGCCATCGGCTCAGGGGCGAGAGGGGAAAAGCCGGATGGATTACAGAGAGCCCCCAAAGATCGTGGGAAGCAGCTCCTCCTCAGCAGAGGAGAGTAACCACGCCTCTAGTGGAGAGGAGATGCAGGGCTCGGAGGAGGCGAGGCGGTGCCAGGACACCTTGCCTGAGCAAAGCGGGGAGGAGAGAGGTCCTCCGTTACCCACGCCTTCCTTACTCAGTAGGCTTCTGCGCCGAGAGGGGAGGCGCAGACTGGGCGTCAAGAAACTACTCTGCTGGGGAAGGTTTAAGCGCCACCCACTCTCAGATTCTGCCAGTGAATGAGCCAGCCACGGAATAGTGGCGCTCTTCATGGTGAAGGGTTTTTGGCACCAATAACGAGGCCTTACAGCCGACCAGGGAGGCATTTGCCTGATTGCTCTCGAGTAACCCCGATATCCTTACAGCAGACAACAAAACAATACCCCCATCACACAAACACATTTAAAAGGCTGCAGAATATTAAGGCCTGGTTGAAGAGAAACGTTTTTGCCTGGCAACTAATGATATGTAATGAAGGCACCAGGAGAGCCGCCCTGGGGAGAGCATCCCACAGATGGGGAGCCACTGCAGAAAAGGCCTGATCTCGTGTTGCCACCCTCTGAGCCTCTCACGGAAGAGGCACACAAAGAAGGGCCTCGGAGGATGAACGCAGAATTCGGGTTTGTCGCATAACGCCATTTTATTTATTTTATTTTACTTGACAAAATTTTATATAACGCCTGATTGTAAGAGAACCTCTAAGTGGTTTACAAAAATAGAAAGCAAAACATTAGAATTATCAATAAGAACCAGGTATTTAAAAACATTCAAAAATGTTTAAAAGTGCATGAATGGCAGCAAGATTAGCATCTGCTGAAAAACCCTATTTTATAGAATTCTAAGCCTTTGGAAAACAGCTTTTTTCAGCTGCTTCATAGGACCTTTAAATGACCTGATCCAGTGGCAAACAACCCAGCATCTTGTACTACAATACAAACTTATCAAGCCCACGATTTTGTATCATGCAGAACGCAAGGAATCATAACTGTGTAATTTTTGTTATGCCTTCTTCAGTAGCCTCTCATGGCCACCTATCATAAATATCCATCAGAAAGCACTTTTAGACTGCTTTGCCATCATATTCCCGGTTTGATGAACAGCAAAGTATAAAACTGTTTTGCAGATTTCACAAGGGCAATTCACATACAGTGGACGCTTGGGCTGTGAACGTGATCCGTGCGGGATGCATGTTTGCAACCCGCAGCGGCGTGTCTGCACATGCGTGGGTTGTGATTCGGCGCTTCTGCACATGCGCAAAGCGCGATTTAGCGCTTCTGCACATGCACGGCCGCTGAAACCCGGAAGTAACCCGTTCCGGTACTTCCGGGTTTCGGCGCGTCCGTAACCTGAAAAAATGCAACCTGAAGCGTCTGTAACCTGAGGTATGACTGTATTGAGAAAACTAGCATTTGAATCCAGAAAAAAAACCATTCCCCTTCATACAATTCCTTTCTGTTTGGAAATTCTTTTGCCAATTACCTGTGCAAAACTAGCCAATAAGTGGCAAGGAAACAAGTACAGTGGTACCTCGAGTTACAAACACCTCAGGTTACAAACTCTGCTAACCTGGAAGAGTTACCTCGAGTTGAGAATTTTGCCCCAGAATGAGAACGGAAATTGTGTGCCGGCAGCGCAGCAGCAGCAAGAGGCCCCATTAGCGAAAGCACGCCTCTAGTTAAGAACAGTTTCAGGCGAAGAACGGACCTCCGGAACGAATTAAGTTCGTAACTAGAGGTACCACTGTACAGGAGAGAAATCCTAAGCAAGGGAGTGAAACAGAAGAAGATGGAGACAGACGAGCAAGACAGACACGTGTACCAACCTGATCTGCTAGCGCTGGTTTTTTGGAGTATATCCGATGGAGAGCGCCGTGTGCAATCACGCAGTATGGACACTTGTTAACAATACTCGTGGCCACAATAATGAGCTCTTTGTCAGCCTTGCTTAGGCTTCCTATAGAAGAAGAGACATGCAGAAGGTCATATTTCTAGAGCGGCAGTGGCATTGAGTCACTTAACCAACATGCACCAATACCACCATATAGAGATAAGATAGACTGGACTCCCAAATAATAAGGGTTGGAAGATGTCCAAATGCTATCAGTTAGAAGCAGCAGCAGGTATATTGAAAAAAAGCTCTGGATGGCTCAGTTGGAATGAAGGAATGGGTTTCCCAAATTTAAAACCTGACTGTGCAGTCAGTCTGAAACGGGCCCCCAAATCCCCATTTTTCCTTCTCCATTAGCTAAAATCCATTAACTTGAGCACTTGAGCCAATATACAATGAACCCAGCTGTATAAACAGCCCTCTCAGTCAGGTTTTAGATTTGGGAAACCCATTCCTTCAGGAACAGCATGGAACTCTTAATATCAAGGTCATGGGTTACAAAACACATAAAAATAAAAACAAGAACCACCCAATAATCCCTCCTGCCCCCAACGCATTTAAAAGAGCATTGACTGTCAATCAGTCAAAGGCCTGGTTAAAGAAGAACGTTTTCGCCTGGTGCCTAAAGGTGTATTATTTAGTTGCCTGCCGAACCCCCTGGAAATAAACAACAACAACAACAACAATAGTAGTAGTTTATTTCTACCTTGCCCATCTGGCTGGGTTTCCCCAGCCACTGTTCCAACAGAAGGTTAAAAATACATTAAAACATCCATCATTAAAAACTTCCCTAAACAGGGCTGCCTTCAGATGTCTTCCAAATGTCATATAGTTGTTTATTTCTTTGACATCGGATGAGAGGGTGTTACACAGGGCGGGCGCCACTACCAAGAAGGGAAGAGCATTCCACAAACAGGGAGCCACCGCAGAAAAGGCCCATTCTCAGTTTGCAACCCTCCATATCTCTCATGGAGGCGGCACATGAAGAAGCGCCTCAGAATATGATCTCAAGGTCTGGGTAGATTCATTAGGAGAGAGGCCTTAAAGAATCTTGGAACCGGTGGAAATTATTATTGCCTGGTACTTATTTCTGTTGACAGAACCAAGGAAGGCCTGTAGCATGAGTGCTCATCTTACCCATAGGTAACCCTAGAGGAATTCAACAACAGTCACGTTAAGATAGACCAAGTCTGGTTTCTGTTCTTACCTGTCTCCTTGTTCATGATGGCATTGTAATAAGCAAAGAATGCTCTAAATTCTGCCGGTCGGTGAGACATAACCTTAAACACGTTGGGCAAAAACCCAGTCTGTTGGAAGAATTAAGAATAAAACACCAGTCAATCACCTTAAAATAGTTAAGAGAAGATGCTGATACAGTTTTCTTCTTCTATTATTATTATTATTATTATTATTATTATTATTATTATTATTTCAATTTAGATACTACCCTTTATCAGAAAATCCCAGGGCGGTGTACAACGTTAAAAACACTTTACAGAACATCAATAATAAAAGCGTAATAAAAACATGACAGAGAGCCTAACAGTAAAATAATCATCCTAATAACATTCCACTCCCCCACACTTTCACGGGTCAGTTCCTAGAAAATGGCAAGCCTCCCTTTCTTAATCCTCCTAGCAGTGCGGGAGGAAGTGGCAGAGAACATGTTTTGCACTCGGGTCTCAGCTTATCAATCCTTGGCTTCTCCACTTAAAAGGTTCAGGGAAGCAGGGACTAGGAAAGACCCTCTCCTCTGCCTAAAACCCTGGGTAAAAAGGGGACCTCTGACCATTAGGTCCAGTCGTGACCGACTCTGGGGTCGCGGCGCTCATCTCGCTTGATTGGCCGAGGGAGCCGGTGTACAGCTTCCGGGTCATGTGGCCAGCATGACTAAGCCGCTTCTGGCGAACCAGAGCAGCACACGGAAATGCTGTTTACCTTCCCGCTGGAGCGGTACCTATTTATCTACTTTCACTTTTTAGGTGCTTTCGAACTGCTAGGTTGGCAGGAGCAGGGACCGAGCAACGGGAGCTCACGCTGTCACAGGTATTCAAACTGCCGACCTTCTGATTGGCAAGTCCTAGGCTCTGTAGTTTAACCCACAGTGCCACCCGCGTCCCCCTAAAACCCTGGGTAACTGCTACCTATTACAGTAGACCATATTGGACAAGAAATACAAATCGGCAGAGCTGGGATAAAGGTAAAGGACCCCTGGACGGTTAAGTCCAGTCAAAGGCGACTATGGGGTTGCGGCGCTCATATCGCTCTCAGGCTGAGGGAGCCAGTGTTTGTCCACAGACAGCTTTCCGGGTCATGTGGCCAGCATGACTGAACCACTTCTGGTGCAACGGAACACCGTGATGGATACCAGAGTGCACGGAAATGCTATTGACCTTCCTGCCACAGTGGTGCCTATTTATCTACTTGCACTGGTGTGCTTTCGAGTTGCTAGGTTGGCAGGAGCTGGGAAAGAACAACGGGAGCTCACCCCGTCGTGGGGATTTGAACCGCTGACCTTCTGATTGGCAAGCCCAAGAAGCTCAGTGGTTTAGACCACAGCGCCACTATTGAACACATCATAGGCCACTTGTAAGAGAACAAGGGTGTGTTTAGCGGTATCACTTGGCGATGTCTTAATGTACCACCAAGAAGTGCTGATGGGGCAGAGGACTGGACCTTTGAATTCTTCCTCAAGTTTAAATACAGCCCTTTCAAAGCTAGGATGTCAGATAGGAGTCTTCTCCCTAACACACTACAGTGGTACCTCGGGTTACATACGCTTCAGGTTACATACACTTCAGGTTACAGACTCCGCTAACCCAGAAATAGTGCTTCAGGTTAAGAACTTTGCTTCAGGATAAGAACAGAAATCGTGCTCTGGCAGCGCGGCGGCAGCAGGAGGCCCCATTAGCTAAAGTGGTGCTTCAGGTTAAGAACAGTTTCAGGTTAAGAACGGACCTCTGGAATGAATTAAGTACTTAACCCGAAGTACCACTGTACATGGTACACCCACCTCCCCTAAAACGACCCTTGAGGTAGGTTAAGAGGCTGCGACTGGCCCAAGGTCACCAAATGAGCCGCATGACCGAGAGGGGATTTGAACCTTGATCTCCCAGGTCCTAGTCTGACACTAACCACTACACCACACTGCCTTTCTAGAGTACTTCTGCTATGGGCAAGCTACTTAAATTCAGTAGTTAAAAAAATATGAGGAAAGCAAAATGCCACTTATAGACAAGCATCTGAAATATTTTCCTCGAACCTTGAATTTGTTTTATTCTGGATTGTTTTATTTGGTATTTTAATGTGTTGTAAACTGCTTTGAGATTTTTTCTTTAAAAGGTAAAGCAGTATAGAAATGAAAAATAGTAATAAATAATAATAATAATAATAACAATAACAATAACAATAATAATAATAATAATAATAATAATATTTTATTATTTATACCCCATCCATCTGGCTGGGTTTCCTCAGCCACTCTAATAATAAAGTGCCTTGCAAAAAAAGGGGGGGAAGCGCCTACACATTTCATTTTGGCGACCATAACCTAGGTTTAAGGTGCCATTTGGCGATCAGCTTATATATTTGAGTTTCTAACACTGTTTCTAGTCAAAGATAAATCACACAGCTCAGTAACTTCTAATATGAAGGTCATATCACCTTGTGTGCCAAATCAAGACAATCTGGTTTTTGGTTCTCCCTCCCTCCAAAATCCAGCCATTCATTAAAATCTGGCTTTAAGATAGTTCCAAGTTTCTTTGGTCCGTATAGTTAAAGCTATGGTTTTCCCAGTCGTGATGTATGGAAGTGAGAGCTGGACCATAAAGAAGGTTGATTGCCGAAGAATTGATGCTTTTGAATTATGGTGCTGGAGGAGCCTCTTGAGAGTCCCATGGACTGCAAGAAGATCAAACCTCTCCATTCTTAAGGAAAGCAGCCCTGAGTGCTCACTGGAAGGACAGATCATGAAGCTGAGGCTCCAATACTTTGGCCACCTCATGAGAAGAGAAGACTCCCTGGGAAAGACCCTGATGTTGGGAGAGATGGAGGGCACAAGGAGAAGGGGACGACAGAGGACGAGATGGTTGGACAGTGTTCTTGAAGCTACCAGCATGAGTTTGACCAAACTGCGGGAGGCAGTGGAAGACAGGAGTGCCTGGCATGCTCTGGTCCAGGGGGTCACGAAGAGGCGGACACGACTGAACAACAAGTTTCTTTGAAAGGACAAGATTCCACCTTCCCCAGCAGATTTCCCCCTTACCTTTACTTCCACTTCCTCCATGAGCTCTACTATATCATAGGGCAAATCCTTCTTGTTGGGTACTGGATAGCGCCCGGACGGTTTGCGGGCACTCCCTCCCTCTGTGCTGTACACATGGTTCTGAGGTGCAGAGTGTTGAGGAGTTTTCGGGGAAGACGCCAAACCGCGAGGCAGAAGCTAGAAATACAGAAATAAAGGGAAATCTTCTGTTTAACAAAGCGCAGCATCATAATGTTGGCTTCATCGGTGTAGAAAACAAACCCAAATTGTAAACCCACTAGCATGGGGATGGGGGAACCTACAACCTTCCAGATGTTTCTGGATCCCATCCCATCATCCCTGACCATCATCAACCGTCTGTGGAGTTGATGGGGCTGGAATCTAACAACATCTGGAGGGCTGCTGGTTCCCCATCTAGCAGTTCCATGTGATTCTAGAATAGCTCAATCTCTCTGCTGTTTGGCACCACTGCAGGGCTAGGATGCAAAAAAGGCTAGGATCCAATGCAGTGGGGTTTTTAAAGGAAATCAACACGGTAAAGGTAAAGGACCCTAGGAGGTTAAGTCCAGTCAAAGGTGACTATGGGGTTTCATCTCGCTTTCAGGCCGAGGGAGCTGGCGTTTGTCCACAGACAGCTTTCCGGGTCATGTGGCCAGCATGACTAAACCACTTCTGGCACATCGAAGACATCGTGACGGAAGCCAGAGCGCATGGAAATGCCATTTAACTTGCCGCCGCAGTGGTACCTATTTATCTACTTGCACTGGTGTGCTTTCGAACTGCTAGGTTGGCAGGAGCTGGGACAGAGCAACGGGAGCTCACTCCGTCGCGGGGATTCGAACTGCCGACCTTCCGATTGGCAAGCCCAAGAGGCTTGGTGGTTTAGACCACAGCACCACCAGTGTCCCTACAACGCTTGAAGAGGAGAGCTTCAAGCAGTGCTGAAGCTGAGTGACTTTTTAAAAGCAAATACTGTAACTGTTTGCCAGAGGACAAAGCCACTGGCCGAATGCAGAACAACTTGCATGGTTCTATGACTCCTGGCACAGATATATAAATCTGAGTGTCTTCAATTTCCCAGGGCTCACATGCCTCAGTGTTTGGGGCTCCAATATCCTGGGTTTTTGGGTTAACTGCCCATCATCTCCTAAGCACTCTCTCCCATTACGCTTCTTCCAGCCTTCTGGACTCATGCTCTTCTCTTCTCATTGTTGTGGAGGGCAGGGATAGCCAATAGCTCAGTTGGTTAGAGCATGGTGCTGATAACACCAAGGTTGCAGGTTTGATCCCTGTATGGGACAGCTGCATATTTCTGCATTGCAAGATGATGGACTAGCATACCCTCCAACATTTCTCTGATGAAAATAAGGACATCCCATTCCATAATGATAATTTTACTATTTATACCCCACACATCTGACTGGGTTGCCCTAGCCACTCTGGGCTGCTTCCAGCATATACAAAAATATAATCAAACATTTTAAAAACTTCCCTATGCAGGATTGCCTTGCGGGCCGGATAACTCCATACCCGCCAACATTTCTCCAATGAAAAGAAGGACATCCTAAGGAAAAGTGGGACATTCTGGGATCAAATCAGAAACCAAGACGGCTTCTCTTAATCAGGGACACCCCTGGAAAATAGGGACACTTTGAGGGTCTGCAGTATCAATTAGAGGCAAGAAACTGAGCTTAGTCTTTCTGCTGGGGAAGGCTTAGGGGCTGACCTTTCAGAATACTGGATTAGGTGGGAGCTTTAGTCTGATTCTGCAGGGCTGCTCTTAAAATTCCTACATTCTAACACATTCCAGCTCCAGGCTTCTGTGAATGGAATGTGAGGCTGATTTATTGGTTCAGCAAGTAATCTCAAGATGGTAAGAAATATGATATGGATAGCTCAGTTGGCTAGCGCATGGCACTGATAATGCCAAGGTTGCAGGTTCGAACCCTGTAGGATATCTGCATATTCCTGCATTGCAGGGGGTTGGACTAGATGGTCCACAGAGTCCCTTCCAACACTACAATTCTATGATTCAATGTGGTGCCTTCCATATTTTATGGACTACAATTCGCATCATCCTTGAATATTGGCCAAGCTGGCTGAGGCTGATGAGCGTTGGAAACCCCCCATGTTGACCAACGCCGTCTCTTAACAGCAGAAGTAAGAAGGCTTGCCAAACATTTTCCTACTTTAGAGCTCTTAAAATTAAAAGGTCTAGCGTGCATTCACAAGAGAGGGAAATCAGCTAAGCTTTAAAGTCAATTTGCATAGGCAGTAAAATTTGCTTGTGCTTTTCCAAATCGTATTTCTATTCTCGTGGGCTTTTTGCTTTCCTCTGGGCAAATGATGTTTTCGAGACACTGTGTTCTTATTTTTAAAAGCAAACAGACCTATTGTTCTAATCAAACATGGTTGCTGCCTTTCCTAAAAGCACCAAGCGCTTGGGAGGCAGCATACAGTGTTGCTATAGAACAATGGATTGACTGTTATGACTAATAGCTTTTAAAAAGAAGAACGGTATCACCAAATTCGAAATAAGACCTCAAGTGTGAACGTGCAGAATCGGGGGAAGGATTTATTTGTTGGGCCGTAGATGGGGATGGGCAAATCTGGCCCTCCAAATATTGTTCAACTCCATCTCCTATCTGCCTCAGTCAGCATGGGCACAGGTCAGAGATTAAAGGAACTGGTCCAACAGTATTTGCATGGCCCCAGGTTCCTGATCTTTGGCATAAAGCAATGAAATAAGCTGTTCACAGTGTGAAAAAATACCAGCCATTCTTTTGCAATGAAACAAATACTTGTGCAATTAAGAGACACACAGAGGAATAAGCCATTTCACTTAGACTAGCAAAGGCAGAACTCGTCTTTCTGTTGAAATCTCCTTGCATGGTTTGTTAGTCAAACAACACCCAGTTAGCGAAGTTTCTTCAGTCATCTCTTTCTTCCTGACCATAACAGAAAGTCCGCTTCTGAATGTCAGTGTTATCAGGATGACCCCGGGTTAGAGTTTCACCAGTGGGTCTACATAATTAAGCCTTTAACAACCAGGTTGTTTGGGGAATATCTGAGGCAGTTTGTTGAAAAGTGCATATAAAATGCAACCCCAACATAAAGGTAAAGGGACCCCTGACCATTAGGTCCAGTCATGGCTGACTCTGGGGTTGCGGCACTCATTTCGCTTTATTGGCCAAGGGAGCTGGCGTTTGTCCACAGACACCTTCCGAGTCATGTGGCCAGCATGACTAAGCCACTTCTTGCGAACCAGAGCAGCGCACGGAAACGCCGTTTACCTTCCTGCCGGAGTGGTACCTATTTATCTACTTGCACTTTGACATGCTTTCGAACTGCTAGGTTGGCAGGAGCAGGGACCGAGCAACGGGAGCTCACCCCGTCGCGGGGATTCGAACCGCCGACCTTCTGATCGGCAAGTCCTAGGCTCTGTGGTTTAACCCACAGCACCACCCATGTCCCTAACCCCAACATAAAGCAATGCAAAACATTATATATTTCAAAAAGCAGGATTTTTTTTTACTTTGCGGGGATTGCATTTATGTATTTCTAACCAAAAACTGCTAGAAGCTCTTGGAACGTCTAACAACAGCAGCACCACCCTCTCTCTCACACACCCCTGCCTTACACATAAACTTTTCCAAGCATGAAAAGAGAAATTGGTTAAGTAACAGAGGGGTCACTGGGGCAGCTTCTCTTTGCTGGACTGCATTCCAAAAAAGTGACCCCGTGAGTTCATTTAAAAAGCTACCCTGCCAGTGTCAGTGCAAACAAAGTCTTATCATTAATACCCTCATATTGGAGGTGTGGGGCTATGGCTACGCCAGTCCTGCAAAGTATAGAACCACAGAATTGCAGAGCTGGAAGGGACCTTAAGAATCATCTAGTCCACCCCCTGCAATGCAAGACTACACAGCCGTTTCATACAGGGCTTGAACCTGCAACCTTGGCCTTATCAGCACCAAGCTCTAACCAACTGAGCTATGCAGGCTCCACAATTCAAATGCTATAACCATTTTGCTGGGTGGAATTACGAGCCGCGTGTGCAAACTTTGAAGTGCTATCCTTGCTTTAAAAAAATTGAAAATGTTTCTGGAGGGGGGAGGGGCTTCTGTGCACCTGGTTGTAGCAAGAATGAAATTAATTAAGAGTTAGAGGGGGGCCAAGGGATTCAAGGAAAGAACAGAGGTTTCCAGCACTTAAAGCACATTCAAAGCACACGGTTGCCCCCAAAGTGGAATCCTGGGAACTGAGGTTTGTCAAGGATGCTGGGAACTGTAGCATCATTTTCTTTAAAGTAGTTTTGGAGAGTTGTTGGAAGGCTCTCTAATTCAGGCATAGGCAAACTCAGCCCTTCAGATGTTTTGGGACTACAACTCCCATCACCCCAGACCACTGGTCCTGTTAGCTAGGGATGATGGGAGTTGTAGTCCCAAAACATCTGGAGGGCCAAGTTTGCCTATGCCTGCTCTAATTTATTTGTGGTTAGGATGGGACTAAAGGACCATGATGGGGTGGTTTGTGTTTCTTCTCCTGTTTTAAGGGTAACTGCTACTGGAGCTTTTTAATGATTTTAATGTTACCTGTGTTCGTTGATTCAACCAAGGGAATCAGACCTTACACGAACAGAATGCTATTTAGTCTGGACAATGTGCCCTGGCGCCAGGACTGCAATGTGTGGCTGGTGTCTCCCGGGTTAAACGTTATAGAGACCCCTGTTTTTTTTTTAGTATTTTAGCAATTTGTAAGGGGTTGGGGGGCTGGAGCTACATGACCCTCGGGATTCCTTCCAACTCTACCATTCTATGACCGGTCGCCTCCCCTTGCCTCCTGGGCGCGCCGGCCCTGCCTACCCAGAGCGCAAACGCGCAACCTGAGCCGCGCGTAAAGACGCAGGAAGCTGCGCCAAGGGGAAGCGCCCCCTTCTGGAGCGCTGCCCGCTTCCCGGACGCACATGTCCCGCCAGGACATCCCAGCCCAGCCGGGCTGCCTTTTGCGCTGGGCTCGGGGATACTCACGCCCAGGGAGCCCCGACTGCGGAGCTGCAGGAGCCTGGAACCCAGGAGGAGCCGCCTCGCCATCATGGTGCCGCGATCCGGCTGCTGCGCGATTTGGGAAGGGCCGAAGGACGAGCAGGCGCGGCTCGGCGCCTCCTCCTTTATACCCAAGCGCTCCTCCGGAGGCGAGAGCATGCGCGCATGGCCGGAAAGGCCTCTCTTAGCCGGCCCCACCCCCCAAGCCACCGCCCCCCATGTCGACGCGGGACCCTACTTCCCAACGATGGAGAACTTAGTTGGGTTTCCTCGCGCGCTCCCATGCGTGTGTGCCTTTCAGTGGGGTGGACTAGATGTCCCTTGGGGGACCCTTCCAATTTTATGATTGTGTCTGTGTGTCACATTGCACCTTCCGAGAGCGAATGGCAAATGTGGCCAGGTGCTATTCCAGAAAAACCCATCTTTTGTCGTTGGGTTCGCAGCCTCCTTGCAGCCAAAAAGCCTTTATTGCAAGGTCTGCCATGAGAGTCACGCGCCCCCGGCTTCTTTAATTGCACAAAACAGACACTTGACATTGTTCTTTTTGCAATCGAGCATTGTGCAAATTTTATGAAATAAATAAAATAGCCAGGTTTCCCACAGTAGGCTTTTATTTACAGCCCGACCTGGAGATGTCGAGGAGTTTTCTTCATGCAAAAGGATGGGAGCTACCACTGAATTGCAGCCCTTAAAACATCAACTTCCACCCTGCCGCAAATAACTACTGCTTGCTCTGGGTCTGCATTGCCGAAGGGGAACTTTTTCTGGCCGGCAGCCGGAGGACTGAGGATTGTCGGGTTTCTGTGGGCTTTTGAGTTTATGCGTGTGGTTTTTCAAAATTACAATCTGCTTTTGAAAGGCGTGGTAAAAATCTTCCAGGAAACTGTTTTAAAGATGCTATCAGTATCATGTCTCCGGCTCCTGGGTAAGCAGTGAAGGAAACCAGCGGCTCAAGCGTTTAGCGTTAAGCACCAGAAATCAAAATATAAAATGGCTTTTCTTCCAAATCAAGTGATAACGCTTTTTGAAACACACAAACGCTGCCTCGTCCCAAATATCACCGTAACTGGGATAGCTCAGTCGGTAAAGCATGAGACTCTTAATCTCAAAGTCCCATATTGGGCAAAAATATTTCTGCATTGCACGGGGTTGGACTAGATGACCCTAGGGTCCCTTCCAACTCTTATCATGCTATGAATCAGAGCCGTCCAGTTAAGTAAACTACAACCCCCAGAATGCACCTTGACTGGATTGTGACGTTAGAGGGAAGTCTCGCACAGTGATACCGCATCACATGTTCAAAGCGATCTGCACGTTCTCAAGGAAACAGCTCCCACCTGGGCGCTTTTAACTGCCCTATTTCTGCAATCAGATTGACTCCGAAGCAGAGAAGAGGAGCCTGTTCAGCATCTTGTTATTTAGTCTCCGAGGCAGGTGAGTTGCAAACGTCCAGCAATTGCCGACCATTAAATGGCAGTAACTGCTTCAGCTGATTTGGGCGTTGGTTGCGCCCGCATGAGAGCTAAATGAGTTTGGAGTGAAGTCGGTTTTATTTTACATTTAAGTCTTTCGCTTGATCAAACGCTGGCCCCTTTTTTTGTTGCAATGCTAATTAAGGCATCCTAGCTGATTGGATCCCATTATGTAGAAACAGCCCCTTTTAAGACGTTATATAGTGGGAAGGAAAGGAGGAGTCGTGTACCCCTGATCCCCTTGTGTTTATTGTAACGTCTGAAAGAGCCCCTGCGGGTGCAAGTGGACATGCTTCGTTTGGGAAAGCATGTGGCCAGAGAGGGATGCAGCTGGGAGGCTTGTGGGCTGGCAGAGGAGAGTGACCTTGTGCCATTCACATATTTGCGAGGGGTTTGTTGTGTGTTAAAACACGACAAACGACCTCTCTTGTGTGAATGTGCGCAGAGACCAGCCGCATGTGCTTCTCCCCGTCCATATTTTTATGCTCATTATGATCACTGTAAAGGTAAAGGGACCCCTGACCATTAGGTCCAGTCACGGACGACTCTGGGGTTGCGGCGCTCATCTCGCTTTACTGGCCGAGGGAGCTGGTGTACAGCTTCCGGGTCATGTGGCCAGCATGACAAAGCCGCTTCTGGTGAGCCAGAGCAGCGCAAGGAAACGCCGTTTACCTTTCCGCCAGAGCGGTACCTATTTATCTACTTGCACTGGCATGCTTTCGAACTGCTAGGTTGGCAGGAGCAGGGACTGAGCAATGGGAACTCACCCCGTCGCGGGGATTCGAACCGCCGACCTTCTGATCGGCAAGCCCTAGGCTCTGCGGTTTAACCCGCAGTGCCACCCACGTCCCTTATGATCACTGTAGCAGACATATAAAGCACGGACAAAAATGCAAATCTAGTGCTGCATTGGCAGCAGTCTAGAGGGCCGATTTCTGTCAGATCAAGTTAAAATCTGTGTTTCAGCGTATTAACATCTTCTACATTTGTCTCTGCATAGCTCCCCAAATTGACCTGCAAGGACATAGCAAAAATGACGACGTGCCCTGAGTATGCAAGCGAGATGAGCGCTTGTGGAGACCAGCAGGATCAGTGTGAGAAGCATGAGGTTGTTTTCCGGGAAAGTGGCGATGGGGAAAACCTCTGGGACACCTTTGGGCTTCTGCAGATTGACGTGGGATGTGAAAGCCCCAGGGACCAGTTGGCAGAAAACAAGAATTGGTGTTCGGTATGTACAGTGCAAACGGCAGACCTGTATTTTGAAATGAGTCCGTAACGCTGTGGGGCCACAATAATCCACACAAACAGCAGCTGCTGCCAATATCATCATCATCAATCTTTATTACGGTCCAGAGACCCAACAAATCATTACAAAGCAATACACAATTTATACAGCCTACCTCCAGGTTAAACAAGCATTTTGTTCAGAATATAGGGATCATTTGTTCTTGCAACCACGATAAAAACTTTGCCACTGCTAATGTTCTAGCATTTGTCCGATCTTCCAGTAGGAACCTGACATAGTGAGCCTCTGATTTTCCCGGGAAAGGTACCAGCAAGGGTAGTATCAGTTCAGCCCTGGCTTGCTCATATTTTGCACAATGCAACAAAATATGTTTTATGGAATTGATGTCTTGAGCACATGAGCAAAGTCTGTTCTGGTAGGGAAATATATATACAGCCAATATAAATCCAGCCACATGGTTTGAGAGTCTAAGCATTGATGATTGCCAATTTCTTTTTCAAACAAGGGTGATATTTTGCTTTCAGAAAGTCTGAAAGGTCGGCAACGTTGTCTCGGCCTTCTGACTTCCTCACTTGCGAGGCAAGACGCATGACACTCTTTAATCCATTTGTTAGCCACACTTGTTAAGGCAGAGGGCAAGGGTAGTGTAGTGTAGTGGTTAGAGTGTAGCGCTAGAACTGAGGAGACCAAGGTGCAAAGCTCCATTCAGCCATCAAGGTCCTTGCATGACCTTGAGGCAGTCCCTGCCTCTCAGCCAAGCCTACTTTACAGGGTGGTTGTGAGAATGAAATGAAGGACAGGAGAAGAAAATATTGGATATAAACATAGTGGAGGTGGCAGCCACAACTGTACAGTGGTACCTCGCAAGACGAATGCCTCGCAAGACGAAAAACGCGCAAGACGAAAGAGTTTTCCGTTTTTTGAGTCGTTCCGCAAGACGAATTTCCCTATGGGCTTGCTTCGCAAGACTGCAAGTTCTTGTGAGTTTGTTTCCTTTTTCTTTAAGCCGCTAAGCCGTTAATAGCCGCTAAGCCGTTAATAGCCGTTAAGCTGCTAATAGCCGCTAAGCCGCTAATAGCCGTGCTTCGCAAGACGAAAAAACCGCAAGACAAAGAGACTCGCGGAACGGATTAATTTCGTCTTGCGAGGCACCACTGTAGTAGTTAGCCCCTTTCTTCCCAGTGTGAACTGCAGTTGGTGGCCTTGCATAGTTTCCCCTTTATGCTTCTCAGCTGTTGACTCCTTTGTGTGTGAGCCAAGTTGGCGTGAAATGAGGGCAACTGGTGAATAGATTGTAAAAATGATATTATCCTAGCAGAATTGAATGATACTTGTGCATAATAAACAAATGGAATAAATATCTCAGAGGAATATATAGAAAAAGTTATAAAACAAACTCTGCGATAAAACCAAGACAAGATAAAAAGTACAATGAGAACGATTGGAAGTTTATTACAGGAGACTTTATTGGATAAGCTATGGTGCCATATAAATAATTGGCTTTTTAACTGATATTCTTTTGTTATTGTTAATTCCTTTTTTATTTTTATTGTCTTTATCTTTTTTCTCTTTTTCCATTTTCGTGTATAACTCTGTTGTAATCATTTGTAATGTACGACTTTATCTGTAATGCAAGACGGTATTTTAAATCAATAAAGACGATAAAAAAAAAGAGAGGGTAACTGGTGAATAAGGAGGAATTCAGAATTCCTGTTGTTGCCTGCAGTGTGGAGGTGGATATTAAAGAGCCCAATGGCTTGTATATGCACTTCACTTCTCTCTACCTGTGTAAGTACAGATCTTTTAAAAGTGGTGTAACACACAGGATATCGGGATGCGGGTGGCGCTGTGGGTAAAACCTCAGCGCCTAGGACTTGCCGATCGTGTGGTCGGCGGTTCGAATCCCTGCGGCGGGGTAAGCTCCCGTCGTTCGGTCCCAGCTCCTGCCCACCTAGCAGTTCAAAAGCACTCTTAAGTGCAAGTAGATAAATAGGTACCGCTTTATAGCGGGAAGGTAAACGGCGTTTCCGTGTGCTGCGCTGGTGCTGGCTCGCCAGAGCAGCTTCGTCACGCTGGCCACGTGACCCGGAAGTGTCTCCGGACAGCGCTGGCCCCCAGCCTCTTAAGTGAGATGGGCGCACAACCCTAGAGTCGGACACGACTGGCCCGTACGGGCAGGGGTACCTTTACCTTAACACACAGGATACCTGCATTGCAAAACTCGATGACTCTTGTCGCCCATTCCAACTCTATAGTTCTATGATTCTTTGTGTCCAAATGTAAACATGATTACATCTAAGTTAAGACTAGGGCTGCAAGCCTTGACGCAAGGAGAACAGGCAAGGTCAATCAAGTATCTCACCAGATAATGTGCACCAATGGAGCTGTGTATGTTTAGGAGGGGAAAGTTTGGGAGCTTTTAAAAGCACGTACACCATTTTGAATTCCGACAAGACAGTTGTGTTGATGAATGCTCCCCTGAGTAATTTTAGACTTTTTCCTGTTTTCTGTACACTAAGAGAAACGTTTTAAGGAAGCAGAGGCACTGGGAGAAGATAATTTCGGCAAAAAAGAGCAAAAGGAAATACGAGCGAGAACGGCGCAAAGCTAAGCACGTAGAAGGAAAAGGTACAAGCAAAATTGCATTTTTTCTCTCCACATCTCTTAAGACCATAGTATGGGGAGCCATGGGGTTTGGTCACAGCTGATCACAGGCCCTTCGTGAAGTGGGACAAGCCTCCCCAAAAGACAGGAGCAGAACATCTGCTTTGCACTCAGAAGGTTCCGAGTTCAAATCCTGACATCTCGAGGTAGGACTGTTAAAGGCTGCCTAAAACCCTTGCGAGCTACTGCCAGTCAGTGTGGGCAGCCTGAGCCAGTGTAAGACAGCTTCCTATGTTCCTGCTAACATTAGCCTTCTCCTGCAATGTGCAGCTGCAAGAGAGTGCTGTTTGTTTTAGGGCACACTTTCCGTTCCTGCAGGGTAATGTTGAGGCTTTACAGGCCTGGCTGCTATTCTGCATGAGCTGAGTTTACACGCCAGAAGATGCTCCACCATCTTTTGCAACGTTCTGGGGAGCTGGGTTTGTTGGCAGAAAACATCAAATGTGGAAATGCTTCTCTGAAGCTAACAGGCATGAGAACCACTGTCTTCAAATGGTGCTTGATTTAGAGGCGCTGATTTATTCTCTTAAAAACATCTTCCATGGGACTTTTACTCAGAAATCCGTTTATTTTAAGACTCTCTGTGTACATAGATAGTTTTAGATGTGGGAGCCAAGCTTTTTAGATGTGGGATCTGAGGTTGAAGCAATCAACTTGGGATCTCTTAAGGGGCCTTGTTGGCACCCAAAACATTCAAATAAATGGAGTGCGCTTGTGTATCTTGCTCTCACATTATTCTGGTAAGATGCATAGCTACTGTTATTCTACGTATGAATATGAACCGTGATAATTCCTGCCAAACTCCACTATCAAGCTGTAAAAAAGACCTTGGTATTCAAAAGGCAGGCGAATAATCTCATTGACTTCATCAGACAGCCTCTCTGTGCAGGGAGATTTTGACCCGTGAGGACTTTCAAATAGGGCACAATCTCATCAAGGACCTTAATATTCGCCAATGCTACATCTGCACGTTTTAATTTGGCTTAGATGTGAGTGACTGGATGTTCTCTCCCCCCCCCAATACAATTCTCATATTTGCCTGGGTTTCAGATGCTGTTCCCCAGCTCAGCAAGTGGGATTTGAAAGTGATTGCCAAAGAGCGCCTTCTGGAAGCCAAGGAATCGGGCCCTCGGCTGTGTATCGATTTAAGCATGACTGCTCACATGACGAAGAAGGTAGTGGCAGTGAATCCTCTCCACCACTTTTTTTTCCATGGCTAGCTTAAGGGAACTGTGGGCCTCTGCTCTTTGGCTGAGTAGCCACTACAGTTGTACCTCTGGTTACGAACGCTTCAGGTTACGAGCTCTGCTAACCCGGAAGTAGCTGCTCCTGGTTGCGAACGTTGCCCCAGTATACGAACGAAAATCGCACACAGCGGGAGGCCCCATTAGCAGAAGCGCACCTCAGGATAAGAACGGTTTTAGCTTAAGAACGGACCTCTGGAACGAATTAAGTTCGTAACCGGAGGTACCACTGTATTGAACACATCACAGGCCATTTGTAAGAGAACAAGGGTGTGTTCAGTGACATCACTTGGCAATGTCTCGATTTACCACTGAGAAATGCTGGTGGGGCAGAGGACTGGACCTTTGAATTCCTCCTCATTTTAAAATACAATACTTTCAAAGCTCAGATGTCAGGTAAGAGTCTTCTCCCTAACACACGAGTTGTCTGTGTACAAGAGGAAGATTTATTTCTTTTCTTTTTTTCCAAATTATTTATTAGTTTTTCAGATTGTTACAAATCAAACCAAATTGCTTTAATTTAATACATTTTTTTTAAAAATCAGGTTTCCTCCTCCTGTTGCAAACACATGTCCATCATTTCCTCCTGTAGCCACCTCATCTCTTCTTTAATATCCATTTCATCCTTCACTTGTTGTTGTCCGTTCTTACAGCAAGCCATTGTTTCTTCCCCACAAACAGTTCCTCTGTTATTTCTTACAAATATAAAATCCATTTCTCATGTGTAGTGCTTCATAAACCTTGTTGTCTCAGACCTGGTGTGCTGGAAGAGTTGATTATTACTGAGGAAGATTTATTTCAACGCACAGGATCCTGCAAACATTCCTCCCGCATCTGCAGTCTGAAATAGTACAGGCCTGTAAGATGGAGGTGAAGAACCTCTGACCCACAGGCCAAATTGCATCCACCAGATCTCCCTATTTAGCCTGCTAGGCCATTTTTCTGAAACCACGCTCATTTGCCTCACACCATGACGTCTAGTGGGACACGGGTGGTGCTGTGGGTTAAACCACAGAGCCTAGGACTTTGCTGATCAGAAGGTTGGCGGTTTGAATCCCCGCGACGGGGTGAGCTCCCGTTGCTCGGTCCCAGCTCCTGCCAACCTAGCAGTTCGAAAGCAAACCAGTGCAAGTAGATAAATAGGTACCGCTCCTGTGGGAAGGTAAGCGGCATTTCCATGTGCTGCTCTGGTTTGCCAGAAGCGGCTTAGTCATGCTGGCCACATGACCCGGAAGCTGTCTGTGGACAAATGCCGGCTCCTCGGCCTATAGAGCGAGATGAGCGCCACAACCCCAGAGTCGGCCACGACTGGACCTAATGGTCAGGGGTCCCTTTACCTTTATGACGTCTAGTGTAGGGCAGAGAGCAGGCTGCAGAAAGCAGGATTGAACTCCTTGCACACCAGCTGATCTGTGGCGAGTTCAGTCCTGCTTGGACTGCTGCTGGCCTGCCTGATCCATGCACAGAAAGTACCAGAGATTCCTGTTGTTTGGTTCTAAGTTACGCAGACTGGAGACCAGTGGAGTCCTACTCAGAAGGCACTGGCGTTTACTAGGCCACTCACGGATTTTCCAGTTTTGCTTCCTTTGCTTCCTTAATTCTGGGTTAAGTGGTGAATGGGTCTGTTTTACCACGCTGGTGAGGAGGAGTAGCTAATTGAGATCAAGAGCTATGTTGAGTTTAACAGCATCCCTTACAGTGGTACCTCGGGTTACAGACGCTTCAGGTTACAGACTCCACTAACCCAGAAATACTACCTCGGGTTAAGAACTTTGCTTCAGGATGAGAACAGAAATCGTGCAGCGGCAGCAGGAGGCCCCATTAGCTAAAGTGGTGCTTCAGGTTAAGAACAGTTTCAGGTTAAGAACAGGCCTCCGGAACAAATTAAGTTCTTAACCCGAGGTACCACTGTATTTTGTACTGAGTGTATGGTGGTTGAGTCAGCCATCTTGGAAAATACACAGAGTGCTAGGGCAAAAAGGCCCGTTGCCAGTTTACCTGATCGTTTTTCTTTTCTTCCTCTCAAGGAAACAAGCCGGCTTGCTGCTCAGATAAGGCGGCTCTATGGGTCAAACAAGAAAGCTCAAGCCCCCTTCTGGATCTACCTCACAGGGTTTGTGAAAAACAGCCCAATTTACGAAGCATGCCAGAGGATGAATGATGGATTTGCCAGTTATCATGTAAGTATATCCCCCTCCTGCCTTCAAGAAATAAAGTCAGTGACTTTTTGAAGAGCAAACAAAGCCATTTCTTGCCAGAAGAACCAAGAATTTTGAGGTGATTAATCCTGGAAATGTCCTTACTTTCTAGAGTTGCTCAACGTTGAAACTGTGGATAAATGCTAATTTCATTCTCTGGATTTGTATTTGCCAGGTTCATTAAATGCTAATTTCATTTCATTATCTGGATTTGTAATTGCCATTTGCTTATTATTTAGCAGACCTTGGAAAAACAAATAACCCCAGGCTTGAATTAGGCCAGAGATGGCCTCTTGTTTCCAAAAGATGTCTGCCTTTTAAAAAATTCAATCCCATACACATGGGTTATATTGTTTTACTATTTTTCAGATGGATGTTACTCCAGAAAGTTACCTTGACCTGTTTCCTTTAGAAAGAATTGTGTACCTCACTCCAGACTCCGAGAACGGTACGGCTTTGCAGCTTCGGCATGAAAGATTTCTGTTAAAGCTTTAGATTCTTTTAAATGAAAAAGTTCTTGCCTTGGGGATTTAGGTTTCATCCTGGCCAAACTTGTCTCCAGCCTTTTGCTTGTCTTAGGTGGTAATATTCAACTCTCAAATTTGCATCTTCTTTCAGCTTCCTCTCAAACCATCAGTGTAAGGCAATGCTTTGTGATGAGAGTGCTGGACGAGCCGTCCGCATATGCCATCCTAAGCAACAAATCTTAGATTTGGTTCTTGGTCAGAACAAATGGTGGCAAATGAGAGATATCTCTGCAGCATTAAGTAGGCCTCTGTATTCTCAGATTCAGGTCTTTTTCTAAATTTGGAGTCAGGGATCAACTTCACTTTGGGGTGGGTGAAACAGATCCCATGCTCTCTACAGATGTTTTTGGCCATGCTGGCTTGAGGGGAGTTGGAGCCCTAACCACATCTGGAGCTTCCATCCCACTCTGGTGATAGTACGCAGTTCTGCCTATGTGCTCACTGCCAACAGAAATACAAGCAAACCTCTGATGCGAAGCGTGGAGAAAGTGATTATCCTGAACGGGGGTCAGCAAACGTTTTCAGCAGGGGGCTGGTCCACTGTCCCTCAGACCTTGTGGGGGGCTGGACTATATTTGGGGGGGGGGGAATGAATGAATTCCTATGCCCCACAAATAACCCAGAGATGCATTTTAAATAAAAGGACACATTCTACTCATGTAAAAACACGCTGATTCCCAGACCATCTGCAGGCTGGATTTAGAAGGTAGTTGGGCTGGATCCGGCCCCTGGGCCTTAGTTTTCCTACCCGTGATCTTGAATAATGGAATACTGAATGGTATAGTTTTTGTAAAATATGCAGGGATTCATGACATGTAAAATGAACCATGGAAAAAGAAGAAGGGAAGTCATTGATATCTTAAGGATGTAAAAGGAGTATTTTTAAATTGTACATTGGGAAATTTAATAAAAATAATATGTAAAAGAGAGAGAGGGAAAGTGATTATCTTCTGCAGCAAACTTTGCATGGACACCAGATTTCCAGAGTGCTTGTTAGCTTACTTGTGGATCAGCTTCACGTGTCTGGAATGACACATTTTTGTCTCTCTGTGTCAGTCAGTAGAGCATGAGACAATCTCAGGGTTGTGGGTTCAAACCCCAAAAGATCCCTGCATTGCAGGGGGTTAGACTAGATGGCTCTCGTGGTCCCTTCCAACTCTGATTGAAAAGTAGTGCTGTATCCACAATTGCCTGGCAGAATAGAATTTTTTTTCAGCAGGCATTTAGAAGCTGGCACAGAAGGCGCCTGCTGAATCTCTAGTTGCAGAGAGTTTTATTTTATTTTATTTTCAATTTTTTTATTGGTTTTCACAACATTATAAACAAACAAACACATAAAACAAACAAACACAAATCATAGCCTTATTAAAAATTACACTTACTAACATTGTTAAGTGACTTCCTCGCTTCCCCTTGGTTGAATTTCATTGCACGTCCTTTTAACGGTTTTCCAAATCACAGTTCTTAAAAAAAATTAACTTAAACATTAACATCCTTAGATCTTCCAATTATGAAATTAAACATGTTAATTCATCACTTAACTTAAATAAAATCCTAAGCCAATTAAGTATCTGCAAGCTGTTTTCAGTTAATTTAACGTAACATATTTAACGTAAGTTATCATTAAATTTGATCCAATCTTCCTGATACTCCTCCTCCTTCTGGTCGCGGACTCTTCCGGTTAGGTTGGCTAGCTCCGAAAAATCCATCGTCTTCATCTGCCATTCTTCTATCGTTGGTAATTCTTGGGTTTTCCACTTTTTAGCTAACAAAATACGAGCAGCAGTTGTAGTTGCAGAGAGTTTTAAGGAGAGTTTGGATGGTCATCAGTCACAGATGATTTACTTGAGATTCCTGCATTGCAGGGGGTTGGACTAAATTACCATCAGGGTCTCTTCTAGCTATACAATTCTATAATCTATGTTTCTGTTGCCATTCTAATGCTGTCATATAAATGTGTCACTGTTGTTTTTTTTGTTTACACACGTGCTCACGTTTCTTTTTTGCATTCCAGCTCTCGAGGAAGTCGACCCGCGAAAAGTGTACATCCTTGGAGGTTTGGTGGATGAAAGCATCAAAAAGGCAAGTGCGTTGCACACGATACAAGCTATGGTTTTGATGGAAACTTCTGCACGTTTTCAACTTCTAACGTTAGTCATGCTGCGGCTTAGGCCCGTGCTTCGGTATCCTCTCGTAGTAAAAAAGTTCCCGTACCTTTTCAGGCGGTTGTTGGGAAGAGGAAATTTCAGCGAGTGCTGCTTTCTTCACCTTTCCACAACACTTGCTGCTAGAAGAAAATTACTAGGGTGTCCAGATGCAACTCTGTTCCTTTTAAAACTAGTGAACGCTCTGTGGGGTGGCTGTAGCAGCTGTTGAGTCTTTGTGTATAATTTTATGAAGTTTTCTGTTTTACAATTTAAAATACTCATTTTACATCCTTAAGACATCCCTTCAATGTCAATGACATCCCCTCTTCCCTTTCCATGGTTCATTTTACATATCGTAAATCCCTGCATATTTTACAAAAAACTATGCCATTCAGTATTCCATTACAGTGGTACCTCGGGTTAAGTACTTAATTCGTTCTGGAGGTCCATACTTAACCTGAAACTGTTCTTAACCTGAAGCACCACTTTAGCTAATGGGGCCTCCTGCTGCCGCCGTGCCGCCAGAGCACGATTTTTGTTCTCATCCTGAAGCAAAGTTCTTAACCTGAAGCACTATTTCTGGGTTAACGGAGTCTGTAACCTGAAGCGTATGTAACCTGAAGCGTATGTAACCCGAGGTACCACTGTATTACATCCACCAAAACTTACTTGCGCTGCTTAATTTATCTTAATGCTGCCAGCGTTTTCAGCTGTTCAGTGGTACCTCGTTTTTTGAGTGTCTCGGAAGCTGAACGTTTCGGTTTTCAAATGCCGAAAACCCGGAAGTAAATGCTTCCGTTTTCGAACGTGCCTCAGAAGTCAAACGCCTTCTGCTGCATTTCCCCCCAATTTTCTCCATTGACTTTGCAGACCGCCCTTTGTGCTTCGGTTGTCGAATGTTTCGGAAGTTAAACGGTCTTCTGGAACAGATTACGTTTGTCAACTGAGGTACCACTGTACACAATTATTTCCCATATATTCAATAACCGTTTTTCCGTCTTCTTTAAACGTATGTTCTTATTGTTCTCAACTCAGCTGTTGAGTCTTTGGGTTGAATTGCAGCTCACTCATGGGCTCCTGGTGAGACAGTCCCCAAGGGACCATTTATGTGACTTTTCTTTTATATATATATTTACAGAGACTCACCTTCCAAAGAGCCCAGGAAGAACATCTGCAAACAGCACGGCTGCCAATCCAAGAGTACATGGTAAAGAACGTCAATGCAAAGAATTATCACTCCACAACATTGGCCATCAATCAAGGTGAGGTTGCAGTGTTTACTGGAAGTTTGTTAGAATTCCTGCTCCATGATTGCAGTCATAGGATTGTTGTCTTTCACATGACGGTATATGTTTTGACTCCACAGAGTGGGAAGGACGAAGACAGGATGTTTGTGTTACCGTGTTCCGTGAAGTGGGACTATTGTCCTTTGTTCTTTTTCTCTTTGCTGTCTGATGCTAGAGAGAGAGGGAGCCATGTTGCAGTGCTCCGTGTGTGTTTATACGTAAATAAAGTAGATTAGCCAAAATGCTGAGTTGCTGAGGTCTGTCACGCAAGGTGCGCAAACTCCCTAAGTGTGCCTGTGGCTGTTGGCATCGGTCACTGTGATGTTCGGGCAGAAGAAAGCTTATGAAGCTCCCGAACGATCGACCAGGAGGGAGGGAACATGCCAGTCAGGCATGTGTCTCTATCAGGGTCCTACTCGAGTGTAGGCTGAACTCCTGACAGGAATGCATCCCTTAGGTGATGTGTTGCCGCCAGTTTTCCAATGCAACCTGCAGCTGCTGTTTGTTCCGTTAAATGGGAGGGTATCCTAAAGTATTTCCCCCTCTTTTTGAGCTGGGACACCATAATCAATCAAATCAAATTTATTAAACGGTCACAGACCAGATTAACTCGTACAGCTAGTCAGCGAAGCATAACACCGGAAAAAACAAAGGACAATTTCAATACATAACTGCAATTTAAAATTAGACAGCATAAATAAAAAATTAAGTATTTGCCTTCGCCTGCGTAATGACATTGGAAAGCTCTTGTTTCCTGCGCCTAATAGCGGCTACACAAAATTTGGCCACATTGATCGTAATTTCAGAAACCTTATCTTCTACCAAGGCTCTCATACGTTGGAGTTCTGGTTCATTTTTAAGCTTTTGTAGAACTGGGGCAATAAAGGTCAAGCGTAGATCCTCATAGTAACTACAGTGCAGCAATACATGCAGACTTGTTTCCACTTCCGATGAGCCACACGGGCAAACACGTGACTCATATGGTTTGCCCTCATATCTGCCTAGCAGCAGGGCAGAGGGCAGAACGTTAAATCTGGCCAGGGTAAAGGAGTGTCTGTACTTAGGTATTTGTAAATCAGCCAAATAATTTGCGGGTGAGAACCCTCTCCCAAAGTCTCTAATTATGGCATGTTTATCCATTTTGCCCATATGACATTGCAGCTCTATGTCCCTAATGCGTTGGAGCACTTGACTTCTGGCTCTCTCATATCCTGCCGCTATCAAGATCTGCGGGGAGAATCCCAAGCTTCTTATCTTTTCAAACAGGGAAGCTTTCCAGGTGGAATGAAAGGTGTCTAAGAGTGTTAAAGGAGCCAAACCGGCCGGGGAAAAATAAGTTTTAACCAGTAGTGTATCTTTAGAATCCACAGCCGCGCATTAACGGGTGGTTGTCCAACTTCTAAGCGGACAGCTATATTAGATACACAGGGGGGGATCCCCAATAAACACCGATAGAATTTTGTTTGAAATGCCTCCATAGGCGCAAAATTTTTAAAACTGCAAACCTGGGATCCATAAGTAAGTTGTGGGAGTATTTTTGCAGCAAAAACCTGGGAGGCCGCCGGAACGTATTTACCCCCTTTCCCGTGAAAAAATCTTGTAAGGGCTTTATTAGCCCTTCCTGCGTTGGCAATGGCGTTTTCATCTGTTGATGCCACGAGACCCTTTCCTGAAAAGTTATTCCCAGGTATTTGAAAGTTGCTACCTGGTCAATAGGTTGACCATTAATTCTCCATTTGTGTTTCCTTCTTTTTTGAAAACACCATAATTTTAGATTTGCTGTAATTTATTGATAGTTGTTCCGCTTGACAATAGTCAGCAAGTGATCTCAAAAGCTTCCTCAGGCCAATGCAGGAAAAGGAGAGTAGGACTGCGTCGTCCGCATACAGAAGCACCGGGATGGGAATACCTGCCAGTTTGGGAGGGTGGGCATTTTCTTTCGCCATATTTACTGCTAGAGAGTTGATATAGAAATTAAATAGCGTTGGCGCGAGGACACATCCTTGTTTAACCCCATAGTGCGTTTGAATTTCTTTAGTTAGATGGCCTGACCGATCGCATCTTACCCTCACCCTGGTGTTTTCGTATAGACCACGGATAAGGCGTAATAAGCGTTTATCTATGTTTGTAGCGCCAAGCTTTTCCCAGAGTCTATCCCTTGGTATTAGATCAAACGCCGATTTAAAATCCACGAATGCTGCATATAAAGACCCCCCTTTTCTAGAATATTTGTCTGCCAGGTGTTGAAGGGTAAGGGCCTGGTCTATAGTTGAACGCTTTGCTCTAAAACCGGCTTGAGCTTCTGATAGAATATGCTCTCTTTCCATCCACTCCACTAATTTATCACATAAATGAGCAGCATACAGTTTGCTAATAATACTTAATAGACTGATTGGTCTATAGTTAGCTGGCTCAGTTCTGTTTCCTTTCTTAAATATTGGAATGATGATGGCTAAACCCCAGTCCTCGGGGATAATAGCCGCTTGATTTATACTAGTGAACAAGGCGGCTAGCACAGGGGCCCACCATTCGACATTTGCCTTAAGAATTTCTGGTGGGATATTGTCAGCACCCGGGGCTTTCCCTGATTTAAGAGCTTGAATAAGTCCAGTAATTTCTTCTATGGTTACAGGGGGCCATTCCTTACCAAATTCACTTGAAGCAGGAAGCAGAGCTGGGGCCAGTTGATTTGATGAATATAATGAGAGGAAATAGGCCTCCCATGCTCCAGCGGGTATAGAGTATTCGATTTCAATCGGGGGTCTCTCCAGCTTTTTGCAATTATTTTCCAAAACGTGGCAGAATCTTTCCTTTGGGAGGCCTCCACTAGGCACTGCCATTCCTCCCTTTGTGCCTGGAGCTTTTTCTTGCTAATCAAAGCTTTATAACTGCGTTTTGACTCAAACCAGTCTAATGGAAGCGAAGGTAAGTTCGCTGTTCTATAGTTCCTGTACTTATCCAGCAGGAGGCGTTTCATAGCCATGCATTCTTGGTCAAACCAAGGTTTGGATTTATTAAAGTGTAGAGATTGCCGTGGCGTTTTTTGTTGGTCAGATAAGGTTGTAGCGACGAAATCAGTTCCCGGAACATGTCTAATCTGGCCTCAGGAGTTGGGGAATTAACGAGGTTCTCCTTTCTAGCAAGAAAAATATCTGAGTGAAGTCTTTCCGATATTTCATCACTCAATTTGCTGGACCATTTAATACGTGAGTATCTTAGCTCCATGTTTTCGAAGCATGGGGCTACAAGTTTATCAGAGCAAAATAAATCTTTTCTTACATCCAGTATTAAACAGAACGGTAGATGGTCGCTGTCAACCCTCTCCACCACTTTACATTCCCGTGCTCTGCTCAAAAGGTTAGATGACACCAGGACGTAATCGATAGTGGAGGCTCCCATGTTGGATATAAATGTAAATTCCCCACTGGGTTCTCTGTCGACACGACCATTTAATACAGTCAAATCCAGATTGTTGGAAAAACGTAGAAGGCATAGGCCTGCGTAATTGCAGCCCTTGTCTTTTGAGAGCCTTGGGGAATAGAATGGGCTTCTTCAGAAATGGGAGGTACGTCGTGAAAATGAGCATATAACGCTTCGTCTGATTGGCCAATTCTGGCATTTAAATCCCCAGCCAGCAGCACTGCCGCAGCAGGAGTTTGATTCATTAGCTCATCGACATAAGATTCTATCCTATGCCAGAGATTTTTGATAAGCTGCTTGCCTCTTTGGGGAGGGGCATATATATTAATCAATAGAAGTGTGCAATATCTGCATTTCATCAATAATGCCATGGCCACACTGCTCAGAGGCTCCAGCTCGACGAAAGATGCTCTCAGCCTTGTGGATATTAAAATGCCTAGCCCACCCTTAACTCGTCCCCCTTTGTTGCTTGGTGAGCCTGCGAGCGAAAATGAGGCAAAACCATTTACATCTAGATCCCCTGTTAGCCATGTCTCTTGCAAGAAGACTATATCATGATCTTGAATAAAATTGACAAATGATTGGTCAGTCGCCTTGTTGAGCCAACCAGCAATGTTCCATGATAAAAATTTAAGATTGGCTTTATCACAATCAAATCTTTGTCAATTATTAGCTAACGTACTTTTAGGGTTTGTCGCTTTATGTATCGGACGCCTATCGTCTTTGAATGGCGGGCTATCCAGCCGCTCTATGATTTCAATAGGTGGATGCAAAGTGCTCACGTTTGTGAACACCAGCTCTTTATTATGCATAAATTCCTTCTGTGGATAGTCTGTTTTGGCCTGATTTTGGCCCAATTCTGTTTCATCTAGGTATCTCATTTTGTCCCATACGTCTTGTGGGGTCACCTTGGGGATATTTCTCTTTCGGGGGTGATGGAGTACTCTCCTTGAAGGGTGGCACATTCTCTCTTGGTGGAAAGTTAATCTCCGCTTTGATCTGAAGGTTACGTGTTGTGGTCTTTTTTTGGTCCCCCTTGATAACCTCGTTGCCTGAAGCTCTCTCAGCCAGCTTATCTCTTAGCTTATCTAGTCTTCCCAAGATGTCAGTTTGTATTAATGGTGGGAACATCCAGAATTGGTCAATTAGGATATTTTCTTCCATAGTAAAGAAATCCTCACCTTTACTTGCAAGGCATTGCGGGTTCTGTTTGTCAGGCCAGGATTTTGAGAGTTGTTTCCCTTTCTAAGATTTGCCTGCTTAGTTTTCAAAAGGGGGCTCAAAGGAGCCTTATTTTCAAAGAACCTAAGTATTATTGTCCGTGCTTTTAAAAAGGCAGGTCTTGACCTAAAAATATACTTGGCCAGGTTCTGATCCCTAAAAGTGGTCAGTGCTCTCACTGAGTGACCATCATAATGTAAATATTCCACCGAGGTGATATCATTAGCATTAACCATTCCTGGCAGTATGTCATTTAGACTAGATACAAAGTTCATTATTCGCTGTTTCCCTGTAAGGAAGCCCTTAGGCTTCGGGAAGTTCGTGAATACCAGTTTTTGGGGATTTAGGATCAAATTCCAATCTCTTTTCTGACTGGAGGCTTGCCAGGTCTGAAGGGGGGTATCATCTCTACTAAACGCTTCCTCTTCCCCGCTGTTCGGTTTACTAAGTGTTTTATTGCCTTCATAGAAAGAGGCCTCTACTTCCGCAGCATCAGGTTTATTAAAAAGTTGGTTATCCAAGGACTGAGTTGTTACTTCTGCCTTCTCATTTGCTACTGGAGTCAGCCTTAGCGAGTCCTCCTTAGCCGGTTGCTGTGTAACTACCTTTGTTTCTCTCTTTTTACCCTTCTTTTGCTGCCCCGTGTGGTCGATTTATTTGGGGCTGGGGGAAGAAGTTTAAACAATTTCTGCCAATGTATGTTTCGATTACTGCGGGTATGCTTGGCTATCCTTGTTGTTTTAATATTTTTACTTTTCTTCACTTTTACCCTTGAGTTATGTCTTTGCAGATTCTTATTTATTACTGGTTTGTTCATCGACGCTAGCTCAACTGTTTTATGTTCTTGTGGCATATCATTTAATTTTAACTCTTTTAATTGAGATGTGAAATTTTCTACTAACGTCAGCAGTAGCCCATTTGTTATTGTTAGATAAATTTTTATGTTGGCTAAATCAGAACTTATTGCTAGGGAATAATCCAAAGGGCGACCGTCACTCAATTCTGTTTGAGAGTATTTTGGAGTAAGTATCTGGTTTTGATGGGTTGATGTAATTTCTTCCGTGGGCAGCTGTTCCTTAGTAATAGAGGTATTTCCCTCCTGAAGTTCCTCGGCTAAAGCTAGTTCTTGCGCTAGGCTGCATGGGGAGTTAATATTTCCAGTATCTTGGTATATCTCTTTAAAATTAGATGTCCAATCAAGAACAGTAAGAGAGGGGGGTATTACTTCATCAAGAATTAACTCTTTTTGTGGACTCTTACCCTCCTCCATCTTAGGAAAGTAATTTGTGATTTTGCTTTGTCTTTTACCAGGGCCCGAGGGGCTGATTGCCGAGTCAGGCAGTATACCCAACTCCTTGTATTTTCTCCTAGTAAAAACCATGGTAAAAGTGGTCTCGATATAGAGAGAGGGCAGTTTACCCCAGGTGCGACTGCCTTAGATTGGGGGGCAAGTGGGGGTATCAATCTATATTCCCACCTGCTCTCTGCAACAGCTTCCTGATGTGCTCATCAACAGCCTCAATATATTTCTCTATTTTGAGTTCTCTGCTTTTAGATCTTGGCAATTGTCCTAAGCCTGTAGTTTTCACCTCAATCATGCGACCAGCGCTGTTTCACAAATGCTGCAACCTAGTCAGAATATAATAATAAAACAATGCTGCCAAAGAGACAGCAGTAATAAAACGGCTAAAAACTACATTAAAATTAAAATTGCCTTATTTAGGCAATTTGTGTGCAGCTGGAAAAGGATAATAGTGGAGTTTGGCTATAGCGCATGTACAGCTATGATAACCTTGTATTTCGGGTCTTAGCTTAGTCTTTAGAGGCCATCTTCCACCGCCCCATACTGAACGAAGGATATCCAAGAGCCCCAGAAGGGAAACTTTCTGTGGGCTGGTTCGCTGATTCCTTCTAGGTAGTCTTTCAAAGGCCTACCACATAAGGCAGGGCACAGAACGATATCTTGCTGAAGCCGGTTTTCCAAACCTCCAGAAGGTCCTATCCGATACACTGTTGTGGAGTTATTGTGTAGATTAAAAAATTCCTGTAAAAGACTCAGGGTGCCTTCACCAGGAGTCTCTGAGAATATAAAAGCTGGTCTCCTCGAAAGAGTTTATTAAAATGAAGAGTCTTTCCAGCTACAGCACTTCCTCTTCAACTAAGCAGGAATGTTGTCCCCAGCTAGTTCACACAGCCCCCCAGCTGGGCGGGGGTCAGTCAGTTCAGTTAACCCCCGAATCTCCAAGCTTTATCTTTCTCTGTGTTCAGCTGAGCTGGGTGTCTATGGGCCAATCTCAAAGCAAAGCTCACAGTCGTATCTCTCCTTACCCTCCTTCTCCAGGCACCGTTGGTCGGATAAGCAGTTCACAGTTCTGTCTTTAGACCTCTTCTGTCTCTCTGCTCTCAGTTCAGGCAGCAGCGTTCTCTCCTCTCTGGCAACCTTGACCGGGCAGCTGATAAGGAGGGAGGGAGCAGGCTGGGACAAGCTGAAGCTCGCAGAGCCGACAGGAGTTATAAAAATGTTCAGAGTCTTTAAAATGTTTTCCGTTTGTTAAAAATTGGCATCCGGAGGGCAATTAAGATAAGGTTTTTTAAAAATAAAAGTGAGCGCCG